ATCACAACAAAACTTTATACATGCTTCTTCAGTATTCTATTTATACGACACCTGGCTCCATGAAGCCTGCCAGACAGGACCACATTTTGGGAGGAAACTGTTTCTTTCTTCCCAGCAGGCACCTCTTCCCATCAGCTGATATCACAAGCATGATGACAGAAGGATCTGTTCTGGGGTAAGCTGTATTGTGGATACCTAAAATATTAGAAAGAAACAAAATCATATTAAAAGATATAAAATATATAAAATATATAAGTACCTCACACAATCAATCATGAAATACTGGAAATCAACTTCTCTTTGGAATATAAATTTGTGAGATTGACCTTTTACTTAGAGGTGCATTGACACAGATTTGAAGTTAATATTTTCTGTATAATATCACAACTTATATATATTTTAATAGCATTTCACACAAATATATATTAAAAATTTTATTTCATCTTGAAGTCATTGAAACTTCAAATTTTTGGATGGGTTTGATTGAAACATCCTTGCATTCTCACAAATTTTACTTTTATTCTTCATACTTCGAAAAGTGGCAATCTTGTTGTCTATTAATGAAAATATTACTGGTAATTTATTTTTCACTGCATATCAATGAGATCATATAATTATCTGAACTGTGCATTTATGTAGAATACAAAACCATTATGGATAAATTTGACAGTATCAATTCAAAGTCCCCTGAATCTAAGCTGGCTCATAGTACAAGAATATGCAATAAATTACTTTCTGACAACATGCATAGGCAAAAGATGGTGATTTTATTTAAACTCATCAATATGTTTTTTCCTTTAAAAGATTAATCATAAATTGAATCAAAGTCGATTAAAAAAATTAAATCATAAAAAGTCCAATTATTATTGGGCTGTACAATTGTAAAGTATAAAATTCCTATAATGAGTTTATAATTCAGATAAACTACCTTTGTTAGACTTGCAGTCTTTGTCCCTACACACTCTCTTGTGACCTCCCTCTGTAATGTCCGTCTGGGATCCACAAGTGGCGCAGAATTTGTACCGATCCAACCAGTCCATCATGGACCGAGCCTCAGCAAAGATTCCAGCATCAGAGGGCTCCATCTGGAGACTTCCAGGAAAGGGCACCAAAAATGAACTCTCAGACTGCAAGGCCATGAATTTACCTTCATCTGTTCCTGAGACATCAACAGCAAATAAAGCCCTAGAAGATGACTGATCTACACCCAAGAAAATTATCACAGGATCTGAAGCTAAGTGAGAAGAAATTTGGTTGTGGTCAACCCAGCTTAGTCTGTATCGCCATTTGGAAGACTTATCTTTTATGGGTACAACAAATGGTTTAAGATCTGACAATAATAAAAACTGTGAGGTTTCATCACTGAGCTTTGATTGTATCCAGTTTTGGTCTTTTCTTTTCTCTGAAGCTCTGTCCAGAAGGTTCAGAGAGAAGAAATTCCGGAGCTGTTGGTCTGGGTTTTCCTTCTTCATGTGGGATTCTATTAATCTAGCTGTCTTGTCCTGGTCCCAAAAGAGCGCAATGTCTTGTGCTGTCTGCCCTGTTTTGTTGACAATATTTGTGTCACACCTAGAAGCATGAATATTTCCGTTTCTTTAGATATTTCCATCAGCTAAAGTTAATAAGTAGGTATACATGGGTTGCATTCAAAATTTCCCAGATTGACAGCCATAGCAAATCTTTTAAAATTCCTAAGGCCTCAAGAAATCTACAACTCTTACCCTTTCTCCAGCAGTGTTTTAATAATGTCTGTCTGTCCGTGTCTGGCTGCAAACATCAATGCTGTCCAACCTTTATCATTTTTCTGATCAACATTTACTGTACCTGAAAAAAGTATTTTGTAAATCTAAGTCAGGAATAATGTGAGATAGCATAAATTTGAGACATATACAAATACCCACAAGATTTGGAATAAAAAAAAACACTGGTAATTTTTTTTAGTTTGCCTTTTATTTTCAATGTGTACATACTTCTGAGGAGAAAAGTGAGTTCCTCTGTGTTCCCGTTTTCAGCACACTCAAAATACTTGTCTACAAAGGGTTTTCTGGTATCATCTGGCCCAGTTTTACTGCTCATACTAACAACACTGGTCAGCCTACTTTTTTTTCATTTAAAAAAAGAAGTGTTTATTACATTACGTCACTATAGAGTGAATCAAAAAATAAATACTATTCATGAATGAAAAATTACAAGACAATATTTAACTTGCTGACCTACCGCCAACTTGTATACTTCAACAAAAATATAATCTGCATTTTTAGTCATCATGTTATGCAACAATTCCAATGTCCCGCAAAATAATGTATACCATGTTACAAACTGTCACCTATTTTCTATTTTATTTTGTTGTTTACATAAAAAACACGCTCCTAGCTTGAAGAGGATTATTTTTATTAGGTGCCTAAATACCTGTCGATGATGCTTCTGTGTTTATGTAAAGCACATAAAGCTTTACATAAACGACCGACCATTTACTGTTTTGAGCATCCAAAGTCCATTCTTGAATAGGTAAAATAACACCGGAATAAAGATATAGCATACTAAAATCAAAACCTGTATGACAATCGTCTTTTTCTCCGAAATAGCTCCTTGAAAAAACCTTGTCATATATATATATATTTTAAGTTTTTAATTTTTTTTTTCATTGTCGTCGAACGCAAATTGAAAGTGGAGGAGGGGCTATTTGACAGAGAAAAAAAAATCAAACCTTAAAAAATCGACAAGCCGAAAAAAGGAAGTGGGGGAGTAAATTATCCAAACGTTAAGGACAGATGATATAAACAATTTTTTTGATTGGAGGAGACTTAATATCAAGTCACAAGTTTAGAAAAGTGGATAATTCTTAGAGTGTTTTCTCCTTAGAACTGGAAAATGAAATAGACTTAGAAAATATTAGTAATATTTCAATATAATTACATATATGGACAAAACACACTCAGTACAGGTTTACAGATGAAAACAAATTTCAGAATATGTTAACTTTGCGCTAAAATTGTACTATAAACTTTAGAAAAATATACCAAGCTAGGTTGATTTTATTAGGAAAAGCAAAATGGTAAAAAAACTGCTTATTTGATATTGCTGATTTTTTTTTTATAATTTTGTTTTTCCTCATGAAATTCACCTAGCTTGGTATATTTTTCTAAAGTTTATATTACACTTTTAGCACCAAGGTAACATATTCTGGAATTTTTTTCACCTGTAAACGTTTACTGAATATTTTTTGTCTATATCTGTTTTTTTTTTTTTTTTAATTGAAATATTACTAATATTTTCGAAGTCTATTTCATTTTCGAGTTCTTAGGAGAAAAATATCGAAGAATTATCCACCTTTCTAAACTTAAGACATAATATTTAGTCTCTTCCAAAGAAAAAAAATGTTTGTATCATCTATCCTTAAATGCATTCATTATGTCTATCTAATATATCTTTGCAAACACAATTTTATTTAATTTTCAAGGGAAAAAAAACAAAATTAAAAAAAGAAGAAAAAAATAAAGAAACTAACACAGAAACTATTCTATATAAAAAACGGGAAAAAGATGTCTTATATGTTTATATGTTTACCTTTATAGATGATTGTCTTAAGTTATTTGTTTTACAGTATTGTGGTTCCTAAACCTTTCCTCCTTTGTATGTGTGCATGACATTTATTTTAAGTACTTGTTTTTTTCTTATGTTGAATCTTTTATTCTCTTTGTGTGTTGCTCAAATGTTTTGTCTTTTATTAATTTCTTTTCTTTTTATGTGTGTCTATCAATGTTTTTGGTTACACTTGTGTGTTTAATGTACATTGTACTTCTGTCTTCGCGTGACTTATCGATAAATGTGACAACTGTGCTCTTATGTGTATACATGTATATGCAAATTTTATTAGAGCTAAATATACTTCTATGTTAAATCTATTCGGTAAAAGAGCTCTATAGCTCATGTTCATTGTTATGTGTATATAGTCCGACTATAGATAAAACTTACCACAACTACTACTACTTATATGCTTTATTGTAAAGATTCATCAGTACTGTAAAATGAGACCTTTAGAGCATACCACAATATAAAGGGGCAAACGGTCTTATTATACTCTGACAATTGACACTCGGGTGTTGTTCACTCAACCGTAATTTTTTTTTAAAAATTTAATTACGATCATCACAAATTTTTGTTACCCCTCTCCCACACACATCTATGTTCACCATGCGTTTGTCAGGTCTACTGTATGACGTATAACCGTATATGAGGAAAAGTATTTAAGCTGAAATATACCGAAAACATGCAAATTACGGTTTTCATTAAGATCAAAAATTAAAAAAAAATAATGGAAGTACCAACTGAAGAGTTTTCATTTTTAGGTTTTTAAAAATTTATTTTAGAATCAATTTATATTGGAAATCTGCCAAACATAATTAATTTAATACAAGTGATGTGCCTCACATCTTGTTACAAGTTTAATACTCTCTCTTTCTCTTCCTTGTGGTAATTACTTTTTCTCGTTTAATGAAAATTCAATTACACGAAAGCCCATTGAGCTCATTTTCGTAGGTTAAAAAAATAAATTTTTCGCGTTATAAGGCGAAAAATTTTATTTTTTTTTTAACCTACGAAAATGAGCTCAATGGATTTTCGTACAATTATCCCTTTTTTCTCTTAAAAAAAGTGTTGTCTTTTTCAGACTAGCTATTAAGGTATATACATGCACTTCATGATTTAAAGTCCTTAGTGACGCAAATCATGCATCTCCATAAACTTTACAGATAGTTATATATACGTGCATATTTATTTAAAAGGAAAAAACTTGAAGGAATTTATCAAGCTGTAAGAATACATACAAACTACACAGCTGAGTGCAGATAACGTAGACAGGTATGTTTATTTAGTTACTTGATTAAAAGAAAATATTTTCCAGTCTTTCCATTGAAATTTTTCGCTTTAAATTCAGTTAAGAAAAATCTATTTATAAATATTTTGAAGACAGTCAAACAACAAAAAAAAAAAAGCTTGAACAAACAGCGGAAATAAGTGGGGGGCAACGGATGCTCAAGATTTAATCCAGAAAACACTTAGGGTGACGTCACATATAATACCCCCAAGTTGTGTTTTGCAGATGGAAGTCAGCAAGTGCGCGGTGATTACAGGGGGAGCCCAGGGGATAGGAAGGGCTGTGGCCGAGGAACTATTGGAACAGCACCATAAGGTACGGTAGTTTGTTGGACCATTCTAATTTTAACCTTTATGATGATAAACAAACACGACTTAATCTAGATTGTATATCATGATAATAGATAAAATAAAGAATATTTCCTCATCTTCAAGTTCAGAATATATAATACAATTTGTATTTTGACATCAATATGAGAACTGAATTATAATTTGCAATTACATACAAACAAAATTTGTACATACACTTGTAAAATAGTGTTTTTTTTCTCTAAAAAGTAACGCACCGAAATAAAAATATTGATGTTTGTGACTAAAAAACTGATTCACTAAGCAATTTCCTACATTCATGTATAATTCAGATGATTCAAAGTGCTAAATTCCGTTACGTTGTTTGGATGTACTCGGAAACCATCGAATAACCCATTTGCGTGTACATGTAGACCTGCCCGGTAGCGAAAATGTGAATTAATGTATTACTCAGTACTTTATCATAGGTCAAATATTACATTGAAATACACATTGAAAATTAGAATATTTCAATTTGGAGTTGCAAAGATTCAACGAAAATTGATGAAAGTATTTCAAATGTATCAAGGAAATTTTAGAGAGAAACTATACTTGCTGATATAAAAGCAAAATAACGAGTATTTGTATATAATTATCCTTCGTTTTAAATGTACACAGCATGGGTGTTTTAAAATACGTATAGACCCGATACCACAGCTGTCTCATAATTACTTTTTGTCGTTAAATATTACATCTTGTATGAAAGTATTTCATTGAATTGAAACTCACATTGTTCACGAATATTGTATAAAATCTTCCAACTTCCACTAAATTATGAGGTGTTTTTTTTTTTGAATCTCTCTCTTTTTAAATAAAGGTGTGCATTTTGGATGTAAACAAAATTACAGGAGAAAAAACACGGAATGAACTTTTGCAGAAATATGGAAATAACAACATTTTCTTTTTTGTTTGTGATGTGGCGAAAAAACAGGATATAAACAGTAAGTATTTTCTTCCTCCGAAATGAAAATGGAATCTGAGACCGTTAAAAATCGGTGATCCATAATGAACACAACAATGTGTGTATATTTTCATATCCTTCGGTACTTTCAATTTCAATGCAAATCTACACCTCTCATTTTCTTCTTTTCTTAAGATGCAGTCAAGCTGTGTATAGACGCCTTAGGCCGTATAGATATCTTCATTAACAATGCAGGGATTATTAACGAGTTCAACCCCGAATTAGTCGTCAGTGTCAATTTGGTGAGTGTACTCTAGAGAAGATGTGTTACTGCCAGCAAAATAATTTTGTGAATAACATTGGAATTCTGGCATTTCACCAGCAAATACCAGAAATAAATACATGTATATTCCGACTAAATATACATCTTCCTACCTGTAATACGATGGACGTTCAATAAAGAATGTCATCAGGGCTCGGAAAAAAACAAAAAACGCTTTTCTATGATTTCGTCTTAATGATTTAACTAAAATATTCTCTTTTAAGGGAATACGACCCTCAGCCAGGAAGGACAACTCTTTAATTTATAATTCAATTAAAAAAGTCTTTAAATGAAGCTTGAAAATTAAATATTTTCATGCAACAATTTTCATTTTAATGTGCTGCAAGGTTCTTTGCAAAGCTCCATAAATCACTTCTAATTCCATATCATGTTAATAAACATTGGTATCTAAAAATACTTTTTCAGGATAAAAATTTCTACTTTTAATTAGACATTTCTGAGAAGTTCAAATAGAAAATCTAAAGATACAAGTTTAAAAGTTAAATACCCCTTAAAGATAAAGCAACAAGTAACGAAAACCATGAAAATAATAATTTTTTCTGACAATACTTACAGACAGACGGACATATACCAGAAAAAGCAAACAAACTTTCATATCCATAACATTTAAACCATCGTAATGACAACCTGATAACTTCCTGTTATACCTTTTAGACTTCTGTTCTTCTCTTCTGTGGGGCAGTGGTTGACTATATGCGCAAAGATAAAGGTGGTAATGGTGGAATTATCGTCAATGTGAGCTCAATGGCAGGTCTGTTAATATCCTCTCTATATATTTTTTTCAATTTATTTTCTTGACATCACCATGTTTGTATACAGTCAAACCAAGAAATCAAATGACATATTAAAAAAACATCTTCTATAAACTGTAATGTAAAATTTAAGAAAGCTTACCTGTATATTCAAAGTCACAAGTTTTTAATGACTTAATGAAAAGGGTGAAGACAACGAACAGTGATTGATCTCAAAAAATCTATAGACAATACAAATCGTAAAGAGGACATGGAACACGGCCCCTGGAAATTTCAGAGCTAGACAGGATCAGATGCCTAGGAGGAGTAAGCATCCCCTGTTAACCAGTCACATCCTCCGTGAGTCCCATGTATTGATCAGGTAGACAAAGCATTTCCGTAAGCAATTCAGTATACATACAAAGATCTTACAATGGGTATGAAACAAGTCAGCCAAATATACATTGTAGGCAATAAAAAAAATAAAAAGTTATGAAAACCATCATTTATAATTTCTGTATCGATGAACAATATTTATTCAAAATAAATCTCATAAATTCCTCCGTCCAAACGCCAAAGCGTCATTTGTCAATTGTGGCAGAGATTTCAGGATACAGGATCGGTCCAGGAAAGGCCTAAAGTGGAAAAACACGACGGAGGACGGTCCAACTGGACCGCCAGCATGTATACGGCAAGCAAAGCAAACCGATTTAGCTGTTGCTTTAAACAAGGACTTTCACAACACACATGGAATACAGTAAATATTTTTACTCAGACTTGCAGGAAAATGCTTCATGAAGCTATTTAACCTGAAAGCATGACGATCTGCCACACGCCCTATTTTGACTGCAGACTTCAGAGTAAGGAAACTGGAGATTGCAAGAGATCATGCAAATTGGCAAATCAGTCACTTATGATTTGTTCTCTTCACATACAAATTCAAATTTTGTGTGGACTTTAATAAAGGAAGGCGACGAGTATGGAGACAGGAGAATGAGCATTTTAGTGACTGCTGCTTGGCTCAACATGATCACTTTGTTGGAGGTTCTGTTATGGTGTGGAGTGGCTTTCCTATTCAGGTGTCCAAGGAGTTGTAAATCATCAGAGATGGAGAATTGACCGGTATCCGATGCACAGACAGATTCTTCAACCAATTGTGAGAACATTTGCCGGGGCAATAGGAACAGAATTCGTTTTAATGGATGATAATGCCAGACCACACAGAGCAAACATCTTGAGGCGGAGACTATCGAGAGAATGGAGTGATCTTTGAAGTCACCAAACTCTTTCCAAGTGAACATTTTCCATTAGTTTTTTTTTTTATCAAAGTGTTCTTACTTTATCATGTTTATGGAGGAAATTATGTACTTTATTTTTATTAAAAATACTTGATCAATACAGAAATTATAAATGATGGTTTTCATGACTCTTAACTTTTTTGAGTACATTTGTCCTTGTACATCAATTAAAGTATCAGTCACATTATCCAGCGATGCGGTAAAAGATGAAAAACAATCGCGATTTTTGATAAAAATGGTGTGGTTGCCGGTCGGATACCTATAGTAATTGGACGGTGACTGAGACCATTTGGCGAATCGGTGGGGGCATCAGTAGAAAATAAGTTGTGGTTAAAAATCAGCGATGTCTCCACCGATGCCCCACATCGCTCCTCTTTGGCAATCCATCAACACATCTTTCAAGAATTGGCCGATGTATGGCCGAGCATCGTCAAGGTCATCTGAGGTCATCAACGGACACTTGACGATGCTCGGCCATACATCGGCTAATACTTGAAAGATGTGTTAATGATGGTTTGCCAATGAGGAGCGATGTGGGGAATCAGTGGAGACATTGCTGACTTTTAACTACATTTTAATTTCTACCGATGACCTCCACCGATTTGCCAAATGGTCTTAGTAACAGTCCGATTACTATATGTGTCCGACCGGCAACCAGACCAATTTTATCAAAAAACCACATGGGTTTCTCATCGTAGACCCCATCGCTGGCTAATGTGACTGATACTTAAAAACTACTAAGCCGATGTGGACCGATGTTGGAACATCGCTCACACCACGGATTACCACCGGTCTACGAACACCGGACGGGAAATGTGACCTAGGCATAAGGCATAAGACATATAAAATATTATACCGTCTTTCTCCAGTTTAACCAAATATTATTGTCATTGAATAAATTATTTTAAAAAAAATACATAATTTAAACTTTCTCTGAAACAAAAAAAAAATTTCAGGAAAATTAAAAGCTTGCAGTCAATAGTAAATATTACTGCGTAATTGTCTTGTTTTTGTAAAATATTTACAGGGCTGGTTTCAGTACCATTTATGCCAGTCTACTGTGCAACTAAAAGCGGTGTTGTAGCCTATACAAAGGCGTTCGCAGTACGTATTAATACAGTATAAAGGTTAGATATTTAGATGTAAGAAAGAAAAATGTTTTATTTAAAATTTTATCACTTACGTCACCAATTCAATACACACTTTTTTAAAAACAGACGTCACCGGAGATCGAGAGCCAAGGAATTGCTGTGTGCTGTATTTGTCCAGGATTTACAGATACAGCCATTATTCAGAATTTTGAAGATAAAGTTTTGGATGCTACTTCAGCTAAAAAAATGTTGGAAGAATATGGAGTGTTGAAGTATGTATCGTAGCATATATAATTTGGACTTATACTAATTTGGCTAAAGGCTACATTGGCGATTTCGCCACATAAGATCCACAATATGCATTGCCTTTCATATGAGGATCACATGTGGATCATATTTGACGAAGTTGCCTGTGTATCAATCATCACACTTTAAAACCCCAATCTCTCTATGTCTTTGTAGAGTGAAAACTGTAGTGGACGGTGTGATGAAGCTTATAAAAGATCAGAAAAGTGGAGGAATCTTAACAGTTAGCACTAAAGGAACAGACTATTTGCCTGAGAAGATTTAAAACACGTCTTTATTTAACTGCTGATTGTTGATTCATGTTTTATTACCTATATTATCTTTCGTCTTTATTTTTATACTTTATTTTAAAATAAAAAAACACATACAAATGTTTAATTTCGTTTCGAACGAATGCTAAGTGATCACCAGGATAAATATCAACAACACGTCCAATCTGGAGCAGTCGAAGACTTTTCCCCAAACACTCTCGAGTTGCTTCAGCTTTTTCAATAAGTTCAATAGGAAAGCTTAAACACACTACTTCTTTCACGAAAAGTTTCTTTTTCTTTTTGTCGACATCAGCGAGATGTTTTATTCAATACACGGTTTCAATTTCTCCATTTCCCTCTCAGTTGGGAAGAGTCTGCATTTTTTAAGTCCTGAAACTGTTTTTTTTAAACCCTTTTACCTATATTTTAAAAGTACTGTAAAATTTTCACGTACAGTAGATAAATGTCCCAAATTAATTGTAAGTCACGAACAATCACATCATAAATAGGATTCTTAAGGTTTCTGATATTAGCTCAAGCCATGGACAGGAATTTATTTAAAAACATGCCTCCCCACCAACAAGACCTTAAGGTATGTCACTCGTGAACTTTGTTAAATCAAGAGTTTAATTCAGATAAGCACTCATATAGTGTGACTCAAAATCGCAGAAAAAATAGGGGGTCAGTGTGCATCTTACTGATCTACGGTGCAATTAAGTTGATCTTTTTGCATTTAAATTTAAACTCAATGGTAAATTACTTTAACCATTATAGTATTTTATCAGATGTAATTATGGCAATAAATACAACTTTATTTTACGTAAAATAGTATGAATAATATTCATCATTGAACAAAACTTGCAAATTTATGCGCGTAAATTATTGTGTGACCTTTTTGCACCTAAAAAGTAACATATTTGGGGTATTAAAAAACTAAATAGGCATTATAACATTTTCTTAAATTAAGACTTTTTACGACTTTAGTGCTGATCAGTCACAAGTATCGAGTACTTTAAAATAATGAAAGAAAAAGTTTGGGTCAGTGATGTTAATTTTGAAATATTGGTCAAAATATGTGATTTTCAGGCGAAAAATTATGTAAATTTTATCTTGACTTATTTGACATATCTTCATTTTTTGGCAAAGTTTGTTGAAGGAAGGTGTAAAACTTGTTCTAAAAATATAAATTAAGACCTATATTAAACATTCCTAGCAATATCATAACGAAAAATATTCTCCGAGTAAAGGTATGTGAGGCTTAAGTTCCAGGATATTCAATTTAATAAATGTGCAGATCTGCAGAATTATCTGCTAAATATCCTTCCACCACAAGAAATAGTCCCTCATAAATATTGCTTCTTTGTAGCTTTTTGAGTAGTTTTTTCGATTAATGTTAAAACATTAATATTGTTGAATTAGAATATGTTATTAAAATTGCATTTTAACGAATAGTTTTGAAGTAAAAGGTTCTGCGTGAACTTTCCTAAAAAGCTGACGAGTGACATACCTTAAATAATAATGGAAAACAATAGAACGTCTGTTGTTACTTTAGATTTGTTTTACTGTAGCTGAATCCATGAATCAAATGCCTCGACTTAGAATTATTTTAGCTCATTTGCAGTACAATTTATTTTTCAGTGACTGTTGCAACCACTATTGAAATAACGACCACGATTGAAATAATTATTTCAATAGTGGTTGAGAGTACATTTCAATGGCAAACATAGTAAGTAACCACTATTGAAATACAACCACTATTGAAATAATTATATCAATAGTGATTGAGAATGCATTTCAATAGCAAACATTGAAATACGACCGCTATTGAAATAATTATATTTTCAGATGACATTTAAAGTTTAACGATTTAAAATGACAGAGCAATCATATCTCTAAAAGTAAGATACAGTAGTCTCAGACTATATTTTGAGCATATTGTAATCACAATTTTTTCCCAAAATATTACCAATATTCTTCATAATAAAAAAATAAGGATCTTCCTATTCATGATTAATATTATATTTAGATGAAATGAATTCATCTTTCTCTAAAATGCGTGAGATGTTTAGGAGGTTAAAAAAATGTTTATGTGAGAGAGGGTGCGTTTGTTAGGTAGGATGTGCGTACCATTGACGGAGAGCGAAAATAGCATAACATCCTCGCAATTATCTCATCGTTTGAGAGGAAAGAAAGTAAAACATGGGTAAAAATGAATGTTCGGCAAACAATGCACGAAAAATATGAAAATCAATTATAGTTTTGGTGAGTAGTTGCAGCCTACAGAATACACTTAGGAGCTATTACTGTTGGGGAAATATTATTTTCAGGGTGAAAGAGTATTGTAACTTGAGACTTTTTCGAGCAGGATTTTTCATGAAAAAAGTTCTTTATATGCTCGATCCCTTTCTAAACTTCTTTTTGTTCTAGACATCGGGCGGCTATGTCTTTTTATCCTTGTCTCTGAATTTAAGTCTCATACATTTATTTCTCCAAATTTGTCTACTTTCTCAATGTTCTCAATCTGGGTATTGATTTCAAAAGAAATGCGCATTAGTTCGAGGTTTTCGGGAATGGGAATATATCTCCTCTTCACTTCGTTGTATTTCGCAGTTATTGTTTCAAATTCCATGATCTTTGAAATATCACTTCCTTTATCCAAAGCATTTTCAAGGGTTTTTGTACAGTAATTAAGCAACTCACATTTTTCATTTAAAGACTCTAATTCCCTTTCAATTTTATGAGTTACTTGGTGGATAAAAGGTCAAAGTAATCATCTTTAAGTTTTCTTAAATGATTTTCAATACTTTTGTGAAGTAACTCAACATTTGCAGTATGTTTTTCAAAGTAATTATTTATTTATCCTTGATTTCATGTAAAAGTTTTTGTATTTCAACGTTTTCACAAATACAGTTCAACAAAATGTTTTATGACATCCACAGTACATTTTCACTTTTTTGTTACGATGCTCTTGGCAACTGTTTGCGTTTGCAGACATCAGATGAGAGGGATTTAATTCATTCAGCGGTATTACATTATGTCTTCTAGTCAACAAATTTCGTTTATGGCATTTTGAACATGTTTTACAAAGATTCTCTATGCATTCTACACAAAACTCGGTGGCATCTTCTTCCTCTTGCTCTCTTTTACAGGCATCGCATACTTTTTGGGAAGTCGAGTTATCAGAACATTGCAAAACAACGTTAATTGGAAATTGATCAGCCCACTTTCCGACTTCTTGAGAAATATGAATTGCAGGTATTAATTCGCAACAAAGAGGACAATGAAATCCTACAGGTTCCAGTTTTTGATTGCAAGAGGATATGATGTGTTTTGATAAGCAGTCATGACAGAACGAATGTGAACATGGAAGATACCTTGGTCTTTTAAAATTGTCAAAACAAATAGCACACTTTGCAGCATCCAGGCAGCTGTATTCCAACAACGAGGCCATACCGTTCACAGTTTATTTTAACTATCTAAATATCTAGAAGTCATTGACAATTTTAGTGGGCGTCAGTACTATCAGGAAGACTGTTAAATACAACCTTTGTATTTTGACGTTATCTTACACGTCTGGTTGAAAACTGGACAGCATTTTTGTCAAACCTATTATTTAATCTGAAAAATGAAAGATAACACAAGACAACAAATATTGCAAACATGTAAAAGTCAAGATTGACTTTTAAAAACGAAACTACCAAATTAAAAATAATTTACATGATACCAATGTGCATCCATATCAATGGACATTTGTCAATTATGTTATTGTGTTTGTGCCAATAAATATATGTTTTTGTATTTCTTAACAGTCATGGGGTTTTATTTTTCTTTGAATTCTCTCTTGGTCATTCAATAATTGCATTAAAAAGTTTACAATAAGCACTTCCCAATGGCTGTGCGTACAACAATGGGTGAAAATCATTAGCATATCTGATGTTAGTTACAGTGCCAGAAATAATTATTAGATTTTTAAAAAGCTGGACAGTTTTTAGAACTTAAATATTTATTACGTCCTTTCTGTCGGCTGCAGTTTAATGAAACAATCTCTGATTATGAAAGTTGGATAACATGTACATGTTGTCTTATTCATGTTCCTGATAAAACAGATATCATTATCTCTTACATATTTTACGATTATATATTTGACCTACTTACTATTTGTACGTATAATACTTGTCAACTTCTAATATCAGGCTGTTTTAAAGATCAGTGCAGAAGTTTTCATTCAAATGAAATATTGCAGAAGTTTTCATAGAAATATAAGTTTTCATTGAAATATGCGTCTCGACATGAGTGAAAAAATCTCGAATGGGACGTTATACAATATTCAATCAATCAAATGAAATATTGAATGATCAATTTAAGCATAAGTGTCACGATTTTTTTATTTTTGAAAAAAAAATGATAATTTTAATTCTTTCAAAAACATGGATTATGATCCTACCTCTGATGTTTTGGAGGTCTTGTTTCCTCTGCTCCTATTTTGTATTGTTTTATGTACTTTTGATCTTGAACACTGTTCATTATCTCCATATGTTTCATTATGCAAGTTTGGTTTTATGGACTTTTTATGGACTTTCGATCTTGAATACTGTTCGTTATCTCCATATGTTTTATGATAGGGCTTGCTTCATTTTAGCTGGAAAAGGATTTGTCTAAAATCTTTGAACTAGACACTTATCTAACAGAGGTGATTCAAATCTAGCATCTGAAGCATGTTGAAGAGTGTCCATCCCTTGATGCATCATCCTTGAAGTTTAGGTCAGATAGTTTCAAAGTAATAGACTGATATGATTCCAAACATTGACATGCTATTTTTTCTGGAAATTGTACGTCAAATTCGGCATCTGAATCAGCCCTGAATCTGTGCATTTCTTGATGCATAATCTATACTAGTTTTATGTAAGCATGATAATTTCTTGATGTTGGATCTGATTCAAAAACTTGAACAGGATCACTCATCTGGAAAATGAAGGTCAAATACGTCTAAAGAATCACACGTAGTGTATATCAATCTTTATACAGAAAGTACAGTGCACATCACTGGTCAACATTTAACTTAGTCACTTTGAGAGGAAAGTGTTCCAATTACATTGTACTTTAATTTGGTTGCTCATTCAGAAAATGAAGGCCAAATTCAGCATCAAAAACATGTCAAATAGTGTGCACCCTTAGATGTATCAAACATGCAAAAGTTTGGTCCAGGAAGGGCAGATAGTTATTCAAAATGGACGTGCTCCAAAATCTAAGTATAGTCCAAAAGGTAAAGAGAACCCAGTTTACTAATAGGTTAAAGAGGTCTCTAACAAGCTCGCAAAAATATCTAAAAGTCGGGATTTTTATTTATCCTACATGTAGAGAGTGGTTTCATAACGTTTAAAAAGAGTCGTATGTTTTGGTATATTAAATTTTTGGTGATTTTAAATCTCAAGTTATTGGATGTTTTAAAGTATCCGCATCTAATTTACAATACATTTCGAAAATATCGTTGTACAGTTCTTCTAATGTGTCCCCTTCATTGCTGATAATGTTTTGTGGAGGAGTGAAGAAAGAGACTGGATAGAACCTACTGGAACCTGCTTTGCTTCACTGTTTGTTCTGATTGTGATCTAGTCTAGAAATGCAGTACACTATTAGTCAAATTCAATCTGATTTCAGGGAATATTAAAAGTATTAAAGAATTGATACATCTTTTTGTTAAATTTCGTTTTAGAAAGGGAGCTATAATTATGTTTTATCACCACCAGCAGAATCAAACCCTAGTTCCTCTAAGTAGAAATAATATTACGAGCATTTCAATAATGACAATTAAGTAGGAATCTTGACTGACTGTTGAAGGGACCCGGCTTTCTACGTCTGCTACACTCGAATTGAGCAAATTTTATTTGTCTTGTAAAGTGAACGCTTTTATGTAATTTATATAATTTCATATTTATTTTCTAATAAAATAAACATTTTTAAAAATAAAAATGCTCATAACTTTGTTTTTACTTCTTTACAATTGGAATAACATTCATCACATATCAATTCACATCGTCTCATGTCTTCTACCTTCTCCATAGAGGCAGTGTCCTCACAGAAAGGCTTGAACTTGTTCATAACATTGATCCATAAACTGTTGATTTGGTCACTGTAAAACTCACCAGTCACACACCAAGTAACGATGTGTTCACAGTTGTTTTTGGCTAAATTATATTCTGAAGATTTTGATTTGTCCAATTGATCACGTGCTCTCTGAATGATTTGATCAGGGGAATAAGGATTGGTTTTGTACTTAATTATGTACAAACATGTTTCTTTGACATTTACACATTCAAACTTTTCTTCTTTTAGTCGACCCTTAGGACTACTTTGGCCAATTGTACAAATATACCTCATTATTCCGTTGATCACGTCTAAGCCGTTGCCACTTTTGTGTATCACCGTTAAATCAGCTGTCATGTCGTCCACATTCCTGATATCAACAACGACAGCATGATGTTGATATCCTGGACGTTGATACACTAAGTGATCACCAGGATTAATTTCATTAACGCGCTCAACCCGGAGCTGTCGAAGACACTTACCCAAACACACTCGAGTTGCTTCTGCCTTCTCAATAAGTTCAATAGGATAACTTATACACATTTCTTCTTTCATTGGAGATTTCCGTCTCTTTTTGTCTTCATTTGCGTGGTGATTTTTCGTGTAAAATTTTCGCTGTAAATTTCCTTGCTTTATGTTAGTTTCAGTTAAATATTTCGATGTTTTTTCAATACACGGTTTCAAATTCTCCATTTCCCTCTCAAATACAGAGGCTCTGAACTCTTCAAGTCCTGAAGTTGTTTCATTAACAAACCTTTTAAGATGTTTGGTTTTTCTTTCCAGTAATCTTTCATTTTTCTCTATTCTTTTCTTCAAGTTTTCCTCAATATCGCTGAGTCCCGAGGGATCCACGAATTCTAGTGACGTCACATCCATGTCTATAAATAATAAAATAAATATAAAGTAATAAGAAAATAGACATGCAGAATCATAATTAAGCTGACCTTCACAATCCATAGGGAATAAAATAATTTTCATTTTTATTTTAACGAAGATGGCTCACACACTATTGTTTTATTAAGGTTTATTATATTCATTTGTCTGACTTAATATTTTTTTGTTCATTTTTGACCTGTTAAATTTCATTGCATTTAGGATAATTATTATACCTAAACAAGGATAGCTTTGACCATTTGGCCTATGGCTTTCAATTTGTTCCATGCAGTCATTGACAATCAAGAAATATGTTTAAAAGTTAGAGTTGTACAAGTTTCCTTAAAAAATGACACTGATAAATCTAAAAAGTAAATGTTAATAATAATTCATTCGAATATTTTTTCCCAATAAATAATAATTAGTAAATTAGTAAAATGTGTTTTCGAAAAAAAAATTTCTTCAAAGTCCGGTCAAAGTTCATTATTAAATATCATAACAATAAACATAGATTATATGTAATAACAATAAAGTTAACATAATTTATATATTAAGGAAGAACGTGTTGTACTATTTTAGTTTACTGGTTTACCGATATTTAACTAGAATTTTAAATATAAAAGCTGTTATTTACTATTTATAATGAAAAGTTATTCAAACGTGCATAGGGCGTACATAGTACGTGTTTACTTACTTGCAAAGAACGACAACTCTGACACCGTTACTAACTTGTACGCCTTGCTGTCATAGTTGCTCAAAAGGAATAAAAATCTTCCGGTTTGGAAATAAAGCGCAAAACTAAATCATTAATTCTTCCGAGGTCTAGATTGCCATCAAAGCCTTGGTCTAATAAACTATATTATGGTTACAGCCATTTTTTCCTGTTTGAAAATCCATTTTCTAATTTTACACTATCGGAAATTCTGCAGTTATTTATAGTCCACAGGAATTCATTTTGTGAACAACGTAGGCGAGTCAAATCTTGTTACTTACTTTTTCTCAAGTTGGGTAATCTTTCTCTTTTTCTTTATGGTTTCGATTTGATGTAGTGTTTTTCTTATGGACGCTGACTAATCTAAACGTAAGAGTAAAAGTTGAGAACAGACCTGTGTCAAAGTTTTAAATTATAATTTTGGAAATATCAGATGCACGTTTTCATAAGGCATTTAATTGTCTTTTTCAATATATGATACATTCTATTGTATATGAAAGATATGAAGATAACGAACAGTATTTAAGATCAAAGTCCATAAAACAATACAAAATAGGGGAAGAGGAAACAGGGACTCCAAAACATCAGAGGTGGGATCATGTGTCATGGAGGAGTGAGCATCCCCTGTCGACCGGTCACACCCGTCGTGTGCTTCTTGTCATGATCGAGAAATATCGGGAAAATCCGTCGTCAATTGAATGTATAAACAATGGACTAACAATTAGTATGAAAAACGTCAGTCAGCATTTGACTCAGTGATAAATTATACTTGCTGACAAGGTCATATTGTATCGACCGTAGAACTTACGAAATGATGACTTTAAACGAGACTGCTGATATTCTTGTTTCATCAACTTGTTTGTCAATTATCTACCGTTTTAGAAATTGATCATACGTAGAGCACGCTCTTGTGTATCAAATCAACTGAGATATATACACTCCGTATGCAGGTGATGAAGGTATATTGCTGTATAAGTAAGGGAAGTTGAGGGTAGAAAATTTAATGGCATCACGTTTATCATAAAGCTTGGTTGTTAGATTACCAATAATGTCTTTCAAGTAAAAGACTAATATAACTGTTTTCAAATAATATTTGTATTTTCTCCTTCCTGTGTCAATTATATCCAAGTATGAAACAGATGTGTCAGACTCTGGTATCTTTTATCTCAAGCTCGCAAGGAAACCGTATCGACAAAGGAATGGAAATTGCCATTCTTAATTGACAATACGTCGTCAATATTTCTGAATGTCGAGTTGAAGGCCACAGCAAGTGTTTTCTTCTTTTCACGCATAAGATTGTGACCGGTCGGCAGGGGATGTTCACCCCTCCATGACACCTGATTCCACCTCTGATCTTTTGGAGGTCAGTGTTTGCTCTGCTCCTATTTGTATTGTTTTATGGACTTTTGATATTGAATACAGTTCGTTATCTCCATATGTTTCATTTCAATGCGCGGGTAACTTTAATGTGATATGATATATATATACTATATATACGATATATACTAGTATATGGTGATAATGAATAGTATCCATGCCCATAAGTCCATTCTAACAGCACAAGTCAGGAGCAGAGCAAACACCGACCTCTAAATCATCAGAGATGGGATCAGGTGCCATGGAAAAGAGAGCATCCTCTGCTGACTGGTACCACCCACCATGTGCTCCTTGTCATGATTAGGATTATAGAAAAATCTCTCGACATTTAAGTGAGTATATAATGGCCCAAAATATATATTATGTGATTTCAGTATTTTTCATATACTCTCTTTACAATTAAGTCAAAGTTTTGATTTTTTTTCTGTTTTTCTCTCTCTATTACAAATTGTATATATCATCATGTTTGTCTTTAAGTCCTAATAAGTTCTCCTTTTACATATGTTGTCATGTGTCTTACCAGTTAATAATGCTATCTTTTCAATAGAAATGGATGTGATCTTGAATAAATCCTCGAAGTATAGGGTATGGATGTCAATATACAGAGTGTTCTCAGTAAAACTATATGTACATACTTGGGATAAGAGACTGTTGTCAAACATTTTATCATTGAATTATAAGTACTGTGCAAAATTATAGAAACATAAAATCGATCTTTCAAATGTAATTAATCTTTATTCGCATATTTAAGTCATTTAAGTCATGCAAGTGTTAAGATTATCTATGAAGAGTGTTAAAACTGGACAATAAAAGATATAAAGAGATTGTTAGGAATTTTCATCCTACGTCTACTTTTTGTGGAGAGAATTATTTTAGAAGGTTATTAAAATGAAAAAAAACAAACAAACAAACAAACAAAACAAAACAAAACATAACTATATGAATTTCCTGATTGACACATCGTATCCTGTATTTTTAAAAATTTCAAACTTAAGTAAGAGTTGCTAAAAACAACACTATCTTGTATATTTGTATTAAATCGTGTAATATAATAGAATGAAATATATCTAATTTTTTAAAGGGATGAATCATGAAATTTTCACAAAGATGATTTATTTATCTGTATAAAAAAATTATATCCTATACAGTATGCTGACTGATGAAGATGCGTACCAAGAAAATACTGCATAAAATTCTCTTTTACTCTTAGCTGACACTGTCACAAATATTGAACTAAAATTTAAAAATCTGTTAACACAATTGCAGAACACCTTTTAATCACAGCATTATCACATTATCCTCTTCTGAGAGACATTGATACTTAGATACCAAAATATGTCCTTCGGTAGTGGTTACACATAGATGGTTATGAACAGGTTATATGGGCCATGAACAGATAACACTGCAGCTCATATCTAGGCCAGCGTCAGGATTATACGAAGACTGAACATGGAGAAGAAAGGTATTTGTCGAAAATATCTTATGTTTGCTTTTTGCTGTGCATTATGTAAATACATGATAGTGAAAAAAAATTATTTTCAATGTTGTATGAAGCCACGCTTATTTGACCTATAAAGTTTATGTTTATGGATCATTTACTTATTTATTTAAACTGAAATGAACCGAGGAGAGATAAAATATCTGCAAATTTTGTTATTAGTTAAAATTCTCAAATTCGCAAAAATTAAATATTCAAACAATAATTCATTTTTCCTACTTCAAGAAAATGGCGTACCAAGTTTTATTTCGTCAAGCTTGTCGTCAATATATTGTCTCCATACAGTTTTCCTTAAATCCTTGGTCCTATGACCTTATAATCAATAAGGATAAAATATCATTTAATAAAACAAGAGGCCCACGGGCCTTATAGGTCACCTGAGTATCATGTAACAACTTTCCAGCGATTGTATTTGGTTCGTGTTTTAAGCCAAAAGCCATGAAATTCACAAATTTTGAAAGAGGCACCATTGCTTATCAAAGGGCAGATTTCAAAGCATTAATTTATTTTTAGTCAAAGTACCCCCCTGGTACCCCTGACCCAGCAGCCTTGAAATTATCTATTTTGAAAGAGGCCCCTTTCTTCATTATAAAGCCAGCATTAGTTTTTAGCCGGGCTTATTTCTCAAAGAGCAATTACTGGCTTATGTGATCCTGTTCAAGGCAGGATGTTGACCCCATAGTCGCCATTTTAAAGTTACGTGCAAAAATATAGTTCTTACTCTCAACTGCTTTTGAGATAATACAAACGCTAAATAAAGCAACAAAAATAAAACGAAGTTTTATCTATATAAAATAAACATTAGTAGTAATGACTTTGAAAACTTCATAAGTCAAAGAACATAGTTCATTAGCGTAAGGATTTTTGATAATCAGTGTTACCGTAGTTCTCTACACATACAAGGTAAAGCAGGAGAGGGAACCAGACTGGTCTGTTTGTTTACATTCAGCTGCGGTACCAGATTAATTCTGATTCTGACAAAATCGGACCGTGGTATTAGGATTGCAAAACTTACTGTCAGTGTCTTATCATTTATATTGATAGTTTTAAAATATTTTTTTCATCAGAATATAAAAGTGATTCATGTAAGAAATCCATTCTACTCTGTAAATGAGCCCGGCTCTCTGTACTTCTGAGTACTTTGATTATGTTTAGGTTTAGTTATGAACATGAGAATAAAAATGTTCCGAAGGAGAAGGAAATAAAATATTTTTTTTTTTGATAAATCAATTATTAACATTTCTACATTCTTTTTTATGCTTTCCTAATAGGCTCCTTACCACTGGACACATAATGCTTACAAATAGGAAAGTAGAACATTTAATTGCTTATTTCATCATCTGCCAGTTTGGGCCAGTTATATAAATTTTGTGATGTTGATCAAAGTATATTTTAAAAAATCAATTCTTTAAAAGTCTTTCAATATATCTTCATTTTTTAATATGTGTTAGGTGAATGTGTATTCTAAAATTTACTTGATGCCTAAAATTATAATTCCTATCATAAAACAGACAGGGAGTATTGGGAAGTAGAGTCAACATTTTTTCAATTAAGTGTAAAATAATTTTTCTGGCTGATACAAATGATACTACATGCCTGTATATATTTGTATATTCTTGCCTTTTAATAGTTGATTTTTTTTTAAATTTCTTCAGGTTATTATTTCTTCGTCAAATGGACTTCACTTCTCCCATAGTTTTATTCATTATATCTGATGCATAAGCAACCCTTTTCTGAAGAATGATGCTTAGACTGTAAGCTATAACAGAGACCTAAACAATGTCCCTGGCAATATGCAATAGCTACCACGGGCAGTTTAAAACATGGGGGAGGGAAAAAAAAAATTACAGTTACTTTTGAAACGAATACATAATTATCTCACCAGCATGTCATTGTGCAACAAAGTCGTCAGCATTTTATTTGTCCTTTGAACGGGGGAAACGTTTTGAATGGTACTCTTATCGATGAATTTTACACTAAACCAAGCTATCTAGATCTAGCTTTATTTACCCGCTGTTTCAGAAAACCGGAAGTGCGAGTTCGTAAATTTGATATCTCGATCCCGACTCAAATTTGACATCGGAAAGAAAATTTTTTTTATTTTTTTCTCTGAAAATTCAAAATCTTGAGCGGAGGGTTTGTAAAACTGAATATAGAATAAATCCTGGCCTTCAATATGTAATTAGATCATTAGCATATTAACCAGGAGCAGAGGATAAGATGTTCAAAGAATTCATGCATTTCACTATATAATCATTAGAGCCCCACCCTAAAACAAGAACCCCTGACCCTGGGGCCATAAAATTCACAATTTTGGTAGAGGCACTCTTGCTCATTATAACTATGTACTTAGTTAGTTTATTTAATACCCAGGAGCAGAGAAGAAGATTTTCAAAGATTTCATGTATTTTCACTATATAAACAATAGAGCCCCGCCCTAACACCAGAACACCTGACCCTGGGTTCATAAAATTCACAATTTTGGTAGAGGCACTCTTGCTCATCATAACTATGTACTTAGTTGGTTTATTTAATACCCAGGAGCAGAGAAGAAGATTTTCAAAGAAATAATGCATTTTCACTACCTACTTATTTAGCCCCGCCCTAGCACTAGAACCCCTGACCCCAGGGCCATGAATTTCACAATTTTGGTAGAGGACTCATTGCTGATTACAATCATCCACACAGTTTGACTGCTTGATGTCCAGGAGTAAAGAAGAAGATTTTTGAAGATTGCATTAATTTTAGTGGTTTTGGCCCCACCCCTCAGGCCCCAGGGGGGTAGGGATCATGAAATTCACAATTTTTGTTCCCCTTCACCCATAGATGCTTTGTGCCAAATTTGGTTGAAATTGGTTCAGTGGTTGCAGAGAAGAAGCTGAAAATGTTCAAATGTTAACGCACGACGCACGACGCACGACGAACGACGACAGACGAAAACGGATAGCAATAGGTCACCTGAGTTTACTCAGGTGACCTAAAAAATCTTCCAAGATTGATGTCTGACAGACAAAGTGATCTTAACCTCTGTCCAGTTAGGCCCTTAATGTTTAACCTAGTGTCATGAAATTTAACATTGATCAGCAATTTCTTAGGACGAACCACTAATATTGAATGTGTCTTGCATATGACTTTAAAGGATTTTGAGCGATCAGAATATTCTTATGCTTTAATCTTTTGTAAACTTGATTTCAATGAAAGTCAATAACATCTTAAAGGGAACAATAATTCAAAGACTGCAATTGCTCTCTGCTAAGCAAATAGTTCTCAAGATTTTATTCGAACAAAGTTTTCTACATTTAGAGTTATTCAATTCTATACCTTTTGACCCCTAAATCGTAAGGGGTAATGGCTTTTTCAGAGCTATCAGTATTCTAACTTTGATGTTTGTTTTTAATATATTGTTGCTTATTTACTTTCAAATGGAAATAGACCTTAACCAGAACAATGTATGATGTTTATGATATATTGCAATAAAGTAAAGAAGGGACATCTGTACCAATAATTTTACTTTATCTTGCGTAGGGTTTTTGGAGCGTTTGAGAGCGGGAGAAACAATCTTAGTAGCGGAGGGATACATGTGGGAGTTTGACAGACGTGGTTATCTGAATCGTGGTCACAATGCGCCGGAAGTAGTTATGGAACATCCTGATCTTGTAAAGGCAATGCATCAAGAATTTGTTCATGCAGGGAGTGACGTTGTACTGGCATTTACCGTATGTTCGCATTAGATTCTTCATGTCATAAATTGGATGACATAATTTCCAACTGCTTTTGCAAAGGACGTTTTTACATGCGTACTTTTCAAATCATTTATTTTCATAAGTGCGTTGTGGATACCTCAATCTTGTCTCATAGAATTCTGGCAACAATATCTTAAAATTTAAAGAAGCAGAGGTCACCTTTCATTTATCCCTCTTCTTCTTTTTTTTTTTTTAGAAATCCTTCAGTTAAACAGAGGTTTTGGTAAAATCTCATGCAATGATCAAAACAATGTATTTCATCGGAGGAAACACCCCCCCCCTTATAAAAAAAAAAACAAGTTAATCTATACAGATGTTTGTTTTATTAGTATTGTGCTCACCGAGAGAGATTGAAATCAATAAATAAAGAAGACTATGTAGAGAAGCTGAATCGACAGGCTCTTCGAATAGCTAAAGAAGTGGCAGAAGAAACAGGAGCTCTCTTTGCAGGGGGAATATGTCACACAAGGGTCTATGATGAAAATGATCCTGTCGCTGTGGAAAAGTGTCGGCAAATGTTTAAGGTTTATTGCTTTCTTTTTGATATATATGAAAACACACGTATATACTCAATGGTATAAAATTTCTTGGGCTTTGATTTTCCCTAACGAATTGAAAATATTTGCACAATATTATATTAAAAGTATAAATGACTGGCACTAATGTTATAAAGTAAACTCTTCTGTCTTAGATTATGCAACCTTATTTATTCTATCAAAAGTGCAGTAAACTGTGTCCTAAATGTGTAATGCACTGTCAACGTTTCCAGGAAATGGTGGAGTGGGCTGTCGAGGAGGGAGTAGACTATATCACAGGAGAGACATTTGACATCGTTAGTGAAGCCCTGTTAGCATTAGAATGCATTCAAAAGTACGGAAAAGGTAAAGATCGATCTCACCTGTCAGATAAGGCCACTTCTTAATTTTTACCTCAGTATACTGTTGTGATCTTCGTTTGAGTTTCATACTTGATGGAAAGAGGCATAATAACATAAAAACTAGCTTAGGAAATTACTTTGCTAAAAATTCCTGTCCTCTGCGATGTAGGGTAAATCTATTTAAAATTGAGAAATGGAGTTGACTTTTGACTCTCATTGTTCATAACTTAATTGCAAATATTTATGAATCGAAATTTTATAGGAATCCCAGCCGTAATTACATTTGCACCATACTGTCCAGACGAAACGGTAGATGGCGTTCCAATACCAGAGGCTTGTCGTCGATTGGAGGAGGCTGGGGCAGCAGTTGTCGGCCTTAATTGTGCTCGAGGACCCAAAACGATGATTCCGCTGCTCAAAGAAATCCGAAAAACTTGCAAGGTTATTATCTTTCTCTCATGACTTTAAGCAAGTGAAGGATTATTAGGAAATCAAAATTTTTCGATTATTTTTCCAACTTTGTCGAAAAAGAGCGTCTTATCTTAAATTGCTTGTTTGCTACTCGAATCCACTGCAGATCTTAGAAACTGGTCAACGGACATCAATGTGCTTTGTCATAACTTTATGCTGGTACAAAAAGATCCTTCACTGCGCGATCAATGGTTAAGTGTCAAGTGCAGATCCAATTAAAAAAAATAAAACTGTACAAAACTTAAGAAACCGGTGTTGGTAGATTTTAATTGCAGAAATAAACAACGTTATATATTTAAGGGTCCAATCGCTGCCTTACCTGTACCATTTCAATGTCGAGATGATTGTAGAACGTTTTACTCAATCAAGGACAAAGAATCAGGTACTACATTTTTACAAACAGTTTCATCTATTTATTTCACCTGACTTGCTCTTTTTTCCTGATTTTTTCCTTCTTATCTTTAGACATTCCTCGCCAAATGTTTAATTACAGGTGAATATTTATATCCACGGAATCTGGAAAGTGCAAGGTGTGGTGCTAAGGACATTATAGAATTTGCCAAAGAGGCCAAGGAGATAGGTGTACAGTACCTTGGACTGTGTTGTGGGAATACTGCGGCCTACATGAGAGATCTGGCGGAGACCATAGGGAGACGGCCCCCTGCCAGCAAGTATTCCATGGACATGTCAAAATCGTACATCCAGACAGCTAACGCAGATAAACTTAATGTCATGGCAAAGAAAACACGTCTCTATATGTATGGAACAGATCATATGATTCAATGATTTATAAATTTAAAGATGGACCCCGTTCTCCATTTTAATTTATATAAGAAACGTATGTACAAAATAATCAAGTCATTTTGAAATTTTTTTTATATTAAAGAGAATTAATATATACTAATAAAAAGTATAACACCCGCATGCATTTGTTTGATTCTGTACTCCTCGGTAAAATATTAACAGCAGTGAAGGAAATACTTCATGAGAACTAAACAATTATACATTCGAGAAGTAGTGCAAATAAGAAGTAGAAAATTAAAAATTACAAGGAATATATTTATGGATTTATTGTTTACGAAGCTGGTAATCACCAAGGGTATGACACGAGAGGAATGGGTATTTAAATCAAACAATATTTCTAAAAAAGAATAGACACTTCATTCGCTTTAAATGCAATATTTCCAATAAAGAAAAGGTTCATTCACTTCAAAATCAAACCCAAGAATCTGACAAATATTGAGGAATAATTTTTCCCATGTAAAAAAATAATAAAAATCCGTAATGTTGCCTAAATAAAAACATTTGTAAATTTATTGTAATTGAACCAATTCTATAATTCTGTCAATACAATTCGGGCAATTATTAACAAATTATTTACCAGGACAAGCGAGATATCAAACGATGCTTGGTACATATGAGAATTTGTAAATATATAACCTTTGAAGAATGTAGTTATTATTTATGACATAAATATATCTTAAAGTACAATTCGTCTTAATTGAATTTCAATGAAATATATTTATTCCATGTCACACAAACAAATGAAAAGCACAAGATGCCACATGTACTATTAACATAATTAACTAAAGTCTGACATATTTAATGAATCAGGTTGTCAAAATGATCTAACATTGAGTATCTGAACATTTCATAGAGAACATTGGTAACCTATATGTTTAATAAGGCAGGGTTTCTAGAAATGCAGACAAATGCATGTTAGTGCACGAGTCTCTCTGACTGGGTCGATAATCATTTTGCATTTTGATAAATGTCCTCACTTCTTTTCTAAAATGTGTCATACACTATTTATTGACACATAAAATCTAAATTACGAAATTTATGGAGATAGCGAACTGTATTCAAGCTCAAAAGTCCATTTAACTATGCGAATTACGTGTACTTCTAAAACGTCAGAGGAGGGATCAGGTGGTATGGAGAAGTGAGCATCCCCTGTCACGCCCGCTGCGTGCTCAAAGTCATCAGTGTATTGATAATGACCTTATATTTAGTATGGAAAAGTTCATTTGACTTAAATCACTTAATTATTATAGATTGTATTTGCTGATAAATTAATGTGTCGAATAAAGAACTTACAAAATGATGGTTAAAAAGACGACAAAGTATTTCAGTTTCTATGTTAATACGTTATTCTATTAGTTTAATCCTTTCTTTTTCTTGATAAAAAAAAAGAGAGAATTATCTCTTTTTTTAAATAGTCTTCTATTGAAGAGTAAATACGAATAAAAAGAATAAAATGAAATCTAGATTCATGAACATTTTCATTTCCTAGTCAAGACAGCGAAGATTAATGCAATTAAAATTTGTTTAGATTAATTAAAACATTGAATAAACCCTGAACTTATTACCACAAACCTTGTTAATTAATTTGATAATTTTGTGACACACATGTGTAAAATACATTTTACAAGATGATTTATGAATGTCTTATTTTAAATTTCACACCTGTTTCTTTTCTAATTAGAAATTAATTTCAAAATATTAAGACCCTTGCCTATTCTACTGTGCTTGCAATACATTATTTTCATTTCTACCATGAATTCTAATCTCTATCTATGTTTATTAAAGTCGAAAATACCTATATCTATGCATCTATGAGAGCTAAATACTATTTAGATTTCTGTGGTAACATCTTAAAATGCTGTGCCAAGAGAGAAGAATCTGATTTTAAAGGACATTGTCAATACCAATGGTTCTAAATCATGGAAAGTCGAGACGGTTTTTCAAGAGATTTAAAATACTAGTATATCAGCATTTGGAAGTGACAAAATTGCAGGGATGCTTACTCCTCCATGACACCGTATCCCACCTCTGATGTTTTACATGTCCGAGTTTGCTCTGCTCCTGATTTGTAGTGTTTGAATGGACATTTGAGTAGTAATTACATTCATTCCTTAAGCATTAATACTATTCGTCATCTCCATGTTTATTTTCTTTTTAAGGTAAGTCACTCCTGAAATTTGTTAAATCAAGGATTTTTTGAGAAGTATATTTTGGATAAGTATTCATAAAGTGTAACTCAAAATCGCAAAGAAAATAGGGGGTCAGTGTGCATCCTACTGATCTACGGTACAATTAAGTTGACCTTTTTGCACTTAAATTTGATCTCTTTGGTTAATTACTTTAACCCTTATTATATTTGATCAGATGTAAGCATGGCAATAAATATAATCTTATTTTACGTAAAATAGTTTGAATAATATTTATCATTAAACAAATCTTGCAAATTATTGCGCGTAAATTATTGTGTGACCTTTTTGCACTAAAAAATAACATATTTGGGGTATTAAGGTTTTCAATCCCTAATAGGAACAAATTCAATGAAATTGAATACATAACAGATATGTAGGCATTGAATACTCAGTTTATTTAGATATGCTTCCCATATATCACTATTAGTATGTATAGTGGGATGTGTCCTAATTTATGACCTTGAATTTTGGTAAGAATTATCTCCCCTTTTTTACTTAATGAAAAAAATTCATTTTAAAAATTTTAGATGGTAAAAAAAATTGTTTTCAATTGTCATTCTATTTTTAATGTATCAATGCGTCTTTCCACCGCAGGATTTATTGATTTTCAAATTATTTGAATTTTATTTTGAAAAAACGCTTTCCCCCATAGACTTCAATGCAATCTTTGTTAATTAACTATTGCTTAATTAATGAAATTTTTAAAACTTTCTTGTGGGCAATCCTTTTCCACTATAAAATGCTTTAATATGATATCAGAATATTATGTACTTGACGGACATTTAAGGGTAGGGAATTTGGTCTGATTAAGGATGGAAATCCTTAAAAAACTTAATAGGCAATAAAAATTTTTCTTATATCAAACTTTTTACGACTTAAGTGCTGATCAGTCACAAGTATCGAGTAGTTTAAAATAATGAAAGAAAAAGGTGGGGTCAGTGATATTAATTTTGAAATATTTGTCAAAATATGTGATTTTCAGGCCAAAAATGGTGTAAATTTGATCTTGACTTCTTTAATATATTTTCATTTTTTTGAAAAGTTTGTTGAGGGAAGGTGTAAAACTTGGTCTAAAAATATAAATTAGAGACCTATATTAAATATTTTTAGCAATATCAAAACGGAAAATATTCTCTGAGTAAAATTATGTGAGGCTAAATTTCCATTACATTAAATTTTATAAATGTGCAGATTTGCAGAATTATCTGCTAAATATCCTTCCACCAAAAGAAATAGTCCCTCATAAATCTTGCTTCTTTGTAGAATTTTGAGCAGTTTTTTCATTGAATGTTAAAAAATTTACATTGTTGAATTTAAATATGTTATAAAAATTGAATTTTTAATAAGTAGTTTTGAAGTAAAAGCTTCTGCGTGAACTTTTCTAAAAAGCTGACGAGTGACTTACCTTAATGACAAAATGGTAAACTATTAAAAAAGTTTACATCTACATGAGACTGATATGATTATCTTAATATCACTGTAGACATGAGAATAAATCATAGAATCCTGAATGACAAAAAGTGATGTTTTAAAAGAAGTTTGAGAACTCGTGTGTTAAAATGATTTTTTTTTACTTAAGTACACTTAACAACGTGGCATTGTGGGGAAAATCCTATTAACTTTTTCATACTGATTTTCAATAGTACAAAACTGTTGGTCACTTTTGATAAACTAGAAATAGATATCAATTTCACAAAATTATTTTTGTTTCATTGTTATCAAAATATAAATCTTATGAGTAGGTTGAACAAATCATACAATGATGTTTATCTTTTTCCATCAAAAATTGTATCCTGTACCATGTACTATTATATTCTGTCACCTAACGTTAATCAATGAAGAAAGAAAAATAGATTAATTAACACTTTAATTTTAATTCTCTCTCTCTCTCTCTCTCTTATTACTCTCTCCCTGATTCTCTTTTAAAAACAAGTATTTCCCATGTACTAAAATATAAAGATTGATAAAAAAAAATCCTATATACATCCACTTGTATTGTTAGCATCATTTCACATCCACGTTTCACTAAATACATATAGTTTTCTCTTTCTCCATAGCAAACTATATAATTTAAGCTAGTGAAATAACGGGATCATGTAATTTCATAAAAATTGACAAGTTAAAGAAGTTGTTCCCCCAAAAAACTATCATGCAATAATTGCCTTACAAGATAATAAATTAAAGAGTTGACAGATTGAAATGGACATGCCATTGGACACAAAAAGATACAGCGGACAAAATAAGTATCATTTACGTGTCCTATTAAAATAACATTTTGAATAAAAACTCAAGGTAAACCTTGTGAAAATTTGATGAAATATATGGAGATAACGAACAGTATTCAGACTCAAAAGTTCTTTTCACAAAAAAAATTAGAAGCAGAGCAATCACGGACATCCAAAACATCAGAGATGGGATCAGGTACCATGGAGGAGTGATCATCCCCTGCCGACCGGTCACACCCATCGTGTGCTGCTTGTCTTGATTGACAACGGAAATCCGTCGAAAATTCAGTGTGTAAAATAATTGCCTAACAATTATTTTGAAAAATGTCAGTCGGTATTTGACTTAATGATACATGTAGATTGTATTTACTGAAAAAGTCATTGTATCGACCAAATGACTTACTAAATGATGAGTTTAATCAACACTACTGATATTCTTGTTTCATCAACATGCATGCTCTTGCGTATCGAATCAACTGAGATATTAAAACTCCGTATGCAGGTTATGAAGGTATATTGCTGATAGCCATTAGTGATTGATAAAAATACTTAAGAACACTATAGTTCATTTTAAAAATAAGAAGTACAAAATCTGCAGCCCTCACGAGGCCCAATTGGTACCCATGGGAATCCCAATAGACTGCTGGAAGATCTGATCTCCAAAAAAAACCACATACATACATATTGTCAATCAGAAACTCAAGCACTTTTATATCAACTTCAGAGTACTTGTATGTACAATTGGAATGTTTTTAGCAAAAAAATTTTGCAAATGATCATCCTCAATCAAAAATCAATTGTAATACATTTCCTTATTTAAATTCACACTAACTTTAATTTACTTCATACAAAATAATACTTCAGTACATGAATAACATTATTTTGTCAACAATAAAATAAATTCGTCGTCGTATGTAGTAGAAATCAGCATTTGCGACCAAAATCTTATTTTTTCGTAATCTACAAGAATGTACTTATTTATCATTCATTTTCAGCCTAATTTGTACAAACCTCATTTCCACAAAACAAGCATTTAATGACAAATCTTATGGTTTTGTCTCTAAAGGCACTTGTTAAAAATTTATTAGCCCGTCTTAAGATGCCTCCCACAACAGGAATATAACGGAACCCTGCTAATTATAAATGGTAAGTTTACATAATCTTATTCTCTTAATTTCTCCACAAAATCTACCTGCTCCTTTTTTGTCCTAGCCTGTGAACAATCATTGTTCAAAAATTATTTTTAACAGTACTTTTCTTTATCCTCTTTCTCTCTTTTTGATAGAAAGGTGACAGATTTCCATTAAATGAAGAAAATGACTCTTTCTTCCTAACTTAAAAAAAAAAATACAATCTAAAATTTTAATTTCGCCTTCAAAATCACAGACGTTTTCCGGTATTCGGGAATAGCAATTTACCTTTATTACCTGCACAAGGGGCTAATGTCTCTCAGTTGATCTATAACGTAAGAGCACGCTCTATTTTCTAAGAATTTCTACAACAAGGCAAACTATTTACAAACAAGATGATAAAACAGGGCTATAGAAAGTCTCGTTTAAAGTCAAAGTTAAGTAATTTCTGATTTTCATAAAATGGTAAGGCTATTATCTACACACCCAATCATGGCACCTGATTCTAACTCCGGTATTTTAGAATTCCCTGCCTGCCCTGGTCCCGATTTGTATTATGACAAATGGAGGTAAGTAATAGAATTCAAGTTTAAAATTTCATTGAAACAATAAAATTTGGGAGCAGAGCATACAAAAACCTCCAAAAACATCAGGAGTGGATCAGGTGTCATTAAGATGAAAGCATCCTCTATCGACCAGTCACGTCCAAAGTGTGCTCTTTTATATGGTCGGGAAAATGGAATCATCTATAGAAAGTTCAGTATATAAATACTGGTAATGGCGTAACATTTGATATGAAAAACTCAAAACTCAGTCAGCATTTAACTTAACGATAAATCGCATTTGCTGACAAGATCATTTTATAAATAATATCAAGCTATATGCTGTTTCAATAAAACTCTGAGCTTGATTACTGGTGTCATTTTCATAGTTCATGTATGCAACAAAAATGGGTGATTGAATTTCTAGTTTCTTTTGTATTGCTAATAAACAGAGGTTTATATCATGAAAGAAAATGACAAAGTGTCACAATTTTTTACATTTGAGCAATTTCCTTTGTACTAAGCTAAAATTTAAATTCGTAAAGTCGCTCGACATAAAATATCTCTCTCTCTCTCTCTCTCTCTCTCTCTCTTATAAGATAATCTGTTTCGATGAAATGAAAAATATTTTAGCATGTTTAGTTGAAAATTGTTAATAACTTTCCATCATACTTGTGAGAACAATAACTGAATTAGTCTGTTTAAAGTACACATGTACATTTCAGGTTATCAAAATATAGAATATTGACCACATATTAGTCACACGATATATGCAACATTTTCAATTACAAAAAAAGATGAAACGTTGAATTATCTAAATGATCAAATCTTGCGTAAGTATATGATCTATTTGATTATTGAAATTTTGGACTATAAATGTGAGACGAAAATTAGCCAATATATCTTTACATTTCAAAGGTAAGTCAAATTATGAGTTTCTTTTTGAAAAAGATAACTCTTTTAAATTGTTTACTCTAAATAAATACTTAAAGGTTGACAACTATTAGTCATATATATAACAGTTATATAATCTATCTTTTCTTCATTTAATATAATCTCTCTTTACTTTATTTACTCTATAATATTGCCAGAATCGGAACATCCACTTATAATAAAATCATGCGTTTTGTAAAGTGAAAAAGAAAAAAAAAACTATGATAAAACGTTAATTCATGACAGGTTATAATAACAAAATTTTACCTGTTATTTAATTTTTCTCACATTCTTGAAGTAAATCTGACCTTCAGCGAGTTAATTATTACTCCTCCATGGCACCTGATCCGACCTCTGATAATTTAGACGGCCATGTCTGCTTCTGTCTCTTCTGCTATCTATTCTGTGCTAGTAGCCGAGGGATCATATCTTCCAAGTAACCGTGTAGAAACATGATTTTATGTGAAACCTTCATTTTTTTTTAAAAGGTACTCTTAATACTAAAAAGAAATGATAGCTTCTGTGGTATCATCATTGTTCCAAGGTTTCTTACGTTTGGAAATTTTGTTATCATCCTCAGAAAAATAACTTTGACATGCAATAAATTTAATAATTGAATATATTCTTTATACGGGGCCATACGAAATCATGTCACAAAAATAAACAGAATTCTGCTTGCCTTCGAATATCGATCCCAAGTAAAATTATTTCTTAGTATATGTTAAATTTTGATATGAAAGTCATATACAGGCTAATATTATACGCCTTTCCCCTTAATTTGAAAAAAAGTACAAATCGGAAGTGTATTCGTATTATTTCTTGTTGCAGAATGAAATCTCTAAGTACTCTTCCTCTAATAACAAAAAAACATCGTCGAAATGAAAATTGAAAAAAATAGACCTTCAATAAAGCAGATCGGCTTCTTGATTTCTGAAAAATATTAATCGTATTAGTTAACGTATTATCCAGAAGAAGCAACGGAAATATCAATGTATTTTTATAAATTAAAGGAAGATTGAATTATATCTTACAATATAATTATTGTTATCTTTCTAAATTCAAAACGTCAAAATTTTAAATTGGCAAAAAAGTAAAGTGCCAACTTTTCTCGGAACTGTGCAATGCAGTTCATATAATTCTCAAAGACTTGTAGTAAGGATTTATATCTGAAAACAAACGCCAAAACAGGTAATAATGTCTTAATGAACTAGAAACCCTGTGTTGGTGCAAAGTTAAGAGTAGCTTTAAGTAAGAAATATTTATCTTGATTTGACATTTACTTTTTTTCTGTCAATTATACATCGAATATGTTTAGAAAATTAGTTAAGTAAGGAATGTAATGTGCGGTTTATAATAAAAGTACAAACATGTATTTTGTGTGTCTGATCTATATCAATTGTACTTTTAAAGAAATTAAAATCATGAATCTTCAGAAACAAACCAGCTAGTACTTCAAGGTGATTTTTCACATTTTCCGATCAAAGATATTTGCTTATGATCAACTTTTTTGATTTTGCTTTATTGTAATATGTGCAATGTATATTAATTTTTATTCGACCCAACGCTCAATAATTAAAGAAATATAACAAGTTAGTATCACTTTCTTCCTTTATAAGCTAACTTAATCTGTTTGTATTCAGTTGACGATCCCAAGAGGAGGAGATGTTTTCGTCATTTATGATTTCGACCTTTCTGTTTGCTGGTAAGTACATATGTGGTTTTATTTTATCTTTATACGAATTGAAACAAAATAGAGAAAACCATTACGTTTGCATGAGGTAAACATAAAGAGGTGACATATATGCGTTTAGTACCATTTTGAAACATGGTTTGCCTCACTAATAAAATAGAAACCTTATAGAACTTCTGTATTTTTAAAACCATTATATCTTGAAGCATCGTAGATAAATCACTAAATGTTGTTTAAAGAAATAAATTGTCTTCTTTTTACCTGTAGGGACTCAGGTGCAATCTTTGTGTGAGTAATTATGAAGTTGAAATTTATTGCTAAAATATATAAGTAATTAACATGCTTTTATTTTTAATATGAATATTCATTAATGAACCAAAACTTTTTTTTTGTTGATAATTTCGGTTGAAAATTTATTTTAGCTTGAAATAAAATGCAATAAAATAAAATAAATGTTTATACAATACATTTAGCTAAATCTAGAGTCAGGCCTTGTGTAATAATGATAGTAGCTTAATGATTTTATCTTCTCCTTTAGCGTTTAAGTACCTGTCTGATTTTATTGTGGAGGGAGGGAGTTCTCTTGCTGTAACTTCTGAAGAGAAGAGCGAGTTTGTCTACAGCCTGTCACGTGAATGTCCGTCAACATGTAGAGGTTTGTGATGTTTTTCAAAAGAAGCAAAAAATGAAAGACGTGTTTCTAATTGAAATAATCATTTTTCTGGATTTGATGTAATTAAATAAATATATTAAAAACGCTCAGAATTTATCATTTATGCTAAAAATTTCGTGATTACATCATTTTATCTCTTTTTTGAAACAGAAGGAGCGGCTTTTCCTGTGAGCTTATATACAACTCGTGACCATAACGGCTTCTTTTTGAAAGCCGAAGACAATGATGTGGTGGATCAATTATTCACCATTCGGGTGGATGTCTACAACAAAACAAATGTTGATAAATCCCTGAAAATTCTCCGATTCACATTTGTCGACGATGACGGTAAGTTTTTATTATTTTATTTGTAAATTTTACATCTTCTCTGATCCAAAACGTGAACAAAGACGAAGGGTCCTTAAATTGAAGCAACTTTCTCTAAAAATTGTTTGGAAAGACAAAATGGATTTGTATAGATACATTCAACATGTTGACTCAGGTCCCCTGATGCAGTGAGGTTGATATGGACATTGTAAATGAAATTCAAAATTTATTTTGGTTTAGTGAAACAGGGACATCACGAAGAAATTTTGTGTTCCTACAGTGTATGTTGAAATAGAAATGGGATTATATCAATTACATATACTGCTTCAATTTTTACCTAAAATTCTTTTTTTTTTCTTTGTTATGACGTATCTTTTAACTTACCTTAAATAGCAATAAAAGTTGCTGTATAGTGTCTGGATCCATTTTGACATCCAAATGCATTAATAATTCAAAAGTATTTTTTGTTCTCAGAATCTATGCTTATAGAAAAGAAATGTTTTTGTTATTCCAGTGTTAATGAAATTCATTTTTCTTTTTTCCCAGAGAAACCCCTCAGTCTTACAGAGGGTTTGTGGAATCCACTTCAAGTAACAGTAGCGCATCCTCCAAATTTGCCTCAAACCGAATATACATTTGCAGATGTTTTAAACCAGGGTAAGAGAAATTCATTATGTGGTGGAGGGTCTTAAATCAGTGTGCTCCTTTTAAACTAGTGCATTTTAACTGACTTTATAGATATATGAATTATCACAAGGTATAGATTTTACTGATCAGGTATCACCATGTACCCTATCATTATAAAACTAAAACAAGAGGCCCATGGGCCACATCGCTCACCTGAGAAGCTTTGACCATTCTGTTTTTTACCAGATTTCCCCCTTGTTATACATAATGCATCCCCACCCTGAAATCTACACTACCCCATGATCCTTCCATGGGCACATATGTTTCAGCTTTTTTGGCCCAGTGGTTCCGGAGAAGAAGATTTTCAAAGATTTTTCCTATATATTTCTATGTAAAACTTTGATTCCCTATAATAGCCCCGCCCTTCCCCCGGGGGTCATGATTCCTACAATTTAGAATTTACACTACCCCAGAATGCTTCCACATAAGTTTCAGCTTTTCTGGCCCAGTGGTTCTTGAGAAGAAGATTTTCAAAGATTTTTCCCATATATTTCTATATAAAACTTTGATTCCCTATAATGGCCCCGCCCTTCCCCCGGGGGTCATGATTCCTACAATTTAGAATTAACACTACCCCAGAATGCTTCCACATAAGTTTCAGCTTTTCTGGCCCAGTGGTTCTTGAGAAGAAGATTTTCATAGATTTTTCCCATATATTTCTATGTAAAACTTTAATACCCCATTGTGGCTCCGCCCTTCCCCCGGGGGTCATGATTTGAACAATTTAGAATCTACACTACCCCAGGATGCTTCCACATAAGTTTCAGCTTTTCTGGCCCAGTGGTTCTTGAGAAGAAGATTTTCAAAGATTTTTCCTATATATTTCTATATAAAACTTTGATTCCCCATTGTGGCCCCGCCCTTCCCCCGGGGGTCATTATTTGAACAATTTAGAATCTACATTATGCCAGGATGCTTCCACATAAGTTTCAGCTTGTCTGGCCCAGTGGTTCTTGAGAAGAAGACATTCATAGATTTTTCCTATATATTTCTATGTAAAACTTTGATTCCCCATCGTGGCCCCGCCCTTCCCCCGGGGGTCAGGATGTGAACAATTTAGAATCTAGATTATACCTTTATGCTTCCACATAAGTTTCAGCTTTTCTGGCCCAGTGGTTCTTGAGAAGAAGATTTTCAAAGATTTTTCCTATATATTTCTATATAAAAATTTGATTCCCCATTGTGGCCCCGCCCTTCCCCCGGGGGTCATTATTCGAACAATTTAGAATCTACATTATAACAGGATGCTTCCACATAAGTTTCAGCTTGTCTGGCCCAGTGGTTCTTGAGAAGAAGATTTTCAAAGATTTTTCCTATATATTTCTATGTAAAACTTTGATTCCCCATTGTGGCCCCGCCCTTCCCCCGGGGGTCATAATGTGAACAATTTAGAATCTACACTATACCAGGATGCTTCCACATAAGTTTCAGCTTTTCTGGCCCAGTGGTTCTTGAGAAGAAGATTTTTTAATGACCCCACCCTATTTTTGTCTTTTCTTGATTATCTCCCCTTGCGAGGGGATATGTCCCTTCATTTTAACAATTTAAATTCCCCTTCACCCAAGGATGCTTTGTGGCAAGTTTGGTTGAAATTGGCCCAGTGGTTCTTGAGAAGAAGTCGAAAATGTGAAAAGTTTACAGACAGACAGACAGACAGACAGACGGACAGACAGACGGACGCCGGACAAAATGTGATCAGAAAAGCTCACTTGAGCCTTCGGCTCAGGTGAGCTAAAAACTAATATTATATGCAGTCTTAAAGAGTATGTGACAGGATGATGTTTGCTCAGACTACAGAAGGATAAAACTGATGGCTAAAAATCTTTTAATTGAAAAATAGATAATAATTTCATGTTTTCCACGTCATTTGTATGTTTGGTGTAGAGCTTTCGAGAGTAGAAACTTTCGAAAAGTATCATACCATTGATATATTTGTACGTGCCTATAACAGAATGCTAAAAATAAATAATTTTATTAATGATAATGGCAAAAAAATGTTATGGTTATGCTCAAATCGTAATCATTTAAATGTTTTGATAAAGCGTCAGAACATTTAATGTAAAACTGCATTCATTGTTCTCTGATTCTGACAAAATTTATATAAAATGCTTATTACTAACAAAATGATTTCTTCGAGAATTATCGTAGTTTCAGTGAGTCTCGGTAATGTATCCTTTTATTTCTACGATAATCTAATTCTAAACAATTCAAATATACATCAATGACTGTTCTTAAACGTCCGGAGATCTAATATAAAGTCATTGTCATAGAGTAAAACGTTGATGGGCGGGGGCGTTATTTAATGGCATTTACTTCTAGGCAGTCTCCTGCCTCTCCACAGTCCTGGCTTTGTAGTAGAATATTCCTGGGAAGCTTTATATGACTCTCTCTTTTTCCAGGAAAAATTACAACACAACTGTTTCCCTTTCTCTAATTTCAGAATTTAACAAAGAATGGGAGCGAGCTCCTTTGAAGGTGGTATTTCAAGAAAATGAGGGAGGAAATAAGACTTTGCAGATCAATCCTATAGACGATGATGAAGTAAGGGATCATCCCAAACAAATTCTAGTTATTAAAAGACTGTCGACGTGTGAGCCTGTACAACGTTACTACCAACATTTTGCAGTTCAAGTGCAAGAAAATGATGGTACGTTATATCTGATAAGTAGCAACGTCTCCCCATTTTTTGTGTGAAAATTGGTATTTATGAATATATCATTTCACTCATATATTCTAAAGAGAGTTTGAGTATATTTCGTTGTTACGTGTAGCCTGAATTTTCCGCCCTTTTGTCCGACTTTCATCTAACTCAAACGCCTCTTACAATTTCAAAGTACCCAATGATTTTTTTGAAATATGATAGATGGTTTCCTCAGATTTGCACTCAAATATGTATTCCGATAAAGCTTTAGAATTTTCACTGTTATTTTTGGGACCAAAAATTTGTCAAAAATTGATTTTTTTCGAAATCTTTTGGATGATGATTGACTATATAATGCTATATATTTCATGGAATTTTCATATTCATTCATGTGGGTCACAGAGGGGTCAAAAAGCTTTAAAATAAAAAATAATACAATGCCTTAACTAATAACTCCTCTTATCTTTAAAATCAGTGGCCAATCATCTTTTGGAAGATGATTGTTTGTGTCATCAAAAAGGTTTCGAAGTTATCATTTATACTAAATGAAGATAAAAAGACGCCTATTCCTACAAGAAATGTTGACTGGAGGTGTCCTGTACATTCCATGCAATTAATGGTCGAATTTTAAAACAGAATTCAAATTATAATATATTGTATTTTCATTTGAATACTAATTCAATGATATAAAGTTTAACAATTATTTTTCTATCTTTTTCAGTGTTCGGGGAATTTACGCAGTGGTCTACTTGGTCAAGCTGTACAAGAGAAGCGTTACCATTCAGGGATTGCTTTAAAACGCGGACTCGGAAATGTGAACATATAAAACCTAATTTCGGCGGAACCCCAATTTGCAAAGGAAACAGTGTCGAAGAAATGCCATGTAGCAGCTGCACATAGGCTAAAATCACAACTGTCCATGTAGCATCTTCAGTGTGAATGCTTGTTAATTTTTTTTATGTTATTTATTATCTTTAGTGTTCATTGAATTCCCAATTTATTTTTATTTTTGTCTTTGTCTATACTTCTTTGATTTTTTTTTGTTCTTTTTTTTCTGTTTTGCTTTTATGCCAAAAATTAATGTTTTTAAGATAATAATAATAATAAAAAAAGAAGTTAGCGAATTGTTTCTTTTAAGTTTAGTATGTGAAGATAGTTTTTATGGTTATTGCTAAGAACATACAGTACTCTATAAATGCCTGTGTGTTTTGAGTAATTACGTTTCCTGTAAATATATATTTGAGATTTGATAATTTCCTTATATAATATGATAAACTTTGATGATTTAATAATCTATGAAGAAATACTATAGTTAAAGACATACAATTATCATTTGTAAAAATGTTCGATTACTTAAACGCTGAATGCATTATTCTGAGCGAAAGTAAATAGTATATAGCAGACAGAGAAATGTCATAAACTCTCTTTTCAATGCATCCTTCACTTATAAACAAAAAAAAATTATATTTTGTATTTTTATTCACAAAGATTTAGAATACTGTAACACAAATTGTATGTCATGTTAACTGAACTATGATTAATGTACACGTGATTCGTAACCATAACTTAACCTAACATCACCAGTCAGTTGAACTAATATTATCTGCAGTGTATACACATAAGAGTGTGCAAAGATAGATAAATCTAATATAGATTCTCTATAATTGTCCACCTCATGCGTTGTCCTTACCAATCATAAATTCCCTAATTTTCGTTGAACGTTTGAATCTATCATCTTTACTCGGCTTACCGAAGATATGGCTAAGATTTAAGTTAGGAGCATATTTCGTAGTTGGCGGTTTTCTACCGTAAGCTTCCGCTAGTTCCCGGAAGTAAAAGGAGGCGTTGCCACAACAGAGACCTATGTATTCCACCCCCGCTTCCTTAGCTTCCACTGCCCACGTCTTTATGTCCGATCTGCTGCACCGGGCGGCCTCCAGATCAAAGGGATATAATGGTTTTCCTGAAAAAAAAAAACCCCCAAAAATATCTTATTGTAATTTTTAAATATATTCTTATATATACCATTACATGTAAAACATACTATTATTTGTCACTGCACACATTTTTTTGCTACACTGTGATGTAAATACAGAAAACACCGTTAATTACATAACTTATAATAAATTAAAATATTTTTAGCATTATATAAGACCAAGAGTAAGAAATTTAATTAATTATTTTCATGAATTTTTCCATTGTAAGTAAACAAATGGTAAACAACAGTGATTTCTGCTCACAAATATTCAACTGTCTTTGAACATTTTTCCTGCGCAAGTAAGGCAATGAAAAAGTCTCAATATGCATATCTTTATATGATATTTTGTCCAAAAAACAGTTTCAAAAATGGAAATAAATATTATCATAAATGATATATTTATATATCTATATATTATATACATAATATTGTTCTGACAATTTTTTTGCAAACTATAGTAACATGAAATATTTTCAGACCTTGGTATCACAGGCACTTGTTTCGGAAATAAATTTTTAATCTTTAATATAATAATAACAAAAAAAATGTCCCTGTACTTAATATGTTTTTAATGAAATGAAATGCTTATGACATGTTTTGAAATAAAATAAGGTAAACAAAAAGTTAACGTTGAAAAATCGCCAGAACAAAGCTTATTTTAGGATAAAAGGTATCAAACTTATGTGAAACAACTGTTGAACTTTTATGTGTACTAGTATGCATCGCGGATATAATATGTCATTGACCCATACTTGTGACGTGAACTTACTAAACACCTACATGTACTCATATCATAATATCCTACTCTCTCACTAGAAGCAATATTTAACCATTATAAGGCGGCTAAGTTCTTCAACTATGTATCGCAAATATGAAATCTCAGAAGATCTTTTAAGGTTAAACACACCATTTTCTGGATCCTTTAGGGACTGGAATGTCCTACAATCATCTCTGCAGCGGAAAGTCACAGGTAACATGGCGACGGGACCCTAGAAAGGAAATAAATCCATGTGCATTGCATTTAATATTCATTTTATTGAAATCATACAGAGAATACATGAAGAATAGTCTTTTGAAGAAAAAATTGTTACAGAAGATGGTCGAGTTGACATTCGGAAGTCAGACACCTACTATCGCAAAAGCTCTTTTGGTCTTTCACCAATAGAGCTAGGGAAAAGAAATCATATGTTATTAAAATTTCAAACACTTAAACAACTACCAAAAACATCCAACTGAATGATGCAAAAGGTTCTGATTGATTAATTGTTACTTATCGCCGAGCTAGCAATGTGTCATCCATATTTGACGCTGATGAAGGCATATACCAAACATGGAAGTTCCACAATGTAATAATACATTATTAAAGTTATAGAACTAATGGAGTTCCATTTTTACCTTGCAAACTTTTTTGATCTCCTTGACGAGTGGTATCATTGTTTTGGGGCCCCTCCCACAATTCAGCCCCACCACCGCCGCCCCCGCCTCCTCCAGACGACGGCACGCCTCAGGAATGGGGACGTCATCTGTCGTGGTGTCGGGAAAGTAGGCCGTCAACGTGATTACCGCAGGCACTCCTAGATACAATGCAAGTAATATCTTAAGATGAACCGTAGAATGCATGGACATATACTCATGAAACAAAAATATTAAATCATCAACAATATTTCACCGATTCATTAAGTATATTAAAATTCTTCATAGTACCAAGTACCTTCTTGGCAACAGGATTTGCTTCATAGCTTGCATTATCTGCATTTTTTATTATAAAATGAAATATTTGGTTAATACATTTTTGAGTTCAATGTTATATGTTTGGTCGAACCCTTACCTTTCCCATAGTCCTGAATGGCCTTCAAAGCAAGCATGGCTTCTCCCAAGTCATTGAAAGTTTCGCCAATTATGAAGTCTACATCATACTCTACTGCCCACTCAATTTGCTCCTGGAGAAAATTAAATTCAATTGTACTTTTGTATTTCTATTAATAAATTAACGAGCTTTATCTGAAGAAAGACTGGTAGTTTGAGTCCCTTCTTTGTTAGAGGTAGGGCTTTTCAAATTCGGCATATAAGAATGAACCTGCTCCAACAACTTTCAACCTGCTTTCGGGGCTATAAAACTAAGAGGAGTTCATTTTTAATCTCCGTCTCACTTTCCCTCCATACATTATTATACATTTTCTGTAGCGAGATTAAAATAAAAAGTGAGCTTTTTCAGATTTATTGCAAGGTCATTCTTCAAGAGAATAAGGCCAGATTCAACATCCGCAGTGTGATTGATAGACTGCATTCCTGGAAGGATCAACCATGTAAGACTGATTCAGAAAGAACATTTCAGCACTCTTTACTTTGGAATGAACCTGCTCCAACACTTTTACAAGGGCTGTTCAATAAATAATGTCCTGAGCTCTATGACATACAACATAGAAATCATTTGACATAAAGCTTGACTTTATCTCATGATTGAATCTTTAATGAATTGATTAGTTTATGTGACCACTTTTAATTACATATTTTCATTGTGAGAAGCTGGAAAACAATGGCTTTTCGAGACACTGCATTAAAATTAATGGTAAAGAATCAGTAAACTAAATTAAAGCTGCTGTAAAACTCGTTAAGAATCCCAACGAAATATTCTCTGAAATATGTGGAATTTACACATGAGCATGTGGATTTTAATGAACAAAAATGATATAATGGGCATCAAAAATGTGTACCGTACTTGGCGACAAGGACTTACAACAACCAATGTACTGTTTGCCAAAATTCAACAAATTATGAGAGACGGATGTTTGATTGATTTTAAGACACATAGCAGAATTGATAAGCATAATTTTGGGGGTAGTTTACACTATTCTAGAGAAAAAAAAATTAGCAGTAAAAAAGCTTAGTACTCAATGGTCACCCTATCTTTTGAAAAATGAGTAAAAACGACAGTATGTAAAAATATCAAAACAATTATTTTAAAAAATCAAAAATTGTTGGTGTATGGGGTAAACGTTTGTCTCAAAGGTTTTCTAAACATTGAAAAGATTGTTAATCAGAATGTTCTTTTGTTATAAATCTCAAAACAAATTTACTTTCATGAAGTGAATCTGTAAAAATATATGTGTTTTTCATATCTAATATATAAAGTTACTTATCATTTAGTATCGAAACAACGACAGGTCCCTTTTTTTAGAACATCGAATTTTACTTCTCGGATAAAAACGTTCTCTGCGCAGTTCGTGTTTTATATTCTAAAATTGAAAATTAATACATGATGCGTGTGTCCAACTTCATTCTATATTTTATGCAGCCAACATTTACTTGTGGAATTGATCAAGTTTAAAATGGTATCGTTTTTGATTGATTTTTATCCGACTACAAGTTTTTAAAAATATTTGCAACTGTCGTCTCCATCAATTAGACGCATGTCTTTTTACGCGTATCGAAGCGGTTTGTTGATCAAGACTCATTTTCATAGTTTACTTTACATATTTCCCGGGCGACAATTGATGATTACATCAATGTTTTCTTGTTTTAAAATTGTTGTTATAAACGTTTGTCTGAAATTCAACTCTCAAAACAAATTTATTGGATGCGCTTGACAAAAACAGCCGATGTCTGAGAAGAGCAAAGAATTGCATAAGCACAGACATTTTATATGCCATTTTCTTAAATATTAGTGGTCTTGTTCAAATTCGTATTCGGTGAGGCGGTTCATTTTCTGGAAAATTCTAGAAAGCAAATTTTTGCATCAAAAAAAAACTTTAACCTGGGACGTTAGCTTCAGAAACTAGTTTTTCATAAGCTCCTCCATCGTTTTTGAGAATGACCATAAATCACTCTGATTCTACAAATGCTCGTAATAATTGATTACCTCGAGTTCTTCATGATTATGTTTACGTGGTCTTTTGAGACCATGTCTTCCAATAGTCTGTTTGAATATTGGAGCTATGTATGGCACGCCAAATTCACAAAAATGAGATAATCATAGTTTCACAAAAGCGATAAACCTAGTTTATCGATTGTAAACTATAGTTTACGGACTGTAAACTATAGTTAACAACGTTAATCTATATTTTACATCTGTAAACCATATTAACACCGAAAACAATCATTTGCGATTGCAAAACATAGATTATCTGATAAATACAGTTTCACGATTTGTAAACTATAGTTTACAAACCGTTAACTATAGTTAACGATCTGATAAATATAGTTTCACGATTTGTGAAACTATGATTAACAACTCTTAACTATAGTTTACGATTGTAAACTATAGTTTACACACGTGAATCTATGTTTATCAACAAAATCTATTGTTAACACTTTATTCAGAGAGATAAACTTAGATTAACATTCGTAAACTACAGTTAACGACCGTTAAATATAGTTTTACAGATGAAAACTGTAGTTAACGAATCGTTAACTATAGTTTACGGTTTGTAAACTATAGTTTACAGTCGATAAACCCAGTTTATCAATTGTGAAACTAGCTTTTGCTCATTTTTGTGAATTTGGCGTGCCATAGCCATGAATGAAACATGTCGTTCACAATTACGTTACAATTATGACGACCAAACAAAAAATTTACGAAATGCGGACTTTAACGAGTTGTTAACAAGTCCCTGCAACATCAACTTGTCTGTGAGTAGCTTCTTTTGGATAAATATCTATCGCACTCATAACACACTCTCGAGTACCAAATAAGCTGGAAGACAAAAACACCACAAGGAGATGATAGTGAAATCTTGTTCTGACGAACAGAATATACCCATGAAAGCTTACTTTGAACATTGATGTGACAGTAGCAAATGTGGATTCGTCCTCGGGGTTGTAAACCCCTGTATTACAGATCCCTCCAGCGAGTAGTTTACCATGCTTTGTGGCTATTTCCTTTGCTATTTGCAGGGCATCTCTGTTTAACCTTTCTAGGTCATCTTCTCGACCAATCAGGCGCAGTTTTTCACGATGTCCATAGTACTACAAAATATCTAAATTAAGTACGGTAACATTTTAAAAATCAGTCGATGACATTCTATTTTTAATGACCTGTAAAAGGTAATATTACAGATTGCAAGAGAGGGGTGGCAATGATCAAGGACGGGAAAAACTAAATATAAATTTAAAAATACTGTAATATTTACACTTCCTCACTAACCGTAAATGCTTCTATGACGTCGGTACCAGCATGGACGAATTCTTCGTGAAGAGCACGCACTATTTCAGGATTGTCTATAACTACTTCTGGAATAAAACCTCCAGCAGTAAGATAGCCTCTTCTTTCCAACTCCCACATATATCCTTCCGCTATTAGGATTTTTTCGCCATTTTTTAAACGTTCAACCAGTCCTATGCAAAAAATTGCAGTGTACAAATATATATGGCATTGCCATTGATATTACAAAATATGCAAGATGTTCTGAGGAAATCTTTGCTTACACAAGTAACTACATTACACCATGCATATTTAGATATTTTTTAATTCATTTCTGTGCTATGCTTTTGCAGCCAAGTCAAAAATGCTCGTTTCTTTTTTTATGTAACTTTATGTATATTAGCCTACAAATAGTAAAAGGCTACCCAAACCATGCATTTCTATAAGACCTTTTGCAGAACAAGACATTGCAATACTATGCAATACTATGCGACTTCGACTGTACATGTATGCTATCGAAATGTATACTGTATAATAGATTGCCACTTCGTATGAATTACATCAACATTTCATTTCGAGTGATTAGAGCGATTCTAGAGCCTTAGATTAAGGCTCTAATCCTTAAGTTAATTATGCCATGGTTTCTAATCCATTTGCGGGACGTGGAGACTAGTCCATACGATGAGACTGTATAAATCGAGGTCCCTTGTCGCATGTAGGTACTAGCACAAAAAGGTTCTCACTTGTTAGAAGCCATTCTTGCCAAGTACAGATTTACAGCCCTCCACCAATGAGTGACAATTCTCAAAGGGAAGCTATGCAAACAAATAGACCAGCAAACCAACTTGTTGTATGTGTACTTGTTTGTATAGTATAGCAGGGAAACAACCACATCGAGAATCAGTGCATTAACCACTTTTGCTAACTATGAATTCCACAGCAATCTATATATGCCTACTTCACCGTGTGCTCGAAGGTGCCCATCTTCATGGCATTTTTTTTCATTATTGCTATTAATGTCAAATGTGGTGTTTTCCCTGAGGGTATTACGCAGCTTCTATCATTACAGCCATGTCAAACAGTTTCGAAGACATACTTACAAGTAAAATTATACAAGATTTGCTCCTACACGACTGGAGAACATTGGAGTGTTATGTCAACTGATGCAGCTGGTAGAGGAGTTGCATAGTGCAAACATATTGATATGCAAACACATTGGATTTCTTACCCTTTCTTGTGTTAGGATCACAGTTTTGTAAAAATTACTGAAGGGATGTTTGTCAGTAGGTGTTGGCACAAAAAAAGATCCTTCAGTGCAGTAAAGTAAATGTCTAAAAGTTGCAGTCCTCAAAAGTCTCATTACGAATGAAAATTCTACAAGGGTACGCTAAGCAAACAAACAAACGTACAGCAATTATATAGTAAGCATAATATCTGTCAAACCTAGAATTACTTTTTCATGCCAGGACCTGCTGCGACACGGACCTCGGTTTAGACAGTATCATTTGAAGGCCTCGCAGCCACGTCCCACACTATATCCGTAAAGTGTGGCCGACATTATTCCGCTGTGGATCGTTTTCACTTTTCGTGCATTATGCTCTCAATCCAAAAGTATTACCCGGTCAATAAATCTTTTCTTTTCAGAATTTGAATATATATGTCGGCATTGCCCCTCCTCTATTTTAAATGCCTTTAAAAAATAATCTCAATTTGTCAAAAATGTGTTTTGCCAGATTTACTAGTTTCTTTATAGTTCGAAACAAGACTTAGAAAGTTAACAATGGACTGAATTTTACTTTGTGGTTGTCATTTTTCGCTATTTTTTCTGATTTACGATTTTTGTAATAAGTTTCAGCCTTATGTAATGTTCCTCTAAAATACATCATTAATAAGAAACATTTGTACTTTTCATATAAGTAATCTTTTATCGAAGGTCTCCTTAATGCATATCACTATCGATCTTTAACATGCTTGAGTCGAAGTTCATATTGATTTATTAAATGGGTTGAAGTTCAAAGTATAACTTTATTTAGTGTTGATCACTTAAGTCCGACTAAACTATAAACGGATAAAGATAACGAGATTTATTTCAGTTGTTTGTTTAAAGGGACACATTTGATTTATTCGCAAGGTCAAACCGTTGACTGTGCAGTGAGTACAATTTGCATCCTGGTCTGTTTCCTCGATCATGATAGTAGGTAGCCTAGTTATCTCCTTGAATGGGAAGAGTTAATATATATATCAGAAAATATTGCTGAGTACATTGATGATAAGTGGAAACGGGAGAGGATGAATGATATATATTAGTGATCTGTACCTCTATTTGGGCATTAATGAATGCCACCAAAATGAATTGAATGTCTTCAAGAGAAATATGTAATTAATGTCATGCACAGTATTGATTCTGAAAATGATTATGGCAATAACCAAAAATGTAAGAATCAACAGATAATGGTTTGGAATGTAGCTTGGTTTCTGTGTTAAATCAGATTAACAATAACGTAACTTAAATCAGTTTGAAGTTTAAAAAAAAAACATACGTATCTTTACTTTTGAACTTTGAAAAGCAAATTTAACAGTTTATTTTAGCAATTTTAAAGGAATTTGGGTTTTGCTATTTTGCAATTCATAATACTTTCCAATAATTGGGTTTGCAACATTTGGCTTCCGTACTCTTGTGTTTTATTTTTTTTTTGACTGCATGTAATTAATTAATTAAATAGAATATACTGAACTATAGTTTGACAAATCTTTTTTTTTTACGTTAACTGGGTTTCACACTGAGCATTTCCAAACTATTAATTTGTACTTTAATGGTTCATTCTCTTGTTTATAGTTAAGGTAGACCTCATTACTTTTACATTTTCTATAATGAATGAAATTCTAGCAAACTTAAATTTCACCATGTTCGCGGCGTCTCCGAATAGAAAAATGTTTCAAAGAAAATACTGTGGTATACATCATGGAAAATGTATGCGTGTTATCTTGTTAAATTTATTAGGAGAAAAAAATGACCTAAATACAACATAAAACTGTAAACAATGAAGCATTGCCCTCTTTTTACGTTATCATATAGCAAAACAAATACCTCCTAGTGGGCAGTACTCTCAAGAAACTAGGTAACAAAGAATGCAAATCCTTTTTGTTGCAAAATCTTACCTTGTTTTGCCATGATCACGGATTTTATGAATTACACGGGCACTGCAGAGGCAAGGTCAAAGTTCTTGTAAGTGTAAGGTGCGTGGACCTCTCTGCTGCACGTTAAAAACTGACTCGTATGGAAAGGGGGTGTTATCATAAGTTGATTGTTGTGCAAGTTAGAGGGGTCGATAATGGGGACATACCGGGTATAATGCATCAACTTGATAATGCCATATAACAAGGAAAGATAATGTATCTCGGTTTATTATTTGTAACCTACATGTACTGTGTATTATGTATGTGTACATAAGTACAAATGGATGATATGCAAATACTCTTCACTTTTGAAGAATTGAATACATACACCATGCAGACTTTTGTGAATTAATCCAGTCCACAACAAAAAAATCGTAATATTACGAAAATATGTAATATTGACGAAAATTCGTAATATTACAAAACATGGTATATAAGACATTTATTTATTATTTTTCGTAATATAATTATATTAAATTACTGACACTCGTAATATTAGACAATCATTGCTGTTTTTGAGGTCAATACGATGAATTATATACATGTATTGTAGCCACCTGAGTTGTTCAATTTTCACCGAGCCCGAAGGGCAAGGTGAATATAATTATACTTCAGGTGCATGGCTAAATCATTGTACATGTATTCACCGAAAAAACAGCAATAATTGTTTTCTAATTATATGCTTAAAAAATGAAATGATTCAACTGTAAATAAACAATTATTACTTGAATGTGACATAAAACAACATACAACCAATCAATCAAATAAAATTTTCATATTAATTAATCTTCAGGGTTTGGGGCTTTGTACTTAAGTATTATACATGTACATTGTATTCGAGGGAAATGTATACAATGCAATTTATTGCATAGGTTATTTGTTCACAGTATTAATATTTGTTAAAAATCATCCTTTTTCAATTCATGTTACCACAATTACATGACAATAAATAATATATGTTCAAAAAATAAAGCTATTCAAAGGCAGGGGGCATTTTTTTTTTACCAAAATTAATTTTGAAAATTTATATAAACCAAATAAAACAAATTAAATTTAGCCACTCTTCGAAAATATTAAACGCTGAATGAGCATATATATTGAATGCTATTTTTAAACAAAGTTTTACCTTACGAAAATATGTATATTACCGAAAATCACAAGTAACAAGAGTAATGTTCTCTGAAATATCAAGGGTGGGCTTTTATTCATAAAAACAAAATTTACTTATTTAATAGTAAAAGAGTTGTGTCGATTAAGTGAAGTCATTTGATCAAACGAGCGATGTAGCCCATGTGCTGCATGTTTTATTTTTTCAGACGCCAGCTTTATACGGGGATTCAAGTGTTATTTCATTTATAAGGTTAGGAGGATTGATTGATTGTATACTGTTTAACGTCCCTCTCCAGAATATTTCACTGATATGGAGCCGTCACCATTGCCGGTGAAGGGCTGCAAATTTAGGCCTATGCTCGGCACTTACGGCCTTTGAGCAGGGAGGGATCTTTATCGTGCCACACCTGCTGTGACACGGGGCCTCGGTTTATACGGTCTCATCCGAAGGACCGCCGCATTTAGTCGCCTTTTACGACAAGCAAGGGGGTACTGAGGACCTTTTTCATCCGGATCCCCACGGGGCAGGTTAGGAGGAAGTTTTACGTCAAATAACCACTTCATTGCTGCGGTCATTCACATATCCAGAACCGTAAACCAAGATCTTGCGTCGTAGTCGTTAATTGCCCGAGACTGAATTAATGTTCCTCAATACATGCTCAACAGAATAAGCGCCGAGTAGAAGTCTTGAAGTCCAATTTAACAACACAAATCGGGATGAGGCAACCGTGGACCTACAAAAACATCAGAGATGGGATAAGGGACCATGGAGGAATGTGCATCCCGGCTGACCGATTGCACTCGCTGTACAATCGCTGACCGATTGCACTTGCTTCTTGTTAAAAAAAAAGGAAAAGCAGAAGACATTTCAGAATGAAATATATGGAAGTAACGAAAAAATAGGAACAGAGCACGCACAGACCTCTAAAACATTAGAGGTGGGATCGGTTGCCATGGTGGAGTAAGCATCCCCTGCCGACCTGTCACATCCGTCGTGTGCTCTTGTCATGGTCTGGAAATAACGTAAAAATCCATTAATGTCTATTGAATGTGTAAATAATTGGACTAACAATTGCAGTTTGAAAAACGTCAGTGAGCATTTGGCTCATTATAAATTGTATTTGCTGACAAGGTCTTTGTATCGACCATAGAACTTATGAAATGATGACTTTAAAGGAGACTGCTGATATTTTTTATTTTATCAATTTGTTTGTCAATAATTTACCTCGTTTTAGAAATTGTTCATACGTAGAGCATGCTCTTCGAATCAACTGAGATATATAAACTCCGTATGCAGGCGATGAAGGTATATACCTGTGTATTGCTGCATAAGTAAGGGAAGTTGATAATAGAAAAGTTAAAGTAATCACATTTATCAAAGAGCTTTGTTGTAAGATTACCATTAACGTTTTTTTCAAGTAAAATATCCATTTTGACTTATTGATAAGAGTCAGTCTTGGGTAAAGGTCTGTTTGTTCAAATGAAGGACAACAAGAGGCCCAAGGGCCATATCGCTCACCTGAGCACATCTACTAGGAAAAAGCACATATCAGATCAAAACTGAAAGTTTACTGGGGGGGGGGGGGGGGGGCTTTAATTTTAACCCTCCTGGGTGTCATGATTTGAAAAACGTACAATCTACACTACCTGAGGATGATTCCATATAAATAGAAAAATATCACTTATCATGGCCTTGAAGTACTTGAAAAGAAGATTTTAAAAGGTTTCCTTATATATCCTTATGTACAACTTTGGTCAGCCATTTTCGGCCCAAAACTAGCAAGTGATTTCACAGTTCCATGAAGCAATGCTTAATTATATGAAAAAAAATAGAAACTCAATAAGTTTACATTAAAGATATAAATTTTATTTGACAATAAAAGTTATAAAACAACAAATTAAAATAAATTACATTGATAACAGATCATACGTGGAAAAAAAAAATTAAAATATGAGTTCAATAAAAAAATTCAGAAGCCATAAATTATATAAAGGGGTCATTAACAATGCAAGATATAAATCTACAATTATTACAAAGTTTTATTGAAAGGAATGTTTGTAACTGATATTGGTTTGGTCATTTCAAATAACAAGTTGGGAAAAATATTTTATTTATTCTCTCTCATTCTCAAACTCTTTCAACACACATATCAACATCTCACAACCTTAGAAATCTTGCATTGTTTAATGACACCTTACTGCATGTTAACTATAAACTGGAATGCTTTGCATGTACATATGTATCTCTTCATCTTAAAGCTTATAAACTCACAATTTTATTAATGCTCATATAAATGTCCCTGCAATAAAAGATTAATATGCAATCCTATACAGATAGATATGTATTCACAAGAAGTTAATATTTAGTTTCAATAAACATGTACACGATGCCTTTATTGAGATACACATGTATATAACTAACTCTCATAATGAACATTTGTTTTAAAGTTGCAAGCACAAGTTATTTTGTAGATATTCAGCCTATTTTGACAACAGTTTTTTAAGAAGTGTAAAACAAAGTGGTAAAAAACAACAATATGCTAAGAAATTGAACAGAAGAAGAAAGCATTGAAAACACATCTACTGTCAAAGTCTATACATTTATATTTACAAGTGATACCAAGATCTTCAATTAAAATAATGCTGGTTTCTTGTGAGCCACTTTTAATGAATTCTAAAATCAAAAAGCATTATTTAAAAAAAAACATGATATTGTTATCCATGTATTTATAAGCTGATTCAAACCATTATGCTGGTGTCTGCTACCAAGGGATAACACAAATGTTTGAATTAAATAACCCTCTAAAAAAAATCAGCAACCATTTGTATAAATTTTGATCCTTCTGCTTTACATATATCTTCTTTTTTTTTTAAATGTCATGATTACATAAAAATCCATATTTGTGAGCAAGCAGCTAGCTAGCATATGTAAATTACCATAAAAATACTATGTATTTCCTACATCATATAAAGGCACTTCTTGAAACCATTTTACACAACTTTGGAAAGGAAAAAAAATCTATTTCGAAAATGCTATTTTTTGTCCATAATATTATTTTTGTTACCTAAAATAATGGTATATCCCAGTTTTATACCTATGCAATCTACCAAAATTTAAACTACGGTAGAAATTGGTGTTTTATTTATTTCTACACAGTGAAAAACAGGGACGGTTGGAATTTTAACACATACTAATTCAAAATATACAGATATTTGTATTTAAATATTGCAATTTTATATAAAAATACACACATGTGGGCTCCAAAAACTCTACATACAGATTGCACTATTTAAAGAAAATTGTGGACAAATTCACAAAGATGCACAGAAAGTGAAAACACATGACTATATCTACACATGATCTTCAGACTACGAATTAAAAGCTACAACCATTTTTTTGTAGAGTCGAGTGACTTGATAGCTTCGATACAAATACAGACTTGAATACAAACTGTAATAATGGAAAACAGATTTGTAGGAATTCTTTTGAGTGCACCACATGTACAAGAGGTATCATAAAATGTGTACGTGTTCCATTAGACATGGCCGAAGTTCTGTTGCCAAATACAATATATACTCTTAACAATGAAATGAGGTTTCTTAGACCAGATAGAGATCTTTTTTAACAGCTGGTCAAACATACCTTAACTGTTACATGTACACAAGATGGGCTCAAATTGCCATGTACTACTTTAAAAAAAAAAGAGTAATTCAAAATGTCATTATGTGACAATGTATTTGAGAAAAAAATAATACAGTAGAATTAAAATAACTACAGAATGACTATAATTTTCTCTAAGATATAGAAATAATGATTGAAGCTAAAAGAACAATTCTACTGTCATCTTAAAAAAACTTCAGAATTAAGTTAAGAGCATCTTTTGAGTGGCAATTTGTTAGATGGATTTCTAATTAAAGGATAATCATTTATACATAAAAAAAAGTAATGAAAGGAAAATGCACCCTCAGAATTTAAAAAGCTTTCACATAAAAAATCCCATTCTTGAGGGTAAGTCAGATTCTCAGTTTCTAAGTAAATTTGCTATTAGGGAGTTTGGACTTGTAAGTTATATTTAACTCAGTTCTCTTTATTGCCAAACCTTCACTTAAACCGGTATATGCTTATTCTTTTTATTGCCAAATTTTAAATAATTTATAATTTTAAGAAACTTCAGGAATATTACATTACAGGTTGTATATAGATGAAGGGAGATAACTACCCAATAGTAAACATTTACATGTTCCTGAATTTCCAGGTAATTTTACATCAATATATTGTATAATATTCACACAACCCCCTAAAATATCCCTTTTTCTTAAATAATCCTTAGACTGTTTATTTTACTAAGAATCGGAATTTAGCTGTATAAATTTCTGATTCCTGCGGATTTTCTCCCTGGACCAGATTTGCCACCCAGGCCACACATTTGATCCGGATGACATGATTGGTCATTATGGTGTTGAACTGGACCATAACAGATGGAGCAATGTACTTGTCTGGATTTTTCTGCGGGAAGTATGTAAGGTTGAATCCAGTTTCAGGGAAATTTTGGATTGGCTTTTCTCTCATGGTGGGATGGTCTTTGTTATGGACAGGGGCATACCACCGGTCTGGTCCTATATGTTTTCTGTCATCTTCTCTCTGTAAGAAGTATATAATAAGTGAACAAATAATTACATGAAATGATGAGAAATAATTTAACAAAAACAATATTTCTTCTGGTATAACTAAAGGCTGCTATGAATTAACAATGGGACAATAATGTACTGTCACAATTTATTAAACAATTATGCATACAGTTATTTCCAACTAGTTAACCAGCTAGCAAAAAAAAAAAAACAAAACAAACAAAAAAACCAAGATTCTGAGGATAAGCAAGAACTACAGTTCTTACAAAATTATAGTTAACATGCTCATAGTGATTTCTTACTCCCTGTGAATCTATTTTCAAACCCCATGGTATTACATGTACATATGTAAAATGTATTGTGAACTTAACAAATATAGTAATTGCTGCAATTTATATTGAATGAAATTCCTCATTCCTCATCCCTGGCCTTTCACTATAAGGATATTTTACTGTATAATTTATTCAAAATCTAAGACTAAAACAATCACCCCATTTTATAACAAGGAAAGATTTATTCACAGACTTACCTCCCCATCACACTTAAGCCCTATATGGTTCAGGGACCATGTGTCATTTAACAGTCTTCCTACTTTAGAGTCCTTAGGAAAATTCTCTGGCACATCATCAGGTCTCTGAAGAAAAAAATCAAAGTATGTATGTATGTTTTCTGATCAGTATTCAATCATAATATTAAAGCTGAACACGACTCGTAAATAGGCATACGCCATTTTCGATAGCATTATCACGATACATCAATACTAGGGTATACTCGTCGCATTCGTTACACCTGACTGCTTTATTGTCACAGGTATCGGCGTGGAATGGCGACCCGTGTTCATGCTGGTTATCTTGCATTACATTTGTTTATATTTCACTGCAGTTACTTTTATTTGTGTTGTGTGTATACTGCACTGACTTATACAACTATAATTGTAAACTTATTTGGTATCTAATTTTCGAAGATTAGACGAAGTATTACGTTATTATTCTCGCTACTGAGTTCTGTATAGCATACGTCCGTCTTCTCCGGTGTCGACTGATTACACTGAACCGTGACTAAATTCTGCCCTATTTATAGGGGTCTGCAGAGTAGCGAGACTCGGGAACAAAAATGGCGGACAGATTCCTTTTATGAATCGTGTTCAGCTTTAAGCTGCATAATATCACATTAACCCATAGAAATTTTAACATACTTTCATTTTTGTCTAAAGAGCTTCAGCCGAAAGTAACCTTATTAGGTAATCGATTTAATAATTTACAATTTCAGAAATTGACCTCATTTTTAAATGTTTAGAGATGTAATACTCACAAAGACCTCTATTTTGTTGGTTAGTTTAAACTGCCTTTCACATAATGATACAGAAATATTAAAAATATCATCTACAATGTGCAATATGGACAAAAATTGTCCGACAGCTACTGAAACATTAAAATCGTACCAATTTCAATGTCAGAAGTACACAAGGTCGTCCTTGTAAATATCCATAGTTACCAAGATGAGTGCACTGTGACCCAAAAGTCTCTATTTTCTGTACACAAACTTTGCCATCAGGGACAGTTTCTCCATTTTTACACTCCATGTAAGGATCATTGTCATAGGAGTAACCATTGTAATCTGTAATTAAACATTTATCATTGATTAGAAATTTAGGATTCTTAAACATAATTCATTAAGGTGTGGATATTAATGAATTAATGCAAACTAATATGATGAGATTTCATTTTTTTTTAAATGCACCATTGAAATTCTTTGTTCCTTTATTTCCAAAGTGGCCAAAAGAACAAGAGAAGACATCATGGACATTGCATTCTTATTTTATGAAAGTCCCAAAACCAACTGTACATCCGGCAGCAACAAAGTTCAAAAAAGCCTTTTTTAGACTATAGGTCACAGTCAAGGTCATTGACCTTGGTGTCAATTGAAAGAACTTTATAAGTGGAGTATGCATACTAAGGTTCAAAAAGGCTATCTTTAGCATATAGGTCACAGTCAAGGTCACAAAGTCATTGACCCTGGTGCCATTTGAAAGAACTTGATTAGTGGAGTACGCATACCAAATTTGTAGTCAAAAGGTTATGGTGGAGGTTCGAAAAAGCTATTTTTTTTAGCATATAGGTCACAGTCAAGGTCAAAATGTCATTGACCTTGGTGTCAATTGAATTCTGTCAATTGAAAGAGCTTAATTAGTGGAGTATGCATCCCTAATAGGAAATCTCTATCTCTCATGGTTCAAAAGTTCTGGTGAAGGTTAAAGTTGACAGACAATAAAATAGACAGAAAGACGGCAAAAAAACCACAAAACAATCTATCAATCCGTGTGCATAAATAAGCAAAGTCAAACATTACACAGAGCTCCAGATAAGGTGCGTATTTGCAGAAATACACATTGGATTTTACAAAATACGCATTGAAAATTAAAATAGGGCGTTCAATTACGCATTAGCAATCGTATATAAGCATTACACCATGAATGCACTGCGTACAGCAGGTTGAAGAATACAGGTACGACTTACTTAATAATATGAATTGAGGTTAACACAGTGTTTGATTTTTCACAAAATGAAGTACAAATTTAAAAGCATTTTAGTGACCAGGAATATCCCAGTAATGGTGACGACGATCTCCATTTCGGGAGGAAGAATCAGAGATTTAGATTAGGCCATAATAAATAAATTGCTAGATTCTCATCCAATTTTTTTCAAAAATCGAGGCGGGCAAGCAGCTTTTATTTTACATTTTTTATTTTTTTCAATTTTGCAGATTTTTTATTGACTGGTCAATTGGTGTAATTTTATCTTCATTACCCGAATAAAAGTCATAGAAAAGGTTCAATTATTTCTTACTTCACATCATCACCAATCTTTTTCAACCAATGACCCTTGTTTAAAATATATACGCATGTATTACAGAAATTACCATCTTTTCAGCTGTCAAAATCATGTCGACTTTCGCGGGATTTAAAACGAAAGTAGAATGGTAGATAAATACCGATCCCAATCAGAATTAAGACGAAGAAAAACAGAAATAAAAAAAAATTGAGGCGGGGGTAAAAAATCAGGGCGGGCAGGGATGAGAATCTAGGAATATTTTTATTATGGTCTTAAAATCAATTCTTATAAATAGGAAAACTATGCACTAGGCATAACTTTTTTATTATGGGTTCATAGTAAATTTTTCTTTTCTCTCAACTTGTCATATTAAGTGTAAGATAACTTTCTTTATAAATCCTTGTCTCTCAGTAAACTTTTCTCTTGATACAATATCTTAAATGAAGGAAAATTTTTTTGTGTCTCTGAATCTATGGTACCTTGAGCTACTGACTATATTCTTCCTTGTCAAAAAAGAATGCTTCCCAATTATAGCAAAAAAACATTCTTGGTATTTTCAAAATTTAATTAAATAAATGCAGGAACTGACCTTAGTAGTTTTTCCCTCTTCAAAAAACATAATTCGATTACAAGCTCAAAATCAAAATAAAGGTCAAAACATTTATATATAAGCAAAATACTCTTCAATCATTTTGCTAAAAATCAAAATCTGCATTGATTTGAAAATCACTTTTGGGTTTTAAATACACTTTTGGGTAAAAAATTATCTGGAGCTCTGATTACAATAGCACTGAAATACACATTGTCATTTTATAACAGAATGATTGATTGATTGATTGTATATTGTTTAACGTCCCTCTTGAGAATTTTTCACTCGACATATGGAGACGCCACCACTTGCCGGTGGAGAGCTGCAAATTTTGTCCTATACACGGCACTTAGGCCAAAATAAAATTATAGTTTGTTTGGAATTGCCTCCCGCCTCATTGAAATGCCCCCTCCTGAAAAAATTTTACTGACCAAAAGTAGGAAGATTTTTTTTATTTAATCATTTTTGTTTTGCCCATCACATGTATCACAGGCACCACACAAAACACTGAAATATAGTGTCAGATCTATGTAAAATTAGGTTTTTCTGTTAATGGTAGATACTTTTTTTTAAAAGTCAGAAAATGTATTTACTGTTTACTAAGATTTTTATCAAAAATTTAAAATTTATCTTCAATTAAAAAAAATAATAATTCCCCTCCCTCCCTCCTGTGTCTAAAACCCTTCAGGCAGCAATTCCAAACAAACAATTTTTTAAGGATGGCCTTGCGGCCATTTAGAAGGGAAGAATCTTTATCGTGCCAGCACCTACTGTGGCACAGGAGCTCGGTTTATACGGTCTCATCCCAAGGACCGGTCTCACAGTGGGATTTGATCCCACGACGTAGAGACTGACTCCTTACTTCGCGACTCTAGGGCAGATGCTCTGACCACTGCTAGTGAATAAGAACAGAATGAGATACACTTACCATGCATGTGGAAATCTAGATTTTGTATGTATGGATTCATAGATTTCTGATTTTGTGGACTGAAGTGAATCAGGGGATTATCGCCGACATCAGGCTGGAAGAATAGCCCTGTAATAAAAAAAATCCAAATACATGTATAATGCAGGTAAAATTCCATTAATCATGTTAATATATTGAATATTTAGGCTACAGGCTACAAAACTTCATTAGTCTAAAGCCTACAGAAATCAAGTCAGATATTAGATTATAATAGAAATAGGCTACATTATATAATAAGTATATTGAATTTTATTTGTAATCTTATTTTGCCATGTACTCTTGATTCTATAAACATTATAAACATTCTATATATTTTTTGATAAAGAGACCTGCCTTCTACCATTGACTTTGAATATCTTGCATTCATACAAACTAAAGAGAAATCAAATATATGCGGATACATGTCCTTCCATTGATTTATAACTTCTAGTTGTGAATTATAGATCGATGAGGGCATGTCTCTTCTTTCTTCTATACATATTTATCAAGGATTCAATTCATTCAATACCATCATGATGTTTACTATACATTAGGGCTAGGACGATACAACTTTTTCTATATCGATACGTATCACGATATTTGAGCCACGATACGATATGTATCACGATATGTTTAATTGCTTATAAAATCTTTTTTTTGGCATTAAAATGAAATAAACAAATTATTTCTTTGCAAATGAGAATAATTTATTCAAAATAGTTGTTTATATGTTGTAAAACAAAAATATTTTACTCAAGTGGTTTAATTATTATTTATTTCTTTTCTATATTTATATTTAACTTATTTATTTTGTATATTAATCCCCAAATGTTAAATTAAAAAAGAAAAACAGAAGTCAGATTTTTTGGGCGATATTTTTTCAAATGTTTCGATATGTATATTGTCCTCACATATATCACAATATATCGATATCTCCATATATCGTCCCAGCCCTACTATACATGTATACATAATAATACCATGGCCTTATAACAATACTTTTACACAAGACAGATGGACAAAATCCCCTCACCATGATACAATGATTGTCCTAAATTACTTAAGTGACTGCTTCAACTGAACATGCTGAATGGGAAAAGTTTATGTTGCTGATAAATTTCACACATGATGACGCTTGATCAGCCATTCATTTTAACAGATAACTATCCTGACAAGTGAGTTAATGAACTATTCAGAACTACCCTCTCACATCCTTATATTTATTTACTTGAGATTCAACTACCAGGTACATGTTTATATTATCTGACAATGAGAATTACAGTTTTCCTTCTTCAATTTCTAGCTGTCTAACAATTGTAATATCTACACGATTTTGAAAATTTCCAATAAGGTCACAATTTTGTGGTTGTTTGGTTAAGATATTAAAGTAATGAACTCCTGTTTTATTCCAGGTATTTTGATTTTTCTGAAGTGCAAAGCTGAATAGAGAGTTTAACTGAGAGACCGAGTTGTGCAACAGAAAGAAACAATATAGGAATTGCACTTCACATTGTCTAATTCTGCCCTAATTTACAGATTCCACTAAAATTTATGTCAACCCCCTTTCCCATCAAACAGCATTATTTAAAGGAAATTCAGGATTTCATTGCTCAATGTTTTTCAAGGTCTGTGAATTCTCATTCCAAAGCATAATTTTGCTATAAGGCAAAGTAAATGAAAAAAGAAAATCAATTCTTAGTGCACAGAATGCCATCTGCAATCAAGTTTGGGAGCAGTCATATTGAACTGACATTCAGAATCAGTAAACAAGTCTGATTTGACAGATAGTTAAATAATTTTTCTAATATTTGTTTAACAATATAAATTCTATTTATAAATAGATCTATTGTAAATATATATACTACAAAATAACAGAGCTCAACCAACACTCCTACTCATTGCACTGTCATTCCCAGTCCAAGTGGACAACCTATATTACATCTGGCTTTGCCAAAAGGATCATAGTTAGGTTCAAATGTACTTTAATTTGTGTTACTGGCAAGTTCGGGTATTTTTACTGCATTATTAGGGAACTATATAATCTGAACTAGGGAGAGCCTTAGCAAGAGTTAATTTACAATCTAATTTAACTGAAAGATAGACAAATAAATTCAGAGAATTCAATATGTCCCCAACTTAAAAAAATAAGACGAGCTGTAAACATTTTGAAGAAGGAGAAATGAAAAAGATCAACTGTGATCTCTCAGCAATTGGCCCTGATTAGTACGCTAAAGGCTAGAATAAGAATGTATAAAGCTTAAAAGTTTCATTGCAAAATCTTACAGTAAAACTAATTATTTAATATTTCAAAACTATACATGCAGTATACATCTCTGGCCTTGACCTTTGACCTATTGAAAATTGATAGGTCTCTTCTTTAGGCCATAAGGAGTTGTGTTAATTTTTTTAAAGAAGCAACAGTGTTACGCACAGTACGCACAGATAGAATAACAGACAGACAGCTAGACAAACAGATTAATATCCCCCCCCACTTTCAGTGTAAGCATGGGACAAAAATGGCCCAAAAGTTGATGTAGAGACTTCTTTGAGCAACTTTATGTTCTTACATACATTTAGTTCCTACATTATATGCTATAGGTCCTAACAAATTGTGTGAGATATACATCATTACATGTATATGTGCTATAAATAATTACACCTTAAAAAACTTAACTTGTAGTGCATTTGATAACTTTTGCATAAATTAACATATTTTTCTGCATATATATGTATGACATTACATTTTTATTTCCTTAATTTAGATAAAACATATCACTGTAGTATACAATGGACACAGTTACGCTACCAAATTAAAATAAATTTAGCTTGTTTCTCCATACAGTGATATTGTGGAATTCTTTTCCACACTAGTGGTGGCAGCAGCCTCTTTGGACCAGTTCAGAACATTGGTCCAAAAATACATTCCATAGCCCTTTTATTGATACAGCTAACTGGAGCACATTGTAAATTGTTTTCCGTAGCACTTATGGTTATCTATACTTTTTACAGTGTATAATCATCAGGATAGTATACACTTATCCACTGGGTGTGAGTGGGATAGCTCTTTATCAAACCTGTGACAGAGAACTATTCCTTGAGGGCTTACCTGGTATACAAATGTACTGATGTATAATATATTTTCTGAGGTTTTAATTTTTTGGAGTAAGATAATTCTGCAAGAATAATCTGAAATCCTGATGATGTCACAATGCTATTGAAGTCATCATGACATCATCAAAGATTTATCGCTGGAAATCAAAATTGGCGGCAACAATTGCATGACAATTTTCCGAGGGTGGATTGCAAAAACTATACCCCGGGGTATAGTTTTGCTATGCTTGGACTATAAAGGAGTTATTTTACCTTCTGAACTTTATATAGGAAACATTTAACAGAAGCTTAATAAATGGTTAAATGATTCACTACAAATCCATCTGTCCCAATAATTTTAAAGAATAGGAAATTATTCAATTTGTGACAAATCTTAAACACGTACACCTTGTACTGCTGCTGCATGACTGCATTGTTTCATTCAACATAGTCAACAGAAAGAATACCAGGAATAAATAAAACATTTACAAAAATAGAGATCTGAACTGAAATAGCTTTGCTCGTAATGACAAGGTCTAACGTTAAGTCCGGTACTACGAATCACCGGAATGCCCCGTAATCACCGAAATGCCCCAAGGAATCACCGAAATGCCGCCGAAATGCCCCTTATTTTGTAATATATAAACAAAAAAATTATAAATATTGATGATTTTAACTGTTCTAGAGCTTAGATACAGAATAAAAATTTCATAATTTTAGCGTAAGTATTCTTATTTGGACAGAAGATTGTACATGTTACAATATCTAAGAAAGATAACTCTCACTGATTAAAGGCACGTGCCAAAATAGTCTTTTTTTTATTTTTCTTTTCTATTTAAATATATTCTAAACATAAATCATATTTTTCATATCAATGAAAATTCTGTTTGTAATATTATTTATGTATATTCTTGATTTCTAAAAACATCGTAGACTTCACATCTTAGAAGTTCATCACCAAAAACGAGTTATCGCCCTTTGTAGTATGATAAGCTTTGAGCACAAAACATGAAAATAATTAATTTTTTTGTCAGTTATGCTTTACTGAAATAATTAGGCATTAATTTTTATGAAAAACATCATGTAAAAACATATGCAAGGGCATTTCGGTGATTTTGATGGGCATTTCGGTGATTTTTAGGGGCATTTCGGTGATTACGGGGCATTCCGGTGATTCGTGTTACCCCGTTAAGTCTGCAATTTTCTTAAAAAAAAGAAAAAAAAAAAGAAAAAGAAATTCCCAACATACGTAAATATGATCTGAACATTTATCATAGATATGTTAAGAAGACTAACATTCCAATAAAACCTTGTAAATATATTTTGTCAAAGAAATTATCAAATCTTATATAAAAATAGAATAATCTCACAACACAAAATGGTGTGACCTGTAACTAAAAATTGTACATACGAAAGTGAAACTTGCGCTATTGTAACTTTACCGTAAGCCTTCTTGTTGGTGTTGTGTAGTAGTTTCTTTTCCTCTGATCCTTTCCTTTCAGAAGTGCTGATTATGACAATAGCTATTACCAAGAGTAGAAGAGCCAGAATAGCGCCCGCTATAGCTATTCGGCTGAACTTTCGCTTTACTTTGAAACAAGCGATCTTTATCGTATCCTCGTGTTTGTATTTCCTGGAGATAATAGAGACACCGGGGTACACCCCTGTACCAAATTCCTCTTGTTCATTGTCTGAATGGAGGTAGGCATTCTCAGGATAAGCAACTTTGTCGTACTTCGATTCCATTGTTCAAAACTTGTTCGCAATTTATGTCATCGATTTTCCTAAAATGCGTCACCACCGGAAATTAAAAATGTCACAGTAACTCGAACGCGAGTCTAGTCGGATGATGTTATTTAAAAAAAGTTTAAAGATTTGTATTTACACTCCACAGCAATTTTTCTCATAATATACATACTAGCGTTTCATATTTGACAGTTTCAATCACACAAATTCAAAACATTCATTGTTTAATTATGTTGCACAAACTACAAAATTGGGTTTTCAATGAAATATTTATCATGTCTTTATAGTGTAAAAATGCTATTATGACTCACTTATGGTCATATACTGTACATGATAATAATGTAGCGTATACCAGTACACTGATAATGATAAAGTTACACAGAAAAACCTTGTAGGCCCCTAGTACGAGGGTATCTTGTCTGTCGTTATGTTCTGGTTTTATTTTTGTACAGTCTTCAGAAAATTATTTTTTAAACATACATAGATTTTTGTGTGTGAATTCTGATTATTATTGTTTGCAGCTAACTGTAAAGTTTCACATCACTTCACGATCTTTTTCGTCAGATGCATCCAGCGTAAACAATTCATGTGATTGGTCGACTCAAATTATCAACACTGAAACGGAAAATAGTCTGTTGCACGAGCAACCAATCAGGGATAAGAAGAAAGTTCCAGTCGTAAAGCTTGCGGTTAGGAGGCGTGTACAATATACCTTGAGAGCAGCTGCCAACTACATTGTGACGTAACGTGAAACTTTACAGTCGACTGCAAACAATAGTATAATCCTCAAATTGCTGTTTAAAAACTTGATAAATAATATTTTCAAATGTAGATTTCATACTCTTTAAAAGAGTATGAAAACTAGATTTAAAAAGTTTACAGTGCAATTATTTGATCTTCTATGAGAGTTTTTGGTTATTTAATTAATTTAGCAGGGGAAAAAAACAAATAATTTGATCTCTAAATGTAAATTTTATTTTATTATCATTCCATGAAAAGCACTTTATTATAAAACAATTCTTACAAGAACTGAAAACAAGTAACAGGAAATAGACAATAATTCATAACAATTCAATAGCTCATTTTAAATAAATCAACAGTTAATATAATTAATATCACACAAATAGCTGATTCTAAACAAACCAATTAAAGCAATATCATGAGGTAATTGCTTGTCCAAATTAATTAAGTAATGTTGACAAATCATTTGAGTTCAAGATAAAATTTCCAGCAGTGACCACAGGAACAAATTTTCCTTCCATTCCATAAGGCAGTTCTATGTGGCCCTTGTCGGTGGAGATTTTGACAATCGACGGCTGCAGTGTTCCATCAGTGCAAGGTAAAATGGTGATTTTCTTGTCCGGATTTGCAGCAATTATTGCTGGAATATGTTCCATTCGAACATTAAATTCTGCAGGAGTGATCAACTTGTCAGAGCTCTTCTGCTGCATTGAATTATTGGTTTGGAACTCATTGCAAACTCCCTGCTGATTGGTTACATTCTGAATTAACTCGATGCAAACCTCATTCTGATTGGTTCCATTTTGAACCTGCTGAGAGGGTACTGTTTGAACTTGAGTCACTGTATTTGCTGGTGGTATCATCACGCTGGGGTCAGGATTGCTCAGAATCATATAATCTTGATTGTTTTCCTTCATGATTGGAACATTTGCATTGACTGGGTTAGGATGTATGAACTGCCCAGTCTGCTGAGTTTGAGGACTCAAGTTGATGCTACCACTTGTTGTAGAAAGGTCTATCACTGAAGGGCATCCGTCAAAAACTTGTTGTGTCTGCAAACTTGGCGTGAGCTGAAGAGTGCTTTCGGATTTCAGTTGCTGACCCGAGGGAGTCTTCTCGATCACCTTAGTAATCAGATAATGTTCCACAAACATGGAGGAGTTATTCACGTCACCACTGCTCTGTAACACTGGGAGAGCAGTGACCGTCTGCAGTGAGCTATCCCCCTTTGGAGTGGTCTGCACGGCTGGTATCGACATTGGCTGAGTCTCCAGAGATTGGAGATTTGGCGCAGTGTTCTGGAGAGAGGGGATGTCCTGGACTACTGGGAGATTAATCGGGATGACAGGAACGGGGGTTAATTGGACCACATCCTTTTCTGGTTGTTGGGGGTTGCTTTTCTTGACTTCGGTAAAGACTTGCTGCTGCTGCTGATTGGTGTAACTGACCTCTGTGTTGGTGGGGACTGGTTGATGGGTGTTGTTATAGACACACATGTTACAGTTGTCTGTGTCCTTCAGTTCGTCTACAATCTCTGTAATGGCCGGTCTGTCTGCATAGTCTGTGGAGGAAAAATAATCATTCATCATTAATTGAATTAAAAAAAAAAGTTTTCCAGTTTTATTCTGAAAGATACAGGGTTACTGAAATGAAATATGTGTAGTATTAAACTGGTCTGTACCATTTTTATTATGATCAAATTCAATGATTACCAGTCCTACAAATTACTATCTCATACCAAGTAAAAAGTAATCATCATTGCAAAATTCTTACTTTTCCTCAATTTATATATGGAACAATATAAAGCATAAAAAGACAGTTTTATCAGTGTTATTGAGCATTTGACAAAATTTCATTTCTGGTCTTCCCTTCATTTTCCTTCATTTCCCTTCAGTTCTTGGCAAAAATATCATGAACTCATCAACTATCTAGGAATTTTAAATCAAGGACTGCAACTCGGTCAAGAAAGCACTGTATACTTAGAACTGGTATGTTTTTGCTCAATTAAGTTTATCCTACAAACTAAAATGAAGAACCATTTCTAATTACCATCCTGTAGCCCACTGTGAGCATGTCATTGTGGAAAATCACCTATCTTAAGTCATTCCAGACTTTTAACAAGCACTGAGGTAAACTGGACACATTATCTTACCTGTTGTGCTTGACTGGCTTTGGTCACCCATTTCAAACAGCCCCAAGGTATCTAGAATGCCCTCTGTCTGAAAAGTAAAAGTTTTAAATGAAAAATACACTAATATCATAAGAACTTTATCAGTCATTAATTAAGTCTTCAAACAAAACCCATTTTAAGGGTGAAATAGGAATGCCTTAACTATCTTTCTGAATATTGTATGATTTCCTATTTAAAAGAATAAAATCTTAAATACCAGTAAAACTATTTATTATTCTTTTCTTTTTTTATTTAAATTAGTTTTCAATTTGATATCTTAGTTGGGTGAAAGATTCTTCTTTATTGTATTACATTTGTACAAATTCAAACTAGATTTGCATATAAATTGTGTCTTATAAATCTATTTCAACAAAATTTGTGTTAAAAAAAAACTGGTAAGCAATAAATTAAGAAAAAAAATTATTATAAATAATTAAATAAGCCACTATCATTAAAGATAATCAAAATGAGAATAGAAACCTATACCCTCTAAGTAAATATATAGTTACATGAATATGCCTTTCACTTAATCCTAAATATTCGTGCCAACATGAAAGTTGCAAATGAACAAAAGTAAAATTTTATAAGATCATGCATAATTTTCTTTCCTAATGAAGCTTCTGCACATCTTTATATCGAGTCAAGGTTAAAGTTCAAGGTCAGATATATATGTCAAGTAACTTGTCATATCAGTAAATTTTTTCAAAGGCACAATGTTTCAAAAGCCTTTAAATACATGTACATGTAGTTTAATCCAATGCGTTAATTGTTTACAGTAAATCATTTTTAAAAATATTTAAGTAAACCTGAATCAGATTAATTTTGCCAATTTTCAGACATTTGCTCCTTTAACATGTTTAAGTTCATTTTAATTATTTTTGGTATGATATTACAGAGAACATAAATAACATCTATCTTTTTTTCATGCACAAACTACCATTTGTATATGAAAAATGCACCTTGTCCATATTGCACTTTTAACACCCATAAATTATAGAAAATATTGATACATGTAAACTGCTAAAACCAAAAGAAATGAATTTTTGAATGAATTTCATGCAACTTAGTAGACTACAGTCCTGAAGAAGAAGAAGAAAAAAAAAAACAGTCAATGCCGAAATGCAGTGGCATAAATTCAAGGTATATTAACATACCCTATATTGAGCAGACTGTTAGTTTTAAATGATGAAAAAAAAATTAATCAAGACTGTTAGTTTATTGCAAAAAAGTAGAAAAATTATTGTACCAAATGTTCTCTTCATGTTAAAAATTACTACCATACTTTTACACTAATACATCCATTTATTGGTTGAATTAACTTTTATTTAAATCTGTATTAGATTTCTACTTTAAAAATTATTCATTAATAAAAACAGGGTTTTTAGGAACATGTTAAATTTGAAAAATTTTGACTTAGAAATCAAACATTTCAACCTTTAGACTGTAAAGACATAAACCGTTACACAAATGTAATACTTACTTCTGATATATTGTATTGAAACCTTCCATCTTCACTGTATAATGTGGCCGTTGTGTCATTTGAATGCTGTTAAAAAAGTTATATAAAATATAAACTTCTAAACGTTTTAACTTTTTTCAGATTTTCAAGATCATAGCAATTAAATATACTATGCATCCTTTACAAAAGAATAAAAAGTTCCAACATAATGCAGACTGGAAAATTATCTCGAGTTTTTCTAATTTAAAATAATTTCCAAAAAAAATCTTAACAAGAGATGTGTGTGAAACACTTATGCCCCCCTCCCCCTGAATTGAAGAGAAACTGATAACAACTAGAATTTTTCCACGTCCAAGGGGCACAACTCTGTTAAAAATTGCTCAATTGTACCCAACACAAAACTTGACCTTGATATTCTTATGATAAATCTGTTTACCAATTTTCAAATGTTTCAATTCAAAATGTGCAACTTCTGCCAGGAAAATGAATGGAAACTTTGTGGACCGACAGACAGATGCAAAGCAATATGCCCTCACTTCTTCGAAAGGGGGCATTAAATGTTAAAACTGCATGCACTAAATGTGAAATGGCTCTTTAAATTAACCACTGATCAGGAGATAAGTCTTTCCACTATAATCATACCTGTTCACCCTGTGATTTCTCGTGTTTGGATTTGTGTGTTTTTAGACTGTAGGAGGTGGAAAATGCCCGAGAACACCCATCTTCATGACAAGCATAGGGTTTCTCTCCTGGAACAAGACATCTTTGTAAAATAGACATTATGGTAAATGTGCTAAAAAAGCACAGCTGATTAAGGAAGATATAGCTAGGTTGCAAAGTACTTGAATGGATGTTTCTAACAGTAAATAATTATTGTCCTGCTGAGTTGTCCTTCAAGTTGTAAATACAAGGTACTGAGACAGAAACACACCCATATTCTAACATTTATGTCAAAGTTAACATACAAATTATTCTTCAAAATATTGTTTCCAAAACTACCTTAACATCAGATTTATATATTTTAAGGATACATATACTATACTCTTACATGTATGCATATGTAAAACCATGTACAATGTATTAGAAATCAAAAGACACTGTCTTTAGGATATTATTTACATAAAACTGATGTGCTTTTAATTGTTATTCAGGTCCTGAAATTTTAAAGAGAAATGAGTGCAGGAGCACTACCTACTGTTCTACAGTAAAGCACTAACCTGTGTGTGTCCTTTGATGTGTCTTTAAATGATGACTAGCTGCGAATGCCTTCCCACACCCACTCTCATCACATCTACAAAACAAATTATTGCTATATTCTGGCTTTTCACATCACATTTATTTTGAAAATTTCTTCAGAAAAAGTATATTCTTCTCCTCAGGGGAAACCCAAAATATGTGTCACATCAAAAAGTAAAATAAGAGGTCACAATGGCACCAAGTATCACAGATTCTGTGAAAGTCTCATTAAATTTCATTCAGTGGTATAAGAGGAGTTGCGGATAAGAGATGGGTATCCTAAATTGAACAGATGGATGGTCGGACAGATGATGGAGGGATGTACAGACCTGCAAGGTTAGCTGAGATTAATCACCAATCTCAGTGAGGTTAATCAAAGGAAAATAATACTTTTAGAAAAGTATTTTTAGAAGATTCTCACTGATAAGGTTTTTCCCCTGTATGTGTCCGTATGTGTTTCCGTAAATCACTCAGTGTGGTAAAGAATTTAGTACAACCATCCTCATTGCAATCAAAAGTGTTCCCTGTGTGAATTCTCTGATGAGCACGTAATCTGAAATTTAAAATGTATAATTTGAATGAAGTCATTATGCTATTTCTGATGATTAAACTACATGTATATCTGACAGAAAAGTACGTATAATTTGTCATTACAGATTCAACCAAAAATAAAGTGCCCCGCCACAGCATGATACGCCCGTCAAATATTGTTCAATAATAATAAATTGGTTAGGATGCAAGAAAATCAGGTAGCCTTGATTATCAGATTGACACAGATTTCAATGATTTAATTTCCATTTCTTATCATACATCTCTAAGAGACTTGCAGTGTAGGGATTAATTATAACAAATACATCATATAACTCTAAACTGGTTGTGTTAGAGCATAACAAATTTCCATCTGCAGCTTACTTAAACTTAAATTGTTTATTGCATATTTTATGAAATAATAGAAATGCTACAGTTTAATAAAAAAAATCAAACATGTTATAATTTCTTCAGACTATAAAATTCTAAGTGAGACATGACTGCAATTTGCTGCAAATATATAAAAATCGAAATTTTTTTTTTTTTTCAATGAAAACATGTATAATTAGTTTTAATTATGTTATACAATACTAATTTAGTTTTAATCATACACTAAAACATAAATTTGTTTTAATTACATTACACCAATTGGAAGATCTTTGGACTAGCCATCAAGAACTCTTAATTAACACAATTTAAGCAACTATGAGGCCATTTCTTTTTGCCCAACTCCCAAGAGATAAATTAAGAGATCTAGAGATGCTCTTAGCTCCCGACAATAAACTCATTAATTTCTCTCTAATTTGACATGCAAGTTTCTGCTATCAAAATTCTTCTTGACCAGTGCTTGTTAATTATGCCCATGAGACAAACTGAATTCCTCTCAAAGCATAAACATTTGTTACAGATTGCTGTAAAGTATATAATGAAAAAATAAGTTTTTACTTAATTTAACATTTTTTAATAAGGATACAACTATATTTTTACATTTTTTAGGATTATGAAAGTTAAAATTTAAAAGACTTAGTTTTTTAAAAAAATTCACTTAAATCAAAGGTCACAGTGACCTTGAAATAGGCCGCGACACACCTTCTACTTTAGCTGTATACTTTTGCCAAGTTTCAAAGCTCTTGGTCTCATAGTTTTCTAGTTATGAGCCGGACAGGATTTTTCCATATTTGGCTATAGCATCTTTATTAAAGGTCAGAGTGACCTACTTTTTGTGCGAGACACACCTTCTACCCAAGATGTATCAGCTGACAAAGTTTGGTAACTGTAGGCCTTATAGTAATAAAGTTATGAGCCGGACACGAGAAAAGCTAACAGACAGACAGACGGACGGACAGACGGACGGACACGAAGCCTATAACATAATACGTCCCGTCTTAAGACGGGCGTATAAAAAGAACTGACATCATTATTATTGTGGTATTTTAAAAATCTGTAAAACTTATCCAGGAGACACATCAACACTGAACAGGCATCAGACCCTCAAGAAATAAAACTTTTTGACTAAAAATGGGAACATCTATACATAGAGACCATGTAATAAATAAGATATAACCTGAATTATAATATCACCTGTACAAGGTGTTGAAGTTTTTGGCACATCCTTTGACCTCACATTCGTATGGTTTCTCTTTTGTGTGTACTCGTACATGGATCTTCAGACTGTAGGAGGTGAGAAAGGCCTTACCACAGCCTGGCGACTCGCAGGTAAAAGTGTATTCACCTTAAAAACAAAATGATCCATGCAGTTCAGCAATGAACTAGTGTTTAATAACTGAATATTTACATCTGCTGAATATTTTCTCCTTTATTTCTTAAGAAAACCCACTGCGTTAAACACTGCATGAACTACAGTGGGCATGTCGCCTGTACAGATTTCTTGATCAGTGGCTGTTCCATCAATGAAACGTATAAAGACGTTCGCATCATTAATACAATAATTAATCTTTTTAATCCTACTTTAAATGATTATTTAAACAGATATAAATATAAACAATAAAATGGTAAGCGAGTTATTTAAATTTTTTCTGCAATAGCTGCGACCGTTAATTCCAGTAATAACAAACAAAGCATTTTATTGTTTAAATCAAGTAGGAAAAAGATAACATATTGAATATGACTTCAAAAGGTAGTTACGTTATTCAATTTTATTTCCTTTTCTAGCATCAAAAGAAATGACATCAAACAGTCAATATATCATATGTATATGATAAAACATTATAATGGAATAAAGATTTCATTGATATGTGACTATGTGTCTCATTAGTTTTTTATCTTTCAAGTTACAACTTGGAAATTTACAATGTTTAGCATGTTTCTCTTTCTTACCCAATCTGTTCATTTTTACAAAAAATTGGAATACAAAATTTTTCTGCTACCTTTGTGTGTCTTTTGATGAGTTCTTAGATTTCCGGCAGTACTGTAAGTCCTGGTGCAGCCGTTGTAATCACACTGAAATCTGTAACAGACATAATTCTTCCATGTTTAAAATGTTTAAATGTGTAAAATACATATTAAATTAAAAAGTTTTTATACTAAATTTCATAGTGAAAACTATTTTAAATGCTGGAAGCTCTAATGGTAATTGTAAACAATATGCCCTTTGGAATGCAGTACTTTTAACCAGTAAAAATATGGGAAAAAATTTTTATTTGAACTCCTTATGCAATATAAACATCTTTTCTACAATCCGAAGGGTATTTCTTCCCATCTGTCATTACATTCACTGACAACTTATAACAAAATACCCGAAAATGAAAAAATGTTTTAAAAATCATCTGAGGGATTTTTTGTTTTTTTACAAAACTCTTTAAACTACCTAATTTCTACAAATTTTTAACAGCTCTGCTCCTAAATATTGTTCGAGGAACTTTCATGTGACCTTCATCAGCTCTTAAATAAAATGACCAAACAGTCTTGTTCTAGTACGTAGTAAAGAATAAAATCCAAGGACAACTAAAATATTAAAGGTAAATCATAATGATGAAATCTTATGTCTATTACTTTGAAAACAAAAATAAAATCTTACTGTATTTTCAGATACTAAAGCATGAAACATTGTGTTCTCCTTGAAATGAATGACATCATGTACTGTGCAATATACAAACTGTTTGAAATGCATGACTCATGTATAAATGATTGCATTGTTTTGAAGGAAGTACTTAAGCTCAAAACAATAACTTATAGTAGTCTATGCACTTTGAAGTAAGCAAATATGCTGACATATAATTATGTAATAATGACCCAAATTATCTTTCTGTTTTTATGGAAGTTCCAGCTTAGTACAATCGTACCAAAGATGGATCTTCAATCAAACTACAAATATTTTCACAAAAAGCACAGAATTCCCGAGGATAAAAGCAGTTCATCTGTACTTACTGACCTTCTGACCTCTTTTTCTTTTGTTTTTGGGTCACAACTTTCTACAGTGATGGTGGCATGTGAGGGGTTAAAGTTAGCAGGGACACCCCTCATCCCAGGGTAAATGCTCATCTCTATTTTATCATCAGATATGGTGTTGTGAATATATCGACTGAAAAAAAATAAAGAATGGTGATAAATAAATATAGTTTACACAATATATGATTAAAAAAGAACATTTAAAATAATATATTACTTATTATTTGATTACACAAAATGATAAAGCATGTATTAATTATAGTATACATTGCAAAGTTTTCACAAACCAACTTTTACTTCAAAGTGTGGTAGGGGATAAATCTCAAAATTTGTTCTTGATATATCATGACATGTACTTTGGTTACTGACAATGAAATTTTACATAAATATCAACATGCATGTAAATCTTCAAGTACCCATAAGTGCGAACTTGTTGCTTATATTTTTTTGAATTTCTCTTTTTTTTCAGTGTAATAAAATTAAATATGTATATTTCTACATGTTCTAAAACTTTATTTTTTGTGCAACTGTTGATGCATGTACAAAAGAGTGGAAGACACACTCTTGACTTACAATACCTGATTTCATGAATCAAATTTATGAGAACACTCATGTAAACTATTTGGAGTAAATATAATTGTAGTATGCACATATTTAATTCAGCTAGTGATGCATAAAGCAGTTATTAGCGGATTATCTAATTTAAAATTGAAAGGATTCCTAGGGAAAGACTTCTGCATTATATATGACATTTGCCAGTATCTAAACAGGTCTGGTACAATCACTAGATTTAGCTACCTAGCTTGATTTACCTACTTAGCTTTATTTACCTACCTGAGGTAGCATTATTTAGCTACCAAATCAATTTATTTCTATCAAAAAGCATTTTTCTCAGGGTGTGCAGAAAATATTCTTACTTAATAATCATACTCAACCATGCCTCACCACAGGCATGAGAGAGGACAGTTAACCAAACAATGGAATTACATGTTTTGCTCTAAATTGTCCAAACGCAGCAATGTATTAACTATCTCTGCTTTGGGTTGTTTTTTTAAACCTCCCTAGTATAAACATTGATAGTCAGTAAATTGCGATTTTTTGTCTCTTCTTAATAAAAAGAAAAATTTTGAAAAGTTACATTGAAATAGCTAAATAAAGCTACCTGAGGTAGGTAAATAAAGCTACATAGGTAATTCTACCTATGTACCTAAATCTAGTGATTGTACTGGACCTGCTAAACACACATACTCTTTATAAATTAACTGATAAACAAGAAAAATTATATTTCATCAGCGAGAATTTTTACAATGGATATTACTTGTTACATGGCTTCAGGCCTGAAATAGCTATGAACCTCTAGCAGAGTAGGATGGGAGGTGTTCTCAAAATAAGAATTGTAATCATGGTAATGTTAAGATTATTGATAATTTTATTATTCTTTTTTTTATTTTGCACTGCAGCAGATACCCCCCATTTTGCTATGTATGGGGCCTATTCTGACTAGGGCAAGGACCTGTCCCATGAAAGTATGACTTTTTTCATAGCTAGCGCAGCGAGGCGGTGCAAAGCGCCGCTCGCATAGCGAGCTCAATAGACTGACGTGTATGAACGGAGAAAATTCAGGTTGAAATCTGCACATTGTTCCAAGAAATTTTTATCGTCCCACGTGAAAAATTCCAAACTCCCAATAACCCTTTGCGGTGCATAGCAACATGGTAGCTAAAACATAGCAACAACTTATTAGAAAAAAATACAAACAATGACTTTATGCAATCTCCATGCCTCAAAACCATCGTTTGCATCCTAAGGCAACAGGACTTTTAATTTGATGTCATAATGTCGTCACTTAAGCGGCTCGGGTATATCCGATTTTATCGGAAACTTCCGAGAAGTTCGGAATCTCGATCCCAATGCCTGGGAAGTAATTTCTTTTTATTGTATTGTTTTCTTCTCTTAAATTTTAATTAACTGAGAATAGGCAGTGCAAGTAAAAGCTGTGTAAAGGTTTTTGATAGTATATAACTGCGCTCGCCCCAACAGTTGCACCGTAAAACGTAATAAGTGTCCATGCTGCAGCAATGTGTAGCCTAAAAGATATAGCACACCTTTCGTCATCATCCACATTCTTTCCCTGATGGGAGTCTTCATTCGAGTTGTCATTTCCAAAGTGAGGTTCAATCTTAGAACAAGTGGAGTTCTCAATGTTACAGTCATCATCGTTTACATAGTCCATGTACACTTGTGTCACAGAACTAAAATCCTCTGCATCTACGTCTAGGGTACTGCTGGGGTCGTCCATCCCTTTTATCACTTGTGGAACTGGAATTCACTTGATCTGTAGAGATAAAAAAGAAATTGCAGAAGTCCCAAGTCTCTAATTTTTCACTTTGACACACTTCTGTGTCCCAATTTTTAGTCAGGAATGAAAATATTTTGACTATGAAACTGAATCTTATTGGACAAACAGTTGTCAACAGACCAATAACAAAAGTTTTATCATCCTCTTTACGATGAAAACCGGATATCCGGTTTGCAGACATATTATATCGTTCATTTTTTTTCCAAAAAGAAATAAGCACATTGTATAAAGAAACATTAACAGCTCTTAATCTATATTTTCAATTAAACTAATTTTGTTTTATTTAGTACAGGAAATTGCGTCTGAAAAACTCACGTGGAACTGTGCTGTAAAAAACATTCTACATAAATCACCAAGGTACGACTTATCAAATTTGAGTAACTTCCTTTTCTTTACTGACGGTAACCGAAATGGTGAGGAAACGCTGTAATATGAATTAAAATCCATCTCATCCAAGGCATTTACTCACAGTTAGATAAAATTATTGCATAAAAAGAAAGAAGAATTCATTGTTAATTAAGAAAGAAGATAGTATTTTTAAGATACATGTCGAAAATAAGTGGTAAATTAAGCTGAAGGGGAAACGTGACAAGCAGGTTAAGACGTTTTTATTTTCGCTGACCAAATTGAATTTACTTAAATGCAACTGAAATAACAAGTATTAGGGAAACAAAGTTATTGTTTTCTTCTCGTTCCAAGTAATTGATCAGTATGTAAATGAAGAGCACAGTAACTGGATTTCTTTTAGGTGCCTTGGGTGAAAAAAGGGGGGTGTTGAGATAAATGTAAATACACAACACGCAAGTGTCAGATGATAGAAAATATACACAACACGCAAGTGTCAGATGATAGAAAATAACTTTTCATGACTTTAATTACCATTATATTACCTTTCTTTATCAGGGTTATCGAGGACGCAGGAAGGTTTTGAAGCGCTTGACTGCGCCGAAGTCATGGATGCTGGACAAGCTGGGAGGTGTCTTTGTAAGTATGACCATATTGTTTATTTCATAATGTGAAACCCTGTCTGTAATATTTAATTTTATTTTTTTGAAATTACCTGTAAACAAGAAATTGTGGTTTTCTGTAGGCTCCACGACCAAGCACTGGACCCCATAAGCTGCGTGAATCACTCCCCCTCATCGTTTTTCTGAGGAATCGTCTGAAGTATGCTCTGACGTATGATGAGGTCAAGAAAATCACCATGCAGAGACTGATCAAAGTTGACGGCAAAGTGAGAACTGACAAGGAATATCCTACAGGATTTATGGGTAAGGATGGGGCAGATGTTGTAGATTAAGATTAAATTATCAGGACACATTGTTGGCAAGTGGTAAGGCTCTATCGAAGCTCTGTTAGATTTCTAAAAGAACTTTCAGAGTCAAAGTGTAGCCGAAATAGACTCAGCTCAAACGGTCGCACGCTTAGCTTCATGTTTTGTGTGCATTACCAATGGTTGAAACAAGACAAAACTTATTATATTGATAATATGGTTTGTGAAATGTTGAATTTTGCAAAGTAATTTACAAATATTTAAATTCAGGAAACAAATATAAACAAAATCATGATTTTGCAAGTCATTGATGTGCAAAAAAAGATGTAGGTGCAATGTATTAGTGATACAGTTTCATAAATAGTACTTAAAACATTGTAGATGTTATTTCCATTGAGAGGACAAATGAGAACTTCCGTCTTCTGTATGATGTCAAAGGACGTTTTACCGTTCATCGCATCCAGAAAGAGGAGGCCAAGGTATGACGATTTTTTATGAAACAAAAAGCATCCAACTGGATACTGTGGAACCCAGTTTAGGCCATAATAAATAAATTGATAGATTCTCATCCAAATTTTTTTCAAAATCGAGGCGGGCGGGCGGCTTTTATTTTATATTTTTTATTTTTTCAGTTTTGTAGATTTTTTATTGACCTGGTCAATCGGTGTAATTTTATTCACAATTATACCCGAATAAAAGTCATAGTAAAGGTTCAATTATCTCTTACTTTACATCATCACCAATCTTTTTCAACCAATAACCCTTGTTTAAAATATATACGCATGTATTACAGCAAGTACCATCTTTTCCGCTGTCAAAATCATGTCGACTTTCGCGGGATTTAAAACTTTTAAAGTAGAATGGTATTTGACTCATGCAAATGAAACCGATCCAAGATTTTATTTTAATTGAAACGAAGAAAAACAGAAATAAAAAAAATCGAGGCGGGGGTATAAATCGGGGCGGGCGGGGATGAGAATCTAGGAATATTTTTATTATGGCCTTAACCTCTTTGACGAGAGTGAACCAGTCGAGTAACTGAAGTAACTATCACAAGGTTTTCAGCAACTGTTGGATTCAATGTCAAGCCACAGGGTTCACATCTGTCCATGCAGGGGTAGAAACTCCCTAAAATCATAACTTCCAAGTATTGAAAAAAGTACTCGCAATTTCTAACTACAACTTGCAATTTTAAAATGAAAGCTTTTCAAAAATAAACAGCTTTCTATCCATCATTTAGAAAACTTTGCAATTTTCAACATGATCATCAAATGGCACATGCTTGTTCATTTAAAAATGGCAGATATAAACGGTAACTAAAGAGAGAAAGATTAAAACTGGGTTGAAACGGATGTTTCTTTCCTGTGTGAAAATTACAATGAAAAGATCAACTCGCAAATTTTTGTGAGTAGCAAATATTTAAACTCGCAATTTGGATATTCTAACTCGCATTTTGTGAGTTGTATATAATGAATTTTGAACCCTGCCATGCTTATCACTGTGCTATCACCTCCATAATGGTTGACTGCATGAGAGTGATGAAGTAAAATAAAGTGCATTCGTATATGAAAACAGTGTAATATATTGATTGTGATGTAAAAAAATGTAGGATAAAAATATCTCCCATGAATTGTGATTGGATATGAATTTTTTCCAACTCCTTGCATATAAAACATAACTTATTGGATAAAAATCATATCCATCTACACATTACTGGAGATCCTTTATTTACAAATAGATTTCTGATTTTTTGCTATTGCAAAGGGATTGGTTGTAAGGTGTATTAGAGATATAAGACCATTTTTTTTTCATGTTTTGTAATTTCAGTACAAGCTTTGCCGAGTCCGTCGTGTTGGAGTGGCCTCTAAGGGAGTCCCTTACATCACCACACATGACGGACGTACCATCCGCTACCCTGACCCACTCGTCAAGGTCAACGACACAGTCATGTTGGATATTGCCACAGGAAAAATTAAGGATTTCATCAAGTTTGACTCTGGTATGCAAGATTAATGTCTGAAATGATTTTTTTCTTTATCATTTATACATTTCTGTATGTGGTAAAAGCACAATGATGTGTGAATTTCTTCACCTGAAATACCATGTGGAGCAAAAACATACGAGCTTTTTAATTCTGAGTGTTGACCACATACCCAAGAACATTTTTCTTGTATTACAAATGTAATAAATACTCTGAATATTTTCCAGTCATTATTGACCATGACTGTTTCCATTCTACAAAAGGTTAAAATGACTGAGACAAATTATAGCTCTTTCTTTGAACTGGAGCAAAGTACATGTACTAAATCTGTGTTATCATGCTTATTTAAAAAATATACAATTTTGAATTAAACACATGACATAAATTTGACTTGGATTACAAAAGAGATAAGTAGACACACCGTATATCAGAGAGCATATTAACCCTTGTCCTGCCAGGGATTCTATAGATAACAGCATCTGTGAGTGCCGAGCTGATAAGGAGCTCCAGCCGCTGACTGTGCCAGGCTGATTTATAAATTTCTCTCAAATTGCATATGCTGTAGATTATCTTAATTATCACCATTTTATAATTGCCTTTCCTGATAACAATCCACACAACTTTTTTTCAGAAAAAACAAAAGAAGAAAATTGTGAAGAAATTTTTTTAATATTTCAACTCAGTAAAAAACTACAAAAGCTTTAAACTAAAATTTTACATTGAAAATATTTAAAATAAGAAATTATTGTATTTTAATATCATTATTTATTTTATAGTAGCTTTTTGCAATTACTATATTGTAAGAGTCCTTTATGTTACTACTGGCTATACTTTCACATTTTTAAACATAAAATTACGATTGCTACAAGTCCTTTTTTGACATCTGTTTAATAGACATGGAAATCCAATTATGTGGCCCCGTTTCTTTCTTGTGAAATATTTAATGAATGAAGCTTATTTCAACTTATGTTATCCGATATAACAAAACTTGGGGCAGTTTACGCTTTATAAACCACGAAGCGGTTTATAAATAAGCGTAAACTGCCCCAAGTTTTGTTATATCGGATAACATAAGTTGAAATAAGCTTCATTTCTTATAATTTAATTTCAATGTAGACAATGAAACAATATTTCCTCCAGAAAAGGGCTTCAAAGTGAGCATTATTTTAAAAGTAACGTCGAGCGGAGTGATACGTTTTTGACGTAACTCATTGTGACGTAGGCAAGTTATGTTATACGAAATGGATAAAACCGTTTAACCAATCAAATGACGCGCTACAAGTGAAATTAAATTATTGGAATATATCTGCGGTAAAGTAATTTTTTTAACCAAATTGTCTTCCAAACAGTTATTAGAAATAATAAACTTTAAATGTCAATCAGTTTGCGATCATTTGACACAGTTGTATCAATTTTTTTCACCTTTGAAACTGGTGACGCGCATCAATGTTTTTAAATCCACGTGTCCTCTGAAAAGTGATGGCTCCAACGTAATATTCATGTCCATGGAATCAAATCATCAGAATTCTTCATCGGAATCTTAATTTAGATATATTTTACCAAATAAAACTTTTATTTTCTGCTTGCTATCACTGTAAAAGCGTATTTCCATCGAGCATCTTCTCCGCGACCTCCATCTTGTTTTCAAACTTTCCCCAAAGCACGCGATCAACAAGTTTCATTTTCTAAGAATACATAAAGGAATTTCCCATCAAGAGCCAATCATATCATTAAACTACTGGAAAATCTATCTATTTTTAGTAAACAACAATGAAATGAATGGATTCCCTTTATTTCATTGGTTAAATACAAAAGAAAACGTCATGTGTGTAAAGTCGATATACTGACAACCGGCACAGAACGGAAAACATGGTGGTTCTCACTTTATCGACGACCGGCACTGTGATGGTGTTACCTGGGTGGTCGATAAAGCGACGACCGGCAGGACAAGGGTTAAATTTCACAAATTACAAATTCTAAGCACCATATTTTGTACTCTAAAGACAGAATTTTGAAAGAAATTGTAAAGTAAGTATAAGTTGACTGAGTCTGATAGTCTCGGACTAAAACGTGTTCATTTATTTTAATAAAATGTATGGCTTATCAGTCTGAACAGACAAAAAATAATCCTGGTAAAGAACATAAATGCATATTCCAAGTTTTACAGTTAACCTCACAAGTTGAACTTTCTAGCTTCTTGACAGATAGTATACAATACTAGGTCAATAAATTGAAAGTTTAATTATACAGTTGATCCTTTGATGTAATGAATTTTAATGATCATGGTTAAGTTTGACCCAGAAAGACAGCCTACAATTACATGATATGATGGCAGATACCATTGTCTGTGGCAGGTAGAAGTCAGTCCATGATGACAACTCAATGGTTTCGCATAAATTATCGATGAGAATTGTGATTAACATCCTAGCTGTCTGAGAGTGACTTCTCTGTCCAAATCCATGTTTAAAATACATTGATTCTAGGGGTGGGACGATATACCGATACACCGATACATATCGATATTTTCCTCTAAGATACGGTTTACGATACGAGCATTCAAATATCGGTACGAAACGATACACGAACGACCTATCCAAAAATTGAAAATGAAAGTACCTGTCCTTGAAAATGGCGGCCTGTACGAAGCGAAAAGATTGGTGTTGATATTGAAAACACACTTTAGAACTGATAAGTCGTTGATTAGGGGTAATACGTTTTCACTTTTAAGCAGCCTCGGAAGATTGGACAAGAAAAGTTCAGTGTGCAAAGCGTGCTATACACAGAAAAGTATCGTTTCCAGAACATTTGATATTATTAGTTGTTAGTCCATTCATACTTTTTTTCGTAATCTCAACTTGGGTACAGACATTCAGCAATAAATAATAATGTAAATGTGATCTTTTAATGAGCTTTTAGTCAGTGTTCGTTGATAAACTACACAACTATTTGTAAACAACTTGATTAATAGAAATTTGGTAATATGTACAATTGTCCTGTACTATTGTTTTTGTAAAGATTTAGTTAATGAAGTTGATGAACTTCAAGTATTAATTTCATAGCACACATGATTTGATATAGAATATTTTTTATGGCGTCGGGCTTGCCCGATCGTCATCTAGCGATCAGTCAGGTTTACGCGACCGCACGTGTCAGTGGATGCATCCGCAATAGAAAGTAGCAACAGCTGTAAACCAATTTCTTTTAAAACGTTCACAATGAATAATAGCTTGAATATAAAATTAAATCAATTGTATCTTCAATTAATACTACTACAAAACAACGATATTATGTTTAATTTTTACGCAAGAAAAACGTTATGGTTGTTGCGGATGAATTTCTACTGAGAGGGTGCGTCGAATGACATGAATCACATTTTGGGACCGATTACTGTAATACAAACAATCTTAAATACGGTAAAATAATTACAAAATAAATACGAATACAACAAGACTATAAAGATTGAATTTCTTAATCTTAGCTTTACTTTTACGATCTTCAATCCAATTTTAGCCGAACAACCTACGATATTGACCAGTAATGCCAGTATTACTGTATTTATTCATTTCCTCCATTTGTTTACCGCGCCTTATCGTAAGTCGATCGTACTTGTAACATTAGAGTCATGGTTGTAGTTAAGATGCAATCACTATACAACAGAACAACACTCTGACAATGGCAATTAATGAAAATAATTTATGAAACCCTTCATATGTCTTCGATTGACTGAAAAGAAATTAGATTGATATAGAGGATGGACATTTCTGACGATGTCTGGTCAATTCGAACCCTGACTCATTCGGACCAGGACACAAGGCTATCAGGCCCTACACTGTATTTGTGTTAAAACTACAGTATTTTTTTTAATTTTCTTATTATGTTACTGGAGTCACTCACTTGACCTATTTGCAGATCTTTTGAAATTGTTTTTCTTATTCGACGCCATTGAAGCCTTTCAGGCTTTTGATTTTGAGTTAATGTCAAGACAAAAAAATTAAATAAAATACTAATTCTTTTGAATAGTTTTATAATTTATCATACTGTGTTATGTCAAGACAAAAAAAAAAATGAAATAAAATACTATTTTTTAAAAGTTTTATGATTTATCATAATATCGAGATACGTATCATATCGTGCCAATATATCGAGATACGTATCGTATCGCAAGATCTGTGTATCGTCCCACCCCTAATTGATTCCCACTGTCATACTTCTGATTTATGGAAATACATACCAAGCACTTCCTACTGTACTTTGTATTCAATGTATTGTGATCTGTTCATTTGAATTTGCAAATGTCTGAAGGATTTTATTATATATTAGATTTGAAACATGTTGATGTGATATTTTAAAGGAAACCTTTGCATGGTAACTGGAGGTCACAACTTGGGGAGAGTGGGTGTGATTCAGCACAGAGAGAGACATCCAGGGTCCTTCGACATTGTTCACATTAAAGACTCCCAGGGACATACATACGCTACAAGGTATTTAGCAAGATATTCTGATATCATGTGCATTGAATTCTAATCTGAATTGAAACGTGTCCATTGAAAAATTTAATGTCAACTGGAATATTGGTCACCTAGTAAGGTACAGAGTTTTTTTTCTCTTTTTATATACAGATTAATTTAGGTATATTAGATTCTGTGGACATCACAACCATTTACCATTCTTACAATGTTGACATACATTGAACATTTTAAGAAAAAATCTTTGATAGCTATGGCCCTTTCACTAGAGGTACTGTGAGCAATGAGCTCTCTAAATGATACCCCCCACCTCCCATATGTTTATAATTGCAAAGTCCATGTTTTGCTGTGGCCGGGAAACCCAAAATATGTGTCGGATCTATAAGTAAAATAGGAGGTGCACAATGGCAATATGTAATAAAGATTCTGTGAAAGTTTCATTAAATTTCACTCAGTGGAGGAGTTGTGGATAAGAGATGGGTACCCCAAAGCGTAACAGACAGGCAGATGGACGGACGGACGGACATACCGATTACAGTATACCCTCCCACTTTTCAAGCGGGGGGTACAGACTTGTCGAAATTTTTTAATTACTGTCAGACATTTGGTCTGACAAAATCGAATGTTCTGTCGGACCAGTCAAACTTTTGTCAGACCAGATACTTGTACCTTTATTTTGAAGCTGAAAAAGTCATATGAATAACAGCACCAAAATATACTTTATTATTTTCAATAGCCTTCAATCTAACAAGTTTCCTTTCTTGGGATAGAGAGTCTTCAACATAGACATAAATGACAAGTTTAATGACTTTGCTATAACAAATTTACTTAGCTATCGTCAATATGCTGCGTATGCAGCCATTTTTTTCTGGGTTTGTGACCTTTAATTATGCATCCCGATCCTGACCTTTATTATCCCCTCGCTCAACTAGTTGCGGAGGGGATATAGCATCGCAAATGTGCGTATGTGTGTGTGTTGGTGTGTTAGTATGTTAGTGTGTTAGTTACAGCTTGTGGGCAAGATTTGCAGAGAACCTTTGCATTAACCACTCTCAGCCTTTACATACTTGTGTGGCATTATAAGAGGACGAAGCCTATTCATTTTCAAATTATTAGATGAAATATTTCTTAAAATATAGCGTTTTTATTACCTTCTAACCCTGAAAATTTATGTACGACTTGATAATGCTTACTTCCGCTAATTCGGGTTGCCTCAATAAACTGAAGTTTTATGTACGTCTTAATAAATACCACTTCCGTTTAATCAATCTGGTAAATTCGGGCCTCTCAGTAAGTTTCACTTCGTACATGTATTTGCGCATTGTCATATAATTTTGCGTATTTTGAGACAGTCTGTGTGAATTAACATTTCATCTCGGACGCTAAGTAATTGAAATAATTTAATGAACGTCGCGGTTTCAAATTCATTACCCAGTTCCCACAGATATCTGAGAATTTGGGGTGCACGTTATTCCTGAAAGTTGTAAATAAAATCCACAAGTTTAACTGACCTCTCAAAGTACATGTACATTGTTATTTTTCATTACGAAAAAAATGCATATTGCCTAAAACTGTGAGATATACTTAAGCAGGTAAATTACTGAAACTTATACATGTAGCATACGTGATATGTTTCTGCTAGTTACACCATATAAGGGAAACTGCCCAATTACGTATGTATCTTATGCCTCCCCCCAAAAAATATACCATGCAATTTGAATTTTGTTAAAAATAGACACCCCCACCCACGATAATTTTCTTTAAAAAATAAATAGTGCTGAAAAACATTTTATTTTCTTCATCTTACTTTAAACTTTACTACGGCAAATTAGGTATCCATGTCATGCCCCCACCCTAACCAAGATGCTATGCACTTTGCATTTTGTAATAAATGGATCAACAACAACACCCCCCCTAATAATTTTGTCAAAAGTAAGGGAGTTGATCCTAACCTTGCGGGTTTGAATCCCATTGTGGGATGTGGAGACTTGTCCTTCGAATGAGACCGTGTAAACCAAGGGCCCATGTCCCCATAGATGCTGGCACAAAAAGATCCCTCAGTGCTCAATGTCCGTCAGTGCCTATTATAGGTAAATAAAAATATACAGCTCTCCAACTGCAAGCCTTCATATGAGCAAAAAATTCCTGAGAAGGACATGAAACAATTACATTGTACTATCAATCTTTAACATGTTTAACGTCTCTCTAGAGAATCCCATGAGATATTGCCATTACCAGTGAAGTTCCTGTCGCGAGGGGATGCTCCGCTTAGCGGTGCCCTTGTTAAATTTGCATTACGCTCAATTTCTTTCAAACGGTCATCTGGACCGACGTTTTCTTAAATGTTATCGGTCCAGACAAATTTTTACCGGCCTTGCCGACAGGACCGACGGATTTCGACAAGTCTGGGGGTATAATAATATAGTAATATAAATAATTGGAAGTGTCTTGATTGCAATCAACGAAAATTGTCCTTCAAGTTTAAAAGAATTATACCTAACTCCTTGATTGATATACAAAACCTGTATGATTGCATGATATACAAAACCTATATGATTGCATGAACAATATTTTGGGAGTAGGAGGGGGTGCTTACTTTGAATTCAATTATCTATTGGTAGGCAGGTAACATTTTTTAATTATTTTGTCAATCGTTAATGTTATCATTGCTTTTATGAACTTTAAAATTATTTTAAATTTTTCAGGTTGAGCTACGTGTTTGTTATTGGAAAAGGGAATAAGCCTTGGATTTCACTACCAAAAGGAAAAGGTGTCAAACTGTCTATTGCAGAGGAGAGAGACAGACGTCTTGCTGCAAAATCTTCATAAATTATGGACAGTCAAAAATAAAAAAAAATAACACAGTCATGTTTAGTGTGGTTTTTATCTGAATTGTAGAACTTTTCGCACATGCTGATTACAGAACATTTACATGTAGTGGGCCCTGGTCTAGCCGACTTTTTTTTCCCAAACATATTGAAATTCAAAATGGTCATTGAAAGGTTGGTTGCCCCTCCTCACAGACCTTTGCTCCTGGGTACTAAACCAATAAACCATGTACATAGTTATGAGAAGGAAGGATGCCCCTTTCAAAATTGAATTTCATGGCCACTGGATCAGAGGTTCTGGTGTAAGGATGGGGCTTTAATGATTTTGTAGTGAAAATGCATTCTTTGAATATACTATAAGGCATAGAGTTATCAAACTTTGTCAGCTGATACATCTTGGGTAGAAGGTGTGTCGCACACAAAAAGTGGGTCGCTCTGACCTTTACTAAAGATGCTATAGCCAAATATGGAAAAATCCTGTCCGGCTCATAACTTGAAAACTATGAGACCTAGAGCTTTCAAACTTGGCAAAAGTATACATCTAAAGTAGAAGGTGTGTCGCGGCCTATTTCAAGGTCACTGTGACCTTTAATTTAAGTGAATTTTTTTTAAAAAACTAAGTCTTTTAAATTTTTAAATTTCATAATCCTAAAAAAATGTAAAAATATAGTTGTATCCTTATTAAAAAATGTTAAATTAAGTAAAAACTTATTTTTTCATTATATACTTTACAGCAATCTGTAACAAATGTTTATGCTTTGAGAGGAATTCAGTTTGTCCCATGGGCATAATCATCAAGCACTGGTCAAGAAGAATTCTGATAGCAGAAACCTGCATGTCAAATTAGAGAGAAATTAATGAGTTTATTGTCAGGAGCTAAGAGCATCTCTAGATCTGAAGCAGCTGTTATCTTGATTTATCTCTTGGGAGTTGGGCAAAAAGAATGGCCTCATAGTTGCTTGTGTTAATTAAGAGTTCTTGATGGCTAGTCCAGATAAAGATCTTTCAATTGGTGTAATGTAATTAAAACAAATTTATGTTTTAGTGTATGATTAAAACTAAATTAGTATTGTATAATATAATTAAAACTAAATATACATGTGTTCATTGAAAAAAAAAAATTATATTTCAATTTTTATATATTTGCAACAAATTGCAGTTATGTCTCACTTAGAATTTTATAGTCTGAAGAATTATTATAATTTATGTTTGAATTTTTTTTATTAAACTGTAGCATTTCCATTACTTTATAAAATATGCAGTAAACAATTTAAGTTTAAGTAAGCTGCAGATGGATATTTGTTATGCTCTAACACAACCAGTTTAGAATTATATGATGTATTTGTTATAATCAATCCCTACACTGTAAGTCTCTTAGAGATGTATGATAAGAAATGGAAATCAGATCATTGAAATCTGTGTCGATCTGTTAATCAAGGCTACCTGATTTTCTTGCATCCTAACCAATTTATGATTATTCAATATTGAACAATATTTGACGGGCGTATCATGCTGTGGCAGGGCACTTTATTCCAAAATTGTTATATAATGGCCCCTAGGTTGGAAAGGGGGGGGGGGGGGTCTTGAATGATTATGTACTTGATGTTCTTAAACTGTGCTCTTTGGTACCTTTCCCTAAATTGTTAAATGTGTGACCCCAGGGTTAGGGATTCCTGTGGGGTTGGGCAGTACTGATTATGTGGTGGAAAGGCATTATTTCTTTGTTCCACTGCCCTGCCTCTGGGTATTCAAAGTAAGCATGCTAAAGTGTATTGTTATACCTCTTTCAAAATTGTGAATTTCATGGTTTTAAATACGAACTAGTGTTGCATGATACTCAGGTGAATTATAAGGCCCATGGGCCTCTTGCTTAGCTCACCTGAGCTGAAAGATCAAGTGAGCTTTCTGATCACCTTTTGTCTGTCTGTAAACTTTTCATCTTCTCAAGAACTACTTGGCCAATACAAACCAAGGTTTGTACAAAGCATCCTTGGGTGAAGGGAGATTTAAATTGAAAAAATAAAGGGCCAGGTCTCCTTCCAAGGGGAGATAATCAAGAAATTAAGGTAGGGTTATTAAAAAAAACCTGAGGAACCACTTGGCCAGATAAGCTGAAATGTGTATTTTCAACAATATATAAGTTTATAAGTTTATTAACTCCTTTTTCACATATTTATACATTTCCATTTTATTTCTGTTGATTACTTCAAGTAAATAACTCAATTAAGAATTTTTACTCTCTCTCCCTCTCTCTGTCTCTTTCAGTGCATGCAGAGTAAGGGTCTGAAGAAACCCTTCACCGATATATATAGTTACGTCTCTATATTAGTGAATTTTTTTTCGAACGAGACTAAACAAAAAGTCAATCTCTTTCTCTCTATCTAGTTGGTTGATTGTTTTTTCTTTCTTCTCTCCTTTTCGTAAAATTATTTGTACACGCTTGCGTAGCTACGCGCCTGATTTGTATAGTGCACTGACCTATGCAACTGTTGTAAGTTTCTTTGATATCTTTCTCTGCTGCTGTGGAAGAAGTACAAGATATTTTTCTCGTTATCGAGTGCTATGTAGCAGACATCCGTATTTCACTAGTCTACACGGGTGACATCTGATTACACTGAACAGTGACTAAATGAGTGGCTATGCAATAGGGGCCCTCAAATATAGCGCGTGAATAAAGGGATATGGCGGGCAAATTCCTATTACAAATCGTGTTCAGCTGTAAGCTTGTATAAACATGATAAACTTCACTCTCACTTTGGAACATTTTATTATTTACATGAATCTTCTCATTGGTTGTTTGCATACTAATGCTTATCAGATTTCTTTATATTGTCGTTATTTTGTTCAATAAAAATAGAATGTTCGATAATGAAAAAAAATCTATGCAATGTACTTTAAGACCTTGATTCTGCCATCGGAACATCCAACACATAGACAGTAGTTGGCGTCTATGGTCAACGTTATGGGGTAGTCTTCCTCTCCTAGTCCTGGGATGTCCATTATCTTCAAAAGCTTTCCCTTTATATTGAGAACATGAATGCAGCGGTTTGTTTTGTCAGCTATTAGAATGTGTCCAAGAATATCGGTACATATTCCACCAGATAAAAACGCACGATTCGTGTTCCCACTAGCTTTGTAAGAGAATCTTAGTTCCCCACTTTTGTTGAAAACGTCGACAAATGTGCTTGAAATGCAGATGTCCCCATTGATATTTTCAGCTATGTAAACTGGTTCACGGTTTTTAATAAGCCATCTGAATAAATGGGGACTTTGAATTTCACTGATAAAATGCCCACTCCTATTAAATCGCATTATTTTCCCTTCTTTTACTTTAGAGTCAACTATTCCTATTGCAATGTCTTCGTCATCTTTCGTTAAATACATACATACCGGTAAGGCTGATTGGTCACAAAAGTCAACAAACATCGTTTCTTCTCCCTTTGGATTCATCTGTGTTATAACATGGTTGTCTTTCCTATAAAATACATTTCCATCTCGAGATGCACAAATTGGTTTGTTGCTTGGTCTAAGTGCTTTCACTTCTATACTACAGACAACATTTCCGTCTCCGTCCATCTTCTCAAAACCTGCTTCACCTTTTATGTAAATCCAGAATGTGTTATCATTCAAGTGAAAGTAAAGGGATTCAATTTCTTTATTTTCAGCAAAAATGTCGACGATTTCTAGGAAGTTTGCTTGAAGTTGGAGACCATCCGTTTGTAGATTTATTTCTCCACACAATTTACTGATTAGAGTTTGGTCGAACGTTCCTTGAGAAAATTGTGTCATACAGGCGATCGAAAAGTGTGGAAATGTTTCTGGAACAGTGGACTGAATAGAGGAATTTGCATATAGAATAAATCTATTTCTTTCTGATGATTCAGCATTTCTAACATTCTTCATGAATGAATGAATATTCTCAATGTATTCTGACATTTGAGACTCCTGAATTCGCAGTATAAGAAGCTCCGTTTCTTCTTTGAATTTTACCATCTCCAAAAGTCGATTCTTCTCTTCCTCAATTTTTGAATTCAATTCTTCAAAATGAGATTTGATTTGACTTTTTAATAATTTACTTCTTTCACCTTGGCTGCCTTGTCTTTCCCTAATTGCATCCAACTTTGCTTCATACTTAGGTAACTCAGATTCCACAAAGGACAATTTGCTTACCATTTTCTCTTTTTTTTCTTGGAATAGTTCCAAAGTCGCCACCAATTTATGCCCATTGTGGTCGCCTACCAGACATTTTTCACAAACCGGTACCTCGCATTCTCGGCAACAGATATTTGCGCGAAAACCTGGATGGGACCTGCATATCTGGATGGAAGGCACTTCAGATGACAGTGAAAGAGATTCAAATGTCAGTAGCGTAACCTCATGATCAAATGAAGACTTGCTTCTAGCATGGATCTCTTTGCAACTGCTGCACAGTTTATCATGACATGTTTTGCACAAGTGTTCTGCGGTATTTTCGCAAGTGTCGCATTTAACTGCACTTTGCATGTGGACCTCGTCTGAAACCTCAGCCGTGTTACCTATAAGACAGGAAATTTAAATCCATTAATATTCCCTTGCTCAACTAGTTGCGGACGGGATATAGCATCGCGAATGTGTGTGTGTGTGTCCGTTACGGCTTGTGGGCAAGGTTTAAATAAAACATTTGGACTATCAATTCTCAGCTCCCACATGTAAGAGGTCGAACCCAATTCATTTTAAAATTACTAGTAATTGGTGAAATATTTCTTTATATATTGCGTTTTTACTACCTTCAAACTCTGAAATTCTGCTTAGGTTGTAGAAGATAGGTTTTTTTGGAAATCAAAACGTTTGACTGGCGGTTTTTTTTAATATTGGTCAGAAAAAAACCTTTATTTTTGTATACATTAATATATACTTAATCAACAGAATTTATCAAGAAATCTCTGGTAAAAACGGATTAACAATCCATTTTCCAGTTGGTAGCAATTCCCGACGTTGCGTCTATTGTGTTTTATGTAAAGACGGATCGGTAGAAGATGAAAAACATTTTTTATTTCATTGCAAAATCTATGATACTATCAGAGAATTTTTTTTATAATGTTAATTTAGATAAAAATGTAGACCCTGTTGATGATTTAAACACTTTAATGAAATGTCATCAAAGAAAAACTGCCAAATTTATAAATTAATGTTTTTCAGTAAGATAAAAATATTTATCAATCAAATTAATGCCAATCATGCGCGCTAGCAGCTATCTTTATTGATAATGGAAATATTGTACATAATTTAAAGTGACATATTGGTCAAAAGGCCCGGGCGTTATGTATATATACGAGGGTTGTTCGAAAAGTTCGTGGACGATGGCAATCTTCGTTAAATTACTCACTAGAAATTTTAAATAAGCATAATATTAAATGTAAAAATATTTGTTTTGTTGATGTGTGAAGTTCCATTCCATTCGATTTCACAGAATTCAATTTACTTCATTTAAAATCAACATGTTTTGTACCAGCGGAGCACACGTAACGGCGATGTAACATAAAAACATAGCGTCAAGAATTTCTAAAAAATGCTATCCCAATAAATTTCACACGGTATAATCCAATACCCACTTATTAAATTTTTTTCTAATACTTGTCATATATTTATGAAGAATCGCTCTCGTTGTATAATTTCCTATGTAAAGGTTTTTTTTATTTCATTTATTACTGAACTCTGCTTTCACAGGATACTTAACTCTAAAGCGCCAATGTCTTTCCTTGACGTTATAACTTTTTATGTTTAGATTTTTACAGTAAAACAATAGCTTCACAGATTGTCCCCATCCGATACAGAGTCTTTGTCACTCATATACTGCCTGTACTATTTGTACACACATGCACAACTCGCCTGTGACATATTTTCTTGATTCTTCCAACATTTTTAGAGTTTATTCAGAGTTTTTCCTGAGTAAAACACAAAATTGTTTCGTTATCTGCTGCGACGTGACGTTCTAAATTGTCATCGCTTTTGTTGTTTTCAATAAGGACTACCTATCTTCTCAAGTTGATTTCTTTTCAACAAAGCAAAATATAAAGCCATAATTTGGTAAACGAATCGATGTAACAATTCTTAATTTGAATTTTAAGATTGTTTTTCGTTTTTGATCTATTTTACAGAGAATATGACTTCAGACAGTATATAGTGTATTTTATGTAACTTACTAAATTTTGACCTGCTCCGCGATCCGATTTTTGCATTTTTAAAATCTGGATCAGTTTTGAATAAATTGTAATATTTTGGGGGAAAAAATACAAATTATTTGTATTTATGGTAAAAATATTTCTTCCAAATTTGGATAACATATGACGTCAAATAAAAAATATATGACAGTTGTCCACGAACTTTTCGAACAACCCTCGTACAGTTCGTTTATATTGTAAAATTATTTTTTGTTGTGGAAAACTGTACATGTTAATGTAATAAAATATTCACTTACTTCACTTACTTGCTTCTTACTGTTTGCGGAATGATTTTTTTTATTTAAAAATATAAAACATGTCAAAAATCAATAGCAGATTAAAATAAAATACTACGTAGGTAATTAAAAAATATTTTCTACGCTCTATAATATTTTCAGCTTTTATGCAACATCATTGATACAGTGTACATATCGTTTTAAAAATTGGTCATATTAGAATTTCAAGGACGGACTTCATTCAAAGCAAAAGCAAATCATAAAAAAAAATCATTTAAAAACTATGTAAAACCCATGTGTATTTCGAGGTAGGTATGTTTACTGTCACTCTTCTGTCTATTTCATGAATTATCTGCTGAGAATCTTGTTACATGTATTTATAATTTAATTAAAGCTATATAGTAACATTTTGTGAAAATATTTCCTTGTGTCAGACCTAAACGCCACTAATTATGCATGCTAACAGCTTCCAAGTTCATGATTTCGAAAAAAAAAAGTAACTAATATATACATTTACCATTTGACAGAGACTTAAACATATACTTACCTCTAACTATCTACTGCGGACATATTTTCTCTATAAAAATTCTCTGTTCAATTTACAACACAGAAATACATGTACCCCTTTCTTTCCGTCAGTATGGCGTTATTGCGAAACGTGTACTTTTTATTCTAATTCTCGGAAGAATGGAATAGACTGTTTAAAAACCATGGCGCACAGTAAAATCAATCAAGTACGGAAGCTCTAAAGGGTCTTACAACTACCTTTTTCCTCGTCTTACACCGACTAACAAAATATCAGTAGACATTTCAATAGACTGCTGGATAACTGACAAATATTTCTATTTGTGTTCTCTGTGAAAACTCTTTGAAAGTTAGTTGAGTTGATTTCTTGTTCAGTCTACTGGAATGTACTGAAATTCCCAGTCTGCACTATATTTAATGGCAAGGAAACATGACATGTGCTTTTAACTGATTGATAAGTTTTTAACTAAAGAAATTTAATTAGAATTTAATTACAATGCAAATGTGTCTATGCCCCTTTCAAACTGAGTTTTAAACACAAAAAGGGAATGACACAGCAAGAACAGTTTGGACACAGTGGACTGAATCTCACCAAAAACTATCAGAATATTCGTTAAGATGAAAATATCTTGAACAGTTTTTATAATTTCTTCCAATTGAGGAAACTCTACCATAAGAACAGGAAGTCAAAGTCACTGAAATTCTGATGCATTTGAAAACTCGAGAAAATATTAAGCAGCTTACTATAGAGTTTGATAAATATATCTTGAATGGGTGGTTAGAAACTGAGCTATGTCGCATATCTGCGGTGATTTTCTTTGATCTTTCTGTGGTGATATATCCCATATCACATATGCGATAATACTTTCCACGCCCCTTCATATATCACTAAAGGAGGCGAAAATCAGGTCATGAGAAAAAAACTGATTGTATTTCACAAGTTCATAACTACAGAAAAATAAACATGCTATAGCTATTTCTTAGTCTTTAACTAAATCAAAATACATGTATTTAACTCAGTGGAAAGTTCCCAGTCGTTCAACAGATTAATCCATTTTGAAAGTTACGGTAAAATTCCCAAACTTTATACAGTTAAACTCCTTGATATTTGTTTCTGTGATTTCATATTTGTCGAGTGTCTGGCTCAAAGATAAATCGTCAAAATCTTTAAACTTACTGTAAAAGCACAAATATTCGTGGGGGATTAAATTTCGTTTATTTCTTTTTTTAACAATATACAACGAAATTAAATCCCACACGAAATTTTATATGACAATAAATTGAATAGGGTTACTTTCAAAACAACGAAATTAAATGCCCACGAAACTATTTTTCAAGACAAAACAACGAAATTTTATGCCCACGAAAAATTTGTGCTTCTACAGTAGTTAAAAAGTCAAAGTCAAATTCACTAAGAACGTCCGACATGTTGGAGAGCTAGCTTGAAATGCTTCTATGATGTAACCTATACATATGCAAATTCTAAAAAATTGAGACCAAAGTCAAAAGAAGCAGCAAGATTAAAAATATTGAAGCTATATAAAGATTTGGATGCATTTGAATAGGTGTCAATGATATGTACCAGCACATGAAATTTGATAAAAATATTTTGAATAGTGTCTTTGAAACTAAACTAATTTAAATATAAAAGAAGGTGAGGTCAAAGGAAAGGTCAAGGCTGATGCACATGGGTATCTTTTAATAAAACATACCAGCATACCGGTATAATGTTTGATGAAAGTACGTAAATTGGATGTTTTAAACTCAGCTAATCTGAAAATGTGTCCAATATTTATGACAGGACATAAAAAGTGTAATTATGCGTTCGTAAAAAACGAAATGTTTGAAAATAAACAAAATCTACTCAATGTACTTCAAGATCTTGATTCTGCCGTCGAATAATCCAACACACAAACAATAATTTGCATCTATGGTAAACGTTATAGGGTGACTTTTCTTTCTTAGTCCTGGGATGCCCATTAACTTTAAAAGTTCACCCTCAATATTGAGAATGTGAATAAAGTGGGAATTCTTGTCAGCTATTAGGATGTTTCCAAAACTATCGGTACATACACCGCGCGAAAAAAATGTGCTTCCTTTACTGTTGTATGAGAATCTAAATTCGCCGTTTTTGTCGAAAGTATCCACAACTATGTTTGAAATGCAGATGTCGCCATTAATATTTTCAGCTATGTAGGTTGACTCTAACCTTTGATTTTCATTTAACACTTTAAAAATCCACCTGAATAAAAGAGGATTTTTAATTTCATTCATGATTTGCCCACGCCTGTTGTATTGTAGTATCTTCCCTTCTGTTAGTTCATTGTCCACTACTCGGATTGTAACACCCTCTTCACCCTTCAACAAGCACATACATATTGGTAAATCTGATTGATAACCAAAATCAACAAATATTGTTTCTTTTCTATTACGATTCAGTCTTTTAATGGAATATCCGTCTGTTCTAAAATAGGTTATTAATTCCATCTGAAGATGCACATATTGGCTTGTTATTCGATGTAGGCGCTCTCACTTTATGAAGAACATTTCCGCTTCTGTCAATATTTGAGAAAACCTGTTCACCCATTGAGTAAACCCAGAATGTGTTATCATTTAACTGGAAAGACAGGTATTGAATTCCCTCATTTCCAGCTAAAATTTCTTTGATTTCGAAGAAATCTACTTGAAGATTATCGGTTTGTAAAAAGATTTTTCCAGACAAATTAGAGATAACAGTGTCATGCAAAGAACCTTTGAAAAATTTTGTCGCCATAGGAATTGGTAAAAATGGAAAGGATTCTGGATAGTGGACCCGATAGAAGGATTTGCATATAGAATGAACGTATTTCTTTCAGCTGGACCGGCATTTCTAAAATCCGTCATGAATGAATGGATATTCCTAATGTATTCCAACATTTGAGACTCCTGAATTTGTAGTTCAGAATCTTTCGAGTTTTCCTTGACGCTTACTATTTTTAAAAGCCGATTCTTCTCTTCCTCAAGTTTTGATTTCACCTCTTAAATGAGAATGAATTAGGATTTTTGATACTTCAGTTCTTTCAATCTGGCTGCTTTGTCTTAATCTAACAGCGTTCAGTTTTGCTTCATACTTTGGTAACTCGGATTCCACAAAGGATAATTTGCTTTCCATTTTCTCTTTCTTTTCTTGGAACAGTTCCTTTGTTGCCACCAATTTATGCCCATTGTGTTCGCCAACTAAACATTTTTCACAAACCGGTACCTCGCATTTTCTGCAGCAGATATTTGCACGGAAACCTGGATGGTACCTGCAGACTTGAACTGAAGGAAACTTAGACAATACAGAAAGAGATTCAAATATCAGTCGTGTGACTTCATGGTCAAAGGAGGATTTGCTTTTACTGTGGATATCTTTACATCTGGTACAAAGTTTATCATGACAAGTCTTACATAAGTATTCTGCAGTATTTTCACATGTATCACAAACTACTGCACTTTGCATGTGGATCTCCTCTATATCTTCTCTGTCAGTCATATTATCTGAAAGAAAGAAAAGGGGTTTCTAATGTAAAAAAAAAAAGACCTAAGAAAAAATGTTCGTTTATGATACCCGATCAACCTTAATTTTATATATCGACCCAAATAGTTTTGTTATGAAATATGGAAATTGCATGTCTGTATATCTTCTTTTAAATGTACATGACTGATGTAATGGCCAGTTCATAAGTCATTAGGTCTCTCTTTAGAATTCCATTATCAAGCTGTCGCGTCGGATGTTTGGTAACAAAAATAACTTGAAGTAGAAAGCTTCAAATTCTTTGCTTAAGATGAAATCAGCTTAAAACGGTAGTGTACTGCCTATAGAAACAATGGCGACTTGAGGCTTTTTCTTGAATATTTTAAAAATGAACCCTAAAGGCATTAGTTTAGTTCAAATTTATGGTTTGGGATACATGTACTTTTGCATATTAAAGATTTCCAGCAAACAGTCTGAGGTATAAGTATTCTTTTTAAGAACAATGTTTAAGAAAATTATTCATTAAACTTTGAAACATTAACAATTTTTAAAGTGACGGTTAATTAAGTTGTTCAAATGACAACAAAGTCAATGACCTTGTGACCTAAACTGTGACCTGTATGCTAGCTAAAAATAGCTTTTTTGAACTTTGTTGCCGCCGGTCGCAAAGTGTTTCACAAACACATCTTGTTTAATAAAACGTTAATTTTTGGTTTACTAATTTTTTTGGATTTTTCGAATGGAATATATTGAAAAGGTGCACTAGAAAATTAATTTATTAAAGAAGATCAATTTAAAAAGGATATCCTGGGACCTGGGGTGTATGTAGGGGTCGGGTGGAGGGGGGTTAAAAATTTACTGGCACTCGGTAAATGTTTACCAACGTATACTTAGCTTCTTTAATTATGAGTACGAAAAGCTTGGTATCAAAAAGAGCTTCAAATGGCTCCTGTGCACATAGTTTATATACTGTATACACTTACGTTTCAAATTAAAATACGTCAAATGAAGTACATATACTAATTCATAAAAACAATGTGATGATAATTGACCTATTCCGATTGATTTTCGCACACAAAGCGTTTATATGTGCATAAATTTTAACACAATTATTTGATAGAAAGTTATAAACCTACTGTACACGTATGTGCCCGTTTATCTGTTGAACTCTTCTTCTATAACGCACATATTTTCAGTTGACTTTTACGATAATGTGCGTTTATTTATTTATTTTGATGCAATAAGTATTTTGATAGCCCAGTTTACCATCAAATAGCTCTTATATTTCAATGATCCTCTCTACACACCTTAGGCCATTTAAAGTTTTTTCTATGTTTAGCGTCCGCGTGCGCCTTGGTTTTTGACACCCAATATAAGAAAAAACACAAAATCAGGAGTCCTGAAATTGATTAATTTAGTAGAAATTTTTTAATTTTGTCAATTTCTCCAAAGAATTCTGTACTGTAAGGTATATTGGGTGTATTTTAAGCATTTAATCCCTTGTTTTTGCTTAAAAATAGATATTTATTCTATTAAAAAAGTTTAGTTAGATCAAATCATTTTTATGACTTATGATTAAGCCTGTGAATGGCCTTATCGTTCATATCAATATATACATGTAACTTTTTTTTTTACATATCAATAAGGTAATTAAGTCTTCAAACATATTTTTAAGCCAAGACCCAAGTACCTGTGTACACAATGGGAATCATTGATTTTCACAGATGATAAGATTTTATATATGTAGGAAGGAGGTTTGTTTGTAAAAAATTAACCCCATCCCCAATCACACACATACCCGCACATTTTTTAACGTTTTTCTTTTTGCAACTGCTTTAAGGTGAAATGGACCTCCCCTTCCAGAAAATTTCCTGAATCAGTCCTTGATTTAAATGATACAAATACACAAACACCCGTAACTCACTCTTGTTGGTACTGAATTTTTTTTTAATTTGTATGATTAGGGGCAAATGACAAAACTATATTTTTTTTCTATACTTTACATTTGTGTGTTGTCAATCATTGCAATCATCGACGCCGTCACAAGACACAGATTCACAGTATGATGATCAGCACGTGTGGCGTATGTGACCGATTCGAAGCTTTGTATCAGTATATTACAGTGAAACCTGTCTTATCCGACATGCACAGGGAGACAAATTTTGTGTCAGAATAGACAGTGTGTCGGATTGCACAGTGTTAAAAACAAGGAAAATACTAAAATGGGAACGAAATTTAATGTCGTAATTCACAGTGTGTCGGATTATTCAGGTGTCGGATTAGACAGTTTTCACTGTACCTTGTTAAATCCTGTGTTGATCTCATATGCAATGAATTAATATGTTCAAAACCTTTAAAAATACAAAATATATAATATATCTTAATGCAACCATAGAATTCATAAATTAAGAATAATGAAAACGCAAAATCAAAGACATCTGTTGTATTTATAATGAAACTGAATCCACCTAACATTTAACTAATGTGAAAATACTTCATTTTACCTGTCTGAACAAAACATATAGCCAATATAAAAATTAATACAATGTACATAAAAATTCCCAAAAAGGTATTCCTTCTCCATTTCTCTTCAGTAAATTCGAACTTAAGATGACACTGTTTGTTAGCGAAATACTTTTTTAAAAGAATTAATTGATCCACTTCGATTCTAAATGACAACTCCATTAAATTTTTTTTTTACAATCTTTATACGTAATACATTATTATATATTTATAGTATACATTAAGATCTGTTCAAAGAACAACAATTTAACATCCCAAGACAAAAATATCCATTTTCAAATATTTATGGAATCAGGGACCTATATATACTAGTACATGTATATAGATCCCTGATTGAATTAATTCACTCTATATTTTTAATAACCATAATTTTTTTCCGTCAGAACAAACAGGTAATTTTTTCTGTCTTTTGCCAGTGATATTGGTACACCGCTCTTCATTTGTGTATAGGCATTAACGCTAAAAATTCCCCATTTTGATCAAGAATGTGTATAACATTATTGTTTTCATCTGCAATCAAAATATTTCCGAGTACATCAGTACAAATTCCTGAAGGTGAAAAGGATCTGAACGTTAATCCTGATACTCCTCTGTAGGAAAATCGTTTCTGGCCGCCAGCTGTGAAGACTTCTACTGAATCGGTTGAAATGCAAATGTCACCATTAATGTTTTCAGACATGTATGCTTTTATATGTTTTTTGTTAAAAAAGGGTTCCCACGTTTCTTTATATGCTATTTCTTGTAATCGATGTCTGTCCATGTTGTATCGAAAAATACCACCTCTTTTGTCATGTTTGTTTTCTGTATCCACTAGTCCAAAAAGAATACCATTTTTGGAGGACGAACAAATGTTAATTAGTGATAGACATAGGTTTAAAATCCATGAACGTTCGTGTAATCTCTTCTGCAGTCAACATCTTTACAGTTGTCTGAACGTAACAGAATATTAGACTCTTTTCAGAAGAAACACAGAGGGGCTTATTTCGAAAGGGACCTCCTATTGCTTCAACTTTTGAAATATAGTCTCCACTTTCAGAAAATTGCATAACAGCATGTATTCCTCTTTGAGACACCCAAATGGTACATTTACCATTGCATTGTTGATAGCATAGTGATGATATAGCTCTATCATCTATTGATATTATTCTAATTAGTTCAACTTCACTAGAATCTAGGAAACTGAGGTGGTCTGTTGAAGAAACAATACTTCCCATTGTGTCTTTCAAAATATTGTTTTTCCGGGGATCGCTTTTCGTCAATCGAATGCTTCCTGGAGGTGGAAGATATAGGAATATTTCTGGAACAACATCTCCTTTTTGGTATTTAGTATACATCATAAATTTATTTTTCTCCTCTGCATTTTCGTTTGAAAATTCAGACATAAACGTTTTCATAACCGTAATATAGTTTTCAATATAAGTTTCATGTAATTGCAAAGTGGTCTTTTTAAACTTCTGTTTCTTTCAGTAAATCAAATTTTACAGAAATGTGAAATATGAAAGTCAAAGTTCAGTAAATCAGTAAATCAAAAGTTGTGTGCAAGGTTAAAAGATTTTGCGGACAAATAGACAGTTAGACAGACAGATAGAGATGCAGACGGACAGACACAACAACAAAAAAACTATATTTACGGGGGCATAAGAAATTGAATGTTTAACATCCCGAAATCTTAGGGGACCATCTCAAAAGTTGTCAAATTTAACTATCATATTGGTTTAAATCAGATGTGAATACTTGAAAATTCCATGGAACTTTTGAAAAAAAAAATATTTGATTTTATTTGGTTTTTGATATAATTGACAGCTGTTTTTTCAACAAGATGTGTTTGTGAAATACTGATGCCCCCGTCTGGCAACATAGCGAAGGTTAAGCTTTCTCAAATGCAGGTCAAATATGTTGGTACCTAAAGTAAGGCCTTTTCACAAGAAATACTAATGTGAAATACAAAACCCTAGCACCAACTAATCAAAGGTTATGACCGAGGTTAACATTTTTAAAGGTTTGACAAACTCCGGGACAAAGGTCAAAGGGCCATGTTGTTCGTTTCAAAAGAAAGGCCTTGTCTCAAAGATTTCATATGAAAAATACGAAAGCGTTGGACCTTACCCTTCTAAAGTTATGGCCAGGTTAAAATTTGTTAAAAATGGTCAAACTCCAAGGTCAAAGGTTCAAGGTTCTTTTTATCCAATGAAATGTCATGTCACAAGAATTACATATGAGAAGTAAGAAAGCTTTAGCCCTTACTGTTCAAAAGTTATGGCCAAGGTCAAAGTTTGTAAAAAAGTAGGTCAAACTCCAGGGTCAAGGTCAAATTTCTCAGTATCCAATGAAAGGTCTTTTCACAAGGATTGCATATGTGAAGTATGAAAGCCCTAGTCCTTACCTTTTAAAAGTTATGGTCAAGGTTTTTTTCGTTAGTACGGAAATCTCCAAGGTCAATATTGTTGGTTTCAAATGAAAGGTCTTGCCACAAAAAAATTATATTTGAAATTCCTCGTTTCTATCGTTTTCCAAGGTCAAGGGGTCAATGATCTTGATATCAAATGAAAGATCTTGTCACAAGGATTAAATATGTGAAGTATCAAAGCCCTAGCCCTAACCCTTTAAAAATTTTGGTCAAGTTGTATTTTCAAAATAGGTCAAACTCCAAGGTCAAGGTCAAAGTTCTTTTAATCAAATTAAACGTTCTCTCACAAGGATTACATATGTGAAGAATGAAAGCCTTACCCCTTACCGTTCAAAAATAGACAAGGTAAATTTTTTTTATAAGTATGGAAATCTCCAATGTCAAGATTAAGGTCAAAGTTGTTGGTACTCAATTAAAGGTCTTTTCACAAAGAATACATATAATAAGTATAAAAGTCCTGGTATCTACTTTTCAAAAGATATGGCCAAAGTATAAGTTTGAAATCTTTGTGTAAAAGTGGTTCACACTCCAAGGTCAAGGTCACAAGAACAAATTTGGCGGTACCTACAGAAAGGTCTTGTCACAAGAAATACACATGTGAAATATGAAAGCCATAGCTTCACTAAATCAAAAGTAATGGGCAAGGTTAAAGTTTTTGCGGACAAACAGAGAGACAGACAGAAGGTCAGATATCACAAAAACTATATATCCCCGAAACTTCGTTTACAGGAGCATTATAAAAACGGAACTCGTAAATTTACTTACCTTGTCATTGGTCATTTGCAAAATTATTTTATTAAAAACATTCTGACTGTACACACAAGTACTCGGAAGTTAACATCAAATCTGCTCGAGTTTCTGATTGACAATATCTATGTGGGTTTTGGAGACCATGTAGTTCTTCCAACAAAATGTTGGAATTTTTATTGGTTCCAATTAAGCCCCGTTATTTGCAGACTTATTTTTGTATTCATTTGACGCACACACATAATTAATTCAAAATCTTATACTTGAGAAGAAAAGGCTGTGGTCTTCAACTTGACATTAAGATATACTTCGTATATTTAAAAGCTGAAATAACTTTAAGCTTATTTATTGAATAGTTTTTTGGAAAGGGGTATTATCAGAGAAAAAAACGCAGCTAAAAAAAGAAAAAAAGATTTTTTTTAATATTTAAAATTTTGTTGAGATGCGGTTAGAAGTGGCAGATACAAGTCCATTAGTAGGACCATCCCTTTCAATGTATATTTTTAGTCTAAATGAAAAGAAATAACTTACAGATGTTACATTCAGAAGAAAAATGTTGGGGATACCACCACCCCCCTCCACCCCTGATCATATATTCGATCCCCTATGTTATATTCACCTGGGTTGAAGGTGAAAGAAAGTTAAATAGCTTTCCAAAACTTTTTCTATCAATTTGGAAATCCCCGATCAATTTTTGAATCCTTATATTCATCAGAAAAGTCATGGGCAGTCGAATAAAACGTACTATTTTTTCTACATTATTGAATCTCAGCCAATGAGAGCGATATTCCTGAATTATTCAATCATATAATTATACAAAATGTGTTTTATTAATTCAAACGTCCTAGGATTGACAGGCATGGCGCCGATATTTAGAATTAAACATTAGTCTCTTGCTCATATAGTGATGTCAAACAACACCAACATGTTTAATATTTACGGATAAAATGAGATCGAAATTTGATTTGACATATATTACAGATTCTTTGAAAAACTTTTTACTTATCCAGTTTACTACAGATAATTAAAGATTCTTATTTTCCCATCGGAACAACCGACGCATATGTCATTTTTGAAGTCAACACACACAGATATTGGATCAACTTGGTCACCTCCTGGAATGGTTAACAGCTTTAAAAACACGCCATCTTTGTCTAAAATGTGAATTCCATAGTTTTTTTCATCAGCGATTAGAATGTTTCCATGAAAATCCGTACATATACCACGAGGAAGAAATTGTTGAGCCAAAGATGCTTCCTTCCCTTTATAGGTAAATCTAAGTAGCCCATCTGTACAGATGACATCAACAACGTCTGTGGACAGACAAATATCACCATTTATGTTCTCTGAAATGTACGCACGAAGGTTGTTAGTTTTGAAAATTGATTTTGGAATCATTTTTTCCCATAAATGTGTTACACGTTGAAGACATTTTCCTTCACAATTATATCGAAGAACTGCACCAATATTTTCTTGCATATGTACTGCCGCGACCAAAATATCCCCGTTTCTTGCAATACACATGCACACAGGTAACAAAGGTGTTAAGTCTACAAACAATTTCTCGCTTTTCGTATTGGTTTCATATACATGTAATGTCGGTTGACTTTTTCTAAAGATAACCATGCCAAATTCAGTGACACATATAGGTTTGTTTCTAAAATTCTGAATGTTTGTATTAACTTTTGTTAGGCAATTACCTTTACTGTCAACATTTGTAAAGTCCGGTGTATTTTTCGAGAAAACCCAGTATGTACATTCGCTGTTGCTAAGATAACTACAAATTGACTCAATCGGTCCTTTGCTTATTGATATTGACTGAAGTACGACCATGGCTGCTGATGACAGCGGTCGAGCTATTGCAAAACAATAAAGCTTTCCCAATATCTTTGAAATCGGCATTCTATATAAATTTTCTTTTTCCTCTTGGAAATATTTGATTATACCAGGAAACGATAAGGGTGGACATTCATCTGGCATCGTAACACCAAGGGTGCAATTTGCATATAATATGAAGGAACTCTTCTTCTGCATGTCATCCGTCTGAAAACTTGACATAAAGTCTTTCATATTTCGGACATGAGCTAGAAATCGATCCTCTTGCACTTTAAGTATATGTAAGTTAGATTTTTCTCGCTCATCAACCTCTTCTTCAAGATGATTTTCGGTTTCTTTGAGTTCCGATATTACTTTTTGAAGGTGAGAACGAATTTCTTTCTTCACAATTTCATTGTTCTCCATTTCCAGTGCTTTTCTTTCAATAATTTTCTTCAGTGTTGCCTCATATTTTGGTAGCTCTGAGCAAACTGTAGATAATTTCAGTTCGAGTTTCTCCTTCTTCTTACAGAACATTTCGGTAAAATCCATTAGTTTATGACCATTATGATCCCCAATAAGACATTTTTCACAAACTGGCACCTCACAATCCTGACATCCAATATTTGCTCGAAAGTTTTGATGCCATTTGCAAATAAGATGAGATGGGCATTCATGAGACAGTGTAAGTGATTCATATGTTAATAAGGCGATTTCATGGTCAAATGTACCTTTACTTCTAGAATGGATATCTTTACATTTGTCGCATAACCTGTCGTGACACGTTTTGCACAAATGTTTCGCCGTATTTTCGCAAGTGTCACAGTTCACTGCAGTCTGCATATTGGGATTTGCCACATCAGGCGAAACCGCCATTCCCTTATTACTGAAAGAAAATTACAATAAAGAATTCGTTATACCTGAATGAGATTGCAATTAATTTTTTAAAACAAACAAATTTTAAAACTACTTTCGGTATCAATTCAAGGAAAATGCATTCTATTTATAGCAATTCAATCCTCTAAATTTTACGTTGATTTTCTTTCATCAAATGATAAAGGAATGCTTTAATAAAGATGTGTAAACATTTAATAAAACTCATTAAAGATTTTAGTATTTTAAAATCAATCACTTTGTCTAATTAGAAGTCTTACCTAGGACAGCGACGTTTTGGGTCGCTCTGCGAATATATGTGAGGGTGTTGCTAAAACGCGAAACGGAAAGCGGAACGGAATAAATAATTTTATAATAACTTAATTTTACTTGTTACACGTCATTTGATTGGATAAAAAAAATATTCATTTTGTATAACATAACTTGCCTACGTCACAATGAGTTACTTCAAAAACGTATTACTCCGCTTGACGTTACTTTTAAAATTTAATCATTGTGAAGCCTTATTCTGGGGGAAAAATTGTCTCATTGTCTGCACTGAAATTAAATTAAGGTATTCAATCCCTAATGGGAACAAATTCAGTGAAATTGAATACATAACTGATGTGTATGCATTGAATACTCAGCATATTTAAACATATTTCCCATTTATAACTATTAGTATGTATAGAGGGATCTGTCCTAATTTACGACCTTGAGTTTTGGTAAGAGTTATCTCCCCTTTTTTATTCAATAAAAAAAATTAATTGAAAAAAATTAAGCCGGTAAAAAAATTGTTTTTAATTGTCATTCTATTTTTAATGTTTCAATGCATCTTTCCACCGCAGGATTTATTGATATTCAAATTATTTGAATTTTTATTTTGAAAAAACGCTTTTCCCCATAGACTTCAATGCAATCTTTATGAATTAACTACTGCTTAATTAATGACATTTTTAAAACTTTCTCGCGGGCAATCCTTTTCCACTCTAAAATGCTTTAATATAACATCAGTGTATTATGTACTTGACGTATATTTAAGGGTAGAGAATTAGGTCCCATTAGGGATGGAAATCCTTAAAACGAATGAAGCTTATTTCAACTTATATTATACGATATAACAAAGCTTGGGGCTTCGCGGTTTATAAAGCGCAAACTGCCCCAAGTTATGTTATATCGTATAATATAAGTTGAAATAAGCTTCATTCCTTAATTAAATCACTTAAAATACAGGAGTCGGCAATTTTTTCAATAAAATATTTTAAAAACATAACATGTGAGCTTCGCTATTTACATTGGTTTATTGATAAAACTGCGGAGTCCTGTGCTTAAAATACACAAATTTCATCTAACAAGTTGATTTAATCATATTCAGTATCTTTTAAGAAAATCGCTGCCATAGCAATGACGTTGAAAGTGTGTTTGTGTGTGCGAGTGTGTGTGTGCGTGTGTGTGTGTGTGTGTGGGGGGGGGGGGGGGTTACACTTACCTGAAAATAAACAAAGAAAACTACGAAAGCCCATTGAGATCATTTTCGTAGGTTAAAATGCGAAACTTTCTCGAATAAACGCGTAACTTTCTCGTTAAAACGCGTAATGTTTGCGTTAAAACCCTAAACCTTCGCGATATTACGCGAATAAAGGCGTTATTTCGCGAAGTAATATGCATATAATAATGTTACTAAGGAACCATGATCTTGAGTGACAGATGAGAATGTACATGAACAGAGATGACGGGAACTCTCAGGAACTTATTTATAAAATATTATTTCATCAGAAGATGTACTGGAGAAATGATGCGAGAATACGAAAGATTAGGCTAGTTATCATATTTTTGCAGTTTTGTCGTAAGATATTTTTGATTTTTTTTTTCACAGTGAATAACTATTCGTGAATATATAAACATATGCATATATTTGGTTATTGCAATTGCTTTTCATATTTAAATGTATCATTTTGTTTATAATACAGGGCACATACATGCTATCTAAAGTAATTTATTATCTGAACACAAATGACTGATCACATCAAATCTTCTTTTTTTTTTCAAAGAACAATTCATTCGTTGTTTCAAAAGGTTAATATTATATATTTCCTTGTTTTATTTCACATTTATGTTTTTAGTATAGAAAAGGAGAATGTCTGATGATCACAATAACACCAATAATGCAACGAAATTCAAATACTCAGCCATGCATATGAAAGCATTTCCTTTATTAAAGAATAACTCATAGATTCTATGCAGTAAGCCACATTGCTCCCAGTAGGCATATAATAAAGCAATCTTTTGCAGTTATATCTCTTTTTGTACAATTAAGAGTGTCCACTCAGGAAAAGAGATAGTAATGAAGAAAGTACATAAATGGGACTCAGACACTAGTTTATCTGTAACAAAATAGGGCCTACATAGCTGGACTGATTTCCTGATAGAAGTGAGTCTAAGTCGAACAAACATTCTGAGACTATTGCGTCAGCAATACTACTAGTAGTCCACTTCCGGTAGGTGTAATCTGGTTCCCATTAAAAATATAAAAGGCCGTATTTCCTTCAATAATCATTGAAACGGAACGAAATTCAAATTTGATCTGTAACTCATCAATGATATAAAATGGAGACAACGAACAGTATTCAAACTCCAAAGTTCATTAAAAATAGAAAACTGGAGCAGAAAAACACGGTCCTTCAAAACATCAGAGGTGGGATCAGGTGTCATGGAAGAGTAAGCATCCCCTGTCAACCGATAACACCCACCGTGTGCTTCTTGTCATTATCAGTAAATAAATGAAAATTCCAACGACAATTTAGTATGTTTCAAATGGTCTAACAATACGTATGACAAAAGAGAGTCAGCATATGATTTAATGATAATTGTATGTACTGTCAAGGTCATTGAACATGTACATATATCGACCATAGAACTTACAATATGATGATCTTAAACGAAACTGCTGACATTCTTATTTCAGCAGCTTTGTTTTTAACAGTAGTGATGGAAAAGTACATTGTCATTTTATCTTAGGGAAAGGCTTTCAAATCCAATATTCTTGTTGTCTAAGGAAAGAGGTACTCAGTGATAGACTGTTTGTATGGTGGTAAATTTTCGAAAATTTTAAAATTACATTGACAAAATTGATTGGTCGGGTATATCGGTATAAAAATGCTTGTTGAAATAAGACTTTACTTGGGAAGATTTGAATTACTTATTTTCTTCAAAGAATTTTGTATTTAATTACTGTATGCAGGGAAATTTTTTGTCCCGTCATTGTAGGTTAAATCAGATTTTGCATTTTTTTTCTATTTATGTTTGATTGTATTTCGCATAACATACACTTGCCTTTAAAATAACATAAAAATGTTTTGGTTTAAATAAATATGTTCTTATAATTCTCTGTAACTCTTTCTCAAGACGTCAACGAATAGGAAATACTATCAAGTAATATGGTTTGGTATTAAAATTGGTATACTTAAATATTAGTAAGCATTTCGATAATCATTCCAGGTTCCATTTTGTCCAAAAGAAAACTAATTTTGCCTCTAGAACAAAATATTAAATAAGGAATGGAAATAGCTCGTTGAACACATTTCTTTTTTATTATTATTATTATTATTTTAACCGGAGAGAGAGAGATTTGTTGTTTATTACGTCACAAACATTTTTTTTCACAGTGAATAATAATTCGTAAATAAATACATGTACCAAGGTTATTACTTTTCGATTTTCCTTTTCATTTTGTTTAATCATCTATGTCACAGATATGCTATTTAAATGAATAATATATCCTCTAAACACAAATGACGAACCACTTCAAACCTTTCTCCTTTCAAATAGCATATTATTGTTTCAGAATGTTAATTATTAAATTTCCTTGTTTCATTTTACTTTTATTTTTTTGTTTATAAAAGGAAACAATGTCTGATGATCACAATCATCAAATATGGAACAGAATTCAAATACTTAACCATGCATATGAAAGTATTTCCTTATTAAATAATAACATTCATCGATTTTCTACAAAAAAAAAACATATTGTTCCCAGTAGATATATAATATACATGAACAAGCAAAAAGACCTCTTTTTGTACAATTATCATGACTTTTTCAAAATGCATTTCAATGTTTCTCTTCAATGCATCTTCGCTAGCCAAGGGTTTTCGATCCAAAAACTACTCTACAACCGGCTGTAGAGTAGATTTCGAATCGGAAACCCTTGGCTAGCGAAGATGCTTCATAAACAGCACTGCTCTTTCATACTTTGGTTTAATGTGTCTTCCAATTTAATATATTTTTGTTAACACTGAAACATTACGTTTTCAAAGATGGGTGGCATTATATAGTGATCATTCTACGAATTCTCATGGAAAATGTCATCGAAAAATCCTTTTTTGTTAAATATTTCAGCATATATCAGTTTATTTTATAACATCAAAAATTGAAAAAAAAAAAATGATTCACTTACAAAAATATCACAAAATAAAAAATTTGATTTCATTAATGTATTCTTCGCCCTTAATTTAGTGTGTATACATGTACACTTGTATAGGAAAAATTTTGATTTAAATACGTCTGTAATATTGAAATAAGTAAAGAGATATTACCGAATTGCAAAGAAATTTTTCTATTGATTTTGAGCATTAAAAATGATGACTTTCTCGTTTGCGGATAAATATTATCTTCATAATATTGTTTGAAATTTTGACAAAAAAGAAAGATGGTCCATTGGCCTATGTATAAACATTTCCTCGAATTTTGACATTTACAATTTTTATGGAGCATACTTTATCATTCAGAAGTGTAATTAGTAGGGAAAAAACGAGAATGATTCAATACTGTTGTTAAATTGTGCTTTTATATACTAATAAATTGCATTTAATGACGTAAATTGATCAGCATTTGTTGTAAAAGTACGAAAATACATTGAAAGTTTTCTATAAATGTAGGAAAAATACAAAAAAATGTTCGTTTTTCCTCAAATCATCCCCGGGAAATGTAATTTGGTTAAATCAATTACTAGCAAATGGTTTCAATGTCCCTGCATATGTTTTATATAAATCTACTAAAACTCAGGTAAATATATAAATACAACCATATGTTATGTTTAGTTAAAACCTCACTGATCCCAATTCGTAAGAGTACTATTCTCGAAAAAGAAAATGATATAATTTTTTATTCCAGTCCTGTCTCTCAATAAAAAAAAAACACAAAAAGCAAAAGAAATAATCTTGTACAAAAGGTGTAATATTTGTGCAATTTCATGAAAAGTAGTTTACTACCTACATGTATTCAAAATTTGAAAGAAAATATAAGAAACTCCTGTCAGGCAATCCAACGAATAATAAACTCATTTTCTAGAGTCATCCAAGGAAGGTATGTGTCGCCTAGTGTAGCTTTAGATAATATATAAATCAATGTAGGAGTGGTAAGCTATCTATTTGATTTTACTTAATGTCTTTGCCTGCAATGAAAAATTTTGACTGCAAATTTCAGAAAACATTTATCAGAAATTGTGACAATCAAAAAGAAATATGACTCCTCAACTTTTAGAGGTAAATTTAATGAAAAAATATTTTATCAGTCCTCTTTTACTGTATTTTATCAGTCCTCTTTTACTGTAAATATCAGATTACGAATTTATGTGAAGTACGATACATCTTGGTATATAAATCCAAATGCATTAATGTTCAATTTGTGTGGTATGATGGTATAATACCTCTGATTATATTCTTGAGGTCCATGCTTGCTCTGCTCCTATTTGTATTGTTTTATGGACTTTTTAGCTTGAACACTGCTCCTTATCTCCATATATTTCATCATTCAGTTTAAAAATCAAATATCATAAGCTCATAAACATGTAACACATATGCGTGTAATCAAAGCCCTATGTTTCAAAATGCATTTGATACGGATAATGTTTCCGTTTGAAGTAGTTTTGAAAAAAAATATGTCAAAGCTCAAAGTTTTATGGACCGTTGCGCTGGTATTTTTTTTCATTATGTCTATTAGGACAACAGTGAACATCATAAATAGCACACATATCCGTATTATGAACTATTTTGTAAAGTAGGCCTAATTTTTAAGGTTTATGAGAACAATAAACATGGTATTTTACAAAAGCCCTGGTGCCAAGCAAAACATGACCAAATTATCAAATCCATTCCTCTCACATATTTTTCTTCAAATAAACAAAATGTTACTGTATGAAAGATGGACAGAAAGACAGACAGCGCGTAAAGTGATAGCTAAGTGTTTTTTTTTTCTATTCTGAAGCAAATTAAATCTTTGAAAATACAGCTTCTTAAATAATACACTCATGACCTTAATGAATACCGTTATAACCTGGTTAGCAAAACATATTATAGAAGTTATGTTTTAACAGCCCAAATCAGAGTAAGGTGGAAAGTGACTGTAGTAGCCCTATGCTCCACAAGTAACGAAGAGGACTAAGTAAATAAGTATGTTTAAAAAAAAAAACGTATTATCTTACTGCAATAACTCCTTATATGATGTGGTAAAAATCCTTTTGGTTTCTATAAAACTATTTAGGATATACTACATGTACTACAGACTCCAAACTAAATGAATAAAAATATCTTTTTTATCGGAATAAAAGTACAATCTCTTCATCACGTTTTGAAAAGTCAAAAATGTTAATAAAATATAAAACAAGATGCTAAGAGTTATAAATATCATATTTTCATTGATATATATCCGTTCCTTCCATATTGAATTCTTGCATCAGATGATATGAAGGTCTTTTTTGATGAGTTCTAAAATTTTGTGGAGATGTCTTTAAAATGCCTTCTACAGGAACATGAACACGAGTTACTACTTCATTAGCATTATTTTCACCGCAAGGTGTCACTATGTGTTTCATGTTACTTTCGTTAAACTGTGCTCCACCGTTTACATTGTGCTGTTCCGGCGAGTGTCTCAACTCTTTCATATCAAATGTGTCTATAATGGTAACACGCTTTGTGTCTCGTTTTGGAGAAGCTGGGTTAGAGGAATGTTTGGATGGCACGAACGATGTTGTATGGATGAGAGGAGATCGGTTTGTCACTGGACTGTTTTCCAGGCTTCTGATATGCGGAGAAACCCAATGGGTTTGTTGGGATGAGTTATTTTCTGTTGATTTCACTATGTGAAGTTGTTTTTGCTTGTGACGCCGACAACAGTAGACGATCAGTATTATAGCTAATATTAATATCACAGACGGCACTGCCGCGTAAACCACTATCATTAGTATTTTATTAAAACCTAGAAAATAAAAAAAAAAGAATACATGTAAAATTTAAAAACAAAACAGAGACCATGGTATTATGAAGCGTGAAAAATATTCAACTTCAACTTTCTGAGAGATTTGCAATTAAAAATAAAACTTATGGTTTTTATATATACATGTATCAATTTAACAGTTAATTACAGGGCAATTTCAAATAAATAAAAGATACATGATAAATTTTAAATAAAATCAAACGATATGGAAATATAAGAAAGCTTCTTGCAAATGATATGATATTGGAAGAAGACATGGACAGAAAACTTACAATTTTCTTCATCACTGTTGTCTGAATAACCACAGTTTGGCATCTCATTACATTCTAAGGACTTGTCAATACAGATTTTTAATTTTGTGTATTTACAATCGGATGATTCTTCGTCGCACGATTCACCCTGACAAAGGAATCTGGGACAATTATCTGAAATGAACAAAATGAATATCTGTTTGGTTAGATCGAAATTACACTCATGAGCATATAAATGTATTTGGATCATTGAAAAAGTACTGTTTACAGGGGAGTTTTTGATTCTGTTTTTTTTTTTAATTTTGCCCCATCGCTCTTGATTCAAGCAGGCAAATTTAAGACAGGTCAAATTTAAAGAAAGGCAGACTATCATTTCATTTAAAGAACTTTCAATGGACATTTTTTTTTGCAGGCGTTAGAGGGCAAAACTTGTTTATGATTGCCTGGATTTAACATTCACGCACCGTTTTCTACCAATTCCACCGCCGTCCAAGTAAGTCGAAATGCTAAGGTAAGACCATAAACGTCTGTTTCAAATCTAAACGATAAATTAAGAAAACGTTATTGTTATTAATGAAAGAAATACGAAAGTACATAAATACTAAAAAATAAATACAAGAATTCTTCAAAAGGTGATATTCCCTCAAATATTTCTTCAAAAAAATATCTAAGTTTGTGAATGCTGGTACATAAATATCATTAATTTCGAATTAACTGTTTGGTAATTATATTCAAAAACTTAAAACAAGTCACTATTTCTACAGAAACAAAAACAAGTGGCAAGCGCCTCATTTGAGCTGAAAAACTTTCTGTATGTATTCAAAGATATGGAATCAATGACATTCCTTGTATAAACGATTAATGGTGATTTAATAAAAAAAAATTATTAATGTACACGTATATAATTATCACAACTATTACATCGTACTATATGCTGACCTTATGACTACTCTGCTGGCTGAGGACCAGTACTCTCGCTTTCTGTGGTGGACACTGGACAGTGGACCACAGTAAGCCCTCTCTGATAACATCCCGGGAACGGCAAAGCCGTTATAAATCGCCAACTTTGTACCATTACAGTGATTTCCGGTTTGTTGACCTGTGGAACAGGTTAATGGAATATATTCCAAAACGTAAAAAACAAGTTAACTAAATTTTATTATCAGCCAAATTTAAGCTCAGGCACTTTTCAACATTACAAAATCACTTTTACCATACACATGTATGGAATTTTAGTTTAGGACATAAAAATACAATGTAAAAATGTTAACCTACTACTACTGGAAAGGTCAACGAGGGTCAACAAAATTTTCTCTGTTTCCTTGACAACGATGATCCAGGTGCAGCTGGATCTGGGAAGGGCAAACTCAGGATATCCAGGGGAGGAGATAACCCCTCCTGACCCCATTAGAAACTCTGGTCCACACCCGATCGTGGAGGGGCCAAAATGATGCCAGTCTGCGATGGAAAATTCTATGATTTTTATATAAGGCTGTTGAATCTGCAGAACTTCTTAGAGATTATAACTCCATAAAATCAAAACTTCTAGCTCATTGACGTTTTAGGTATTATACAGTATATTTGCACAAGTAATAATTGCAAATCTGTAATTATCATTCATATTTTATTCTATTTGAGCTCAAAAGAATGTTATTTTTGATAGCACATGTGTCTGCCTCTATTTTGCCGAACAGTCAAAAAAAGTTTTATCTTTAATTTTACAAAACTCTAGAATGCTGCGTTTTTTCAACTAAATAAATTTTCTTTAGATACTAAAATCAAAATTCTAGATTTAGAAAGGAAGAATTGAAACATTCTATTGTACTCAACTTTTATTACATTGAAGTACTTACTGTCCCCAAGGAAAGTATAGTGGGCGAGAAATCCATTCGAGTGTTTCGTAAAATCGGAAACGAACAAAATTTCCATTTTCGAATGCTGAGATATAAAGTCTTTCGGCGTATTCGTGCCACAATGCCTGTCGATGAGGTCCTTAAAGCCGTTTTGGTTCACATAGTATATTTCCAAGTAATCAAATGTGCAACTGAAAAATATGTAAAGGTAAATTTGAGATGATAACTTGACCTTTCGTACATCACAATAACAGTGGTAACTTTGGTATTTTTGAAAAACACGCCCTCCCCACACAAAAGATGCATATTATGAAAAATTCATGATGTGCAATAGGGCACATCAAGCAATATACATGCCACTTTAAATTCGGCTAAATGTGGTTATCATTAATTTAATCAAAACTCAAGTCATTCTGACGTCAGTTTGGGCACATAATGTATCGGTGCATTGTCATTTCTTTATACGTTGGAGTAATATGTATACTAAATGACATGCAAATAAAGATATACTCCTTTTGGAAATTCTTAAGTTCTTGTCATTTTGAATATTAATCAAGCTCTTTGAAAGAAATTTGTTTTATCCATGAACTCAAAAACATTAATCATATTTATCTTCAAAGACAACTTCTTCGAAAATAGTTCTGTTAAAGCTTTGTTCTGTTGCATAAAAATTACAGTAGTTATGTTTTATGCAGTATGTCAAAATCATTCTATTTCTGGTCAACATTACACCAGTACTGAGAAAGAAATAATTTTTTTTAATATATGACAGGGAAACTCTCTGAATCATCTTGCTATAATTTCGATTCGATTTCCGACAGTCTTCATTACGCAAGGCATTTCCATTTTTTGTTGTCTCTTCTTTTTTTCTTGTTTATCTTAAGATACATATCTATTTTCATTTTCCTACTTGGGGTTAACATTCATATATAAAGTAATTATATCTGTTTACAGTCACAAGTATCGTCTTATATGTAATACGACAGATAGTATGCCTTCTAATAGGTATTTAATATAAAAAAAGCCGAAAGTAAATGGTGGAAAACTGGGAAATATAATCATATTTCAACCGTTCATCGAAACCCAAAAGGAATTGCATTGAACATACTGCCTGTAGACAAAGTTTTATTATGAGACAAATTGTTCTAGTACTATGATTTATATACAATAGTCTCAGCCATTGAATTGAAAACGCATAACCCAGACAAACGTCTGTGATAGAAAAATAAATGAATGTAGATAAGGACAAATTTAAAGACTATCTTGATGGAACAACCAAATTTGGATTCCTAATTTGATATAAGCTCTCATTGTGTTTTTGTAGACTGGCCTAGACTGACAAATGATAGAAAACAGAGCAGATGTTAGCTTTGTCTATTTCCCTTTAAAAGTTCTTGTGTAGGAAGATCGTCATTTATTTTCGGTATTCAAGACAACGGATATTGGATAAAGTATCTTTTTCAAAGGTCGCCCACCTTTTTCTTAAAAGTTTAATTACCTCTACAGAACTAGACAGTGCAAGAAAACAAAGGATATAGTATTTTTCTTCAAATTACGATATATCACTTTAGAAAGACGAATTTAATGAACATTGTATTCATTGAATATCTCTTCATGACAAAGGAACAGAAAGAATAAATGTCAACGTTTACAGTAACTGCATATTGATGTGAGACAAAATATTATTTCCCCTATTAATTCAGATCTCTAGAGCGACGGGTTTACAACATATTAATTCAATCAATTAAATATACTGAATTGTATTTGAAAAATTATAGATAATAATAACTTTGGAAAATACGAGTTGACGTCTTCAAAGAATAATGCACGCCTGTAACCTCATTGCAGGCCAAATGTGACTTTGAATAAGTCTATTTTTATATGACTTTCACCCGTCTGTTGAAAATATATAAATAAACAAAAATATATCCTTAAACTTAGAATTACACTGTTTTCCTTGAGGAGTGTCAAAAATAAAATATAATTTGAAAAAAAAATATTGTAGGGGTTATGCACTTCATTATATCAATTTAGCAGAAATAATATACAGTGTATTAGATAAAACATAAATTAATTGGTTTGAATGCATAAAAGTTCGTACATGTAGGTTATGCGAAAGTAAATTATCAAATGCAACTTGATATTTTTATTGTCTCAAATGAAAACTGTGTCTTTAGAAAGAAAGTGAAGACACAGTGGGCAAAAAATTTTGAATGGGAGGTAAAACAACATACAATCTTTCAATCTTTATCGTGACACGGGCCCTTGGTATTAAGGTCTCAATCGAAGGACCCACAACTTTTAATTTTAAGTGCTGAGAGCAGAGCAAAGGAACACTCACTACCTTTTTTTTTTACTTAGGTCATTTGCGGCCGTGACTCGAACACCTGATCTCCCGATCACGGAGTGAGCGCTCTTCAGACTGTACTACCGTGACGTGAGTAATATTTTCTATTTATATGTACAGTGAAAATTGTCTAATCCTGAATAATCCGACACAGTGTGAATTCCGACGTCAAATTTTTTTCCCATTTAGCTGTTTTCAACATTTTTAACACTGTACAATCCGACACCCTGTCTATTCCGACATAAAATTTGTCTACCAATGCATGTCGGATTAGACAGGTTTCACTGTATATACATACCACTAAGAAAAAATGCATACAATAACGTTATCTCATTTCCTGAAATTTTAAAGTACGTTTCAGACTTCAAGACAAAAGAGCAGATTCGGAAGCTCTAAATCTATGTCGTCTCAGGAAGTATACAGAGGACACAGAAGAAATATATTTCACCCATACCATGCCTGAAAGCAATTACTTGAATTCCCTTAATAGATTTTGTGCTAATGAGAATAATAAATTTTATCACATATTGACAGACTAATGAATATTCAACGCGTAGTCTATCCCTAAAAAGACCCTAAAAATTTTTGCATTTATTCAATGGCAATCTATTACATTTGACAATGTACTATGTTTGAAACTGCTAGAATACCGTATTTAGAGTTTTTTTTAAATTAAATTCATGAGTGTTTATGTTCTTCTTTGAAAAAGGGGAAAGTATATATTCAAAATGAAAAGAAAATGTTATATGAATGCATTGTCAAAGGTCAATGTCAAAGCTATTTGTCTATGGTTTTCTTACTACATCTGCCCCATATTCACCATTCGTCAACGACTCATCTAAGATTCTTCTTTTTCTGATATTTTCTGATATCTTCAGAATATCTCTAAAGCCTACATGTATGTGTTTTAAGAGCAGTAACTAATATAAAGAGCTCAGTCCAAACCTATTTTCAACAAAGCAAAAATGTACAGTCTATAAGCAACCCTTCCCTATATGTAATCATAAAAGTTTGCGATTCAAAATAATGTTCATGTGTACGGAAGCCCATTTAGGACCTATCAGAAATATTTTTGAATTCGTTATAACGATTTTTAGAATTCGTTATAACGAATTTAATTTGTTATAACAGATTTTTAGAATTCGTTATAACAAATTTAATTTGTTATAACAGATTTTTAGAATTCGCTATAACGAATTTAATTTGTTATTACAGATTCATTGAATTCGTTATAACGAATTTAATTTGTTATTACAGATTTATTGAATTCGTTATAACGAATTTAATCTGTTATTACAGATTTGTTGAATTCGTAATAACCAATTCAAGGAATTTGGTTATAACGAATTTAACAAATCTGTAATAACAGAGAAAAATTCGTTATAACGAATTCAATGGAACCATCTGACCCATAACAAATTAAATTCTGTTATTACGAATTCAATGAATTGTTATAACAAATTAAATTGTTATTACGAATTTAATAAATCTGTTATAACAAATTAAATTCGTTATAACGAATTCAATAAATCTGTTATAACAAATTTAATTCGTTATAACGAATTCTAAAAAATCGTTATAACGAATTCAAAAATATTTTTTGATAGGTCCTAAATGGGCTTCCGTACATGTGTTCCATAAAGGCAGACGATTTTACAATTCTTTTTACATTGGCCTAGAAAAGTTGATAATTTTACAATTTTATCATTACAGATTTCAGACTATACCATGTTGATCGTATATCCCTATGATCAGCCGTTTGCAAAGGTACAACAGTTACTTTTTTTGTTTTAGTAAGTTTAATTTGTTCTTTTTCAGGTTTCTTTAAAACAATTTGCCAAAAAGAGTACTCAATTTGAAAAAAAAATCTGTTGAAGGTAATGCAATATTTTCGGTTGATAAGGTGCTCTTCTATTTAAGAATAGGTTCGGGAATAGTCGACAAGCCTTAAATCATAAATTAGCTCCAAATACGAAAGACTAAATTCAGACGACACTTCAAACAAAAATACGTAAGTTTCTTTACCCATTGTCTGACGGTTTCTCTAAGCTGAAGTAGTCAAAGGTGATCTGTACTTTTCCGCTGGGTGAGGCGTGGAAGAAGTAACTGCACACCATGCTGTCCGGGTACTCCCGAGGGAAGCTTGGGGAGGCGAACATTCCTGTACTTGATGTTTTATAACTAAAGGTATGGTGGCAATCTAGATGGAAAGAAATAAATCTGATTAATAAAAATTTTTATTCCTCATTCTCATTTTTGTGACACATTTCTCCCTCTTTGGCACATACATGTGTAATTCAGAAAAAAAAATATTCCAATTTTAACCATTCAAAATAAGTTGAAAAAAGAAGATGGAAGTTTCCCACATTAAATGAAGCAAAATTGCAACAACGCTTTGTACAGCATAACTTTTTCTGAATTAGTAATGTTTATTTACAACGTTTCAGGGAATATAAAATGGGCTCAGCATTTCCTTCGTTTTAATTTAAACAATTAATTTTTAAACACTTTTTGATAAATCTTCTCAGAGAAACTGATTACATTTTCATCATTCATCAAATAAGGAATGGATCCATTACATGAAATCTGATTACATCTCCACTAGAGAATAAAGAACCTCTTCTTACTGCAAGAATTTAAGCACTTGTAATTGATGAAATGTCAACATCCATGCATAATAGACGCTTTGTCTAAAGTTCTTTATTTTGAATTGAAAAAAAAGAAAGAAATCACTGAGTCATGTGCTGAAGGAAAAACGACTCCAAGGTTATTTATAAAGTACATTTATTTTGACCATGTTTTCCAAAATCCTATAATTCTGCCCCAAAATGAAAATTAATAGAATTATAATTTGTTTTTTTTTTATTCTAATGGAGGTTATTTTTTTTCTTTCTTTATATGCATTTATCATTGTGTTTCTAGTGAAATAAAATGAATATTTTGATCCAACATAAAGGTTTATTTCTGTAATTCATTCATATAAAAGTGTCCAAATTAACAACTTTTGTGATAAAAAAAAATCCTTTTTTCCAGTCGAGTGTATGCAATTAGTTTCTTTAAAAGGCTCTTTTAAAGACTTGGATTTCAATTGTTTATATGATTTGCAAGATTGTTTTGTACTTTGGTGTAATTAGAAATCAAATGAATTAAAGATACCTTGACAATTTAACTAACCAAACTAAAAAGAAAAGTGAATACGACATTTATTCTATGAAATGCCTAAAATGTCTTTGGTTTAAGGTTCATCGTTGTACGAAACATAATTGACGCTTATTTTATCCTGTAATATGGCTTCTTGAAAATGTATTTCAAAAAGCATTCATTGTCTAATCATTAATAATAGCAATGTTATTATTCATTTTTTTAAATCAAATTGATACAAATATCAAGAAAAATATCACCTAAGTGTGCTATCTTTGATTACACTAACAACCAATAACATAAAATTTGCTCAAGCTCGACCATTATGTCAATTTTTTATATCTTTTTTATGTAGTTCATTACTATCATCTTTTGGAACGGATTTCTAGTATTGATATCTTTGGAAAAAGAACGCTTCTGTAATATGATGGTCCACTTCAGTGTTCCATGAAACATCATTAATAATTTTAGTAGGTTATTGTTAAAATATCAGATGAAATGTTTCTTGGAATAAAATTTACACAATGTGTGATATTTTTTGACCATTGAAACAGTTCTGCAAACTCAGAAATATTCTATATAAACTAAGGTGAAAAAAGTTTTAAATCGAAAAGCATTTTTGGTCTTTATAATTTCGGAATAGCAATAAAATTTGGTATCAGTTGTTTCTATTTTCTGCAAAATTTAGCAGTATAATGCATGGACGCTTTTCATGAGAGAACAAATATATTTTTGTACAAATGTCTGAATATACATATGTTTACTTAGCATAATAATATATTTAAAGAGTTCAAATCTAAAATAAAATGTCCAAGTTTGTTAATCTGAATTTTCTTCACACAGATATATGTTCCTCCCCCAATTCCACACAAAGTGTCATAAAACTCCGAAATGAACAGTAAAAGAAATATAATTATCATTTACTTCAAGTATGTAACGTGATTGCTCTATTGTGTCTACAAAGGCACTTATTGCGAATAGTGAATAATACTAATTAACCGACTAAATATCAAATGATTGACACGTTTCTTGATATTTTTGTTCAAGATAGATTATAAAGGACACCCTTACTGCTTCTAAAGAATGCATTCTCTTAATGTCGCAAAATTTCCAGAGGATGTCGTACATTTAACGACACCACCAGACAAAAACCAAATGGATGATGGCCACTGACGGGGGACCTCAATTGATTGGGTATGATTCCTGTCCGTTAGCCAAGGGAATGGATGTCAGATGTGATTATAAGCTACTCTGCCAGAATAATGGTCCAATACAGCGCCTGTCAGTGAGTTTCCGATTCAAATAACCCTTTGAGCAAAGGCAAATTAACTGTGTTTGGGTTTTCTACTTAGGTTGATTAGGCTCATAACTACAAACGTAAATTTGCTTGTATATACATTTTTTTCTAGATAAAAGGCATAATCGTCAATATCAATGCTTCATTATATTGTAAGGGTTTGTATAAAAAGTTAGTAGCTACCTCTAAGTCTTTTTAACCTTTTGAATACATTTTATCAATGCAAACTATATAATAGCATGATTTGCTGGTAAGAGTTTCCGTGATTAACCTATTAGTTGAAGCAAACCATTGCAGCAAAACAATGTATTTTCAAATTTGAATGTACAATTTCGAGATAATTTCAACAACAACAACTAAAAAGATTTATGGTATAATGTTTGAATTTTTCATTTTTTCATGCAGTCACACGTTTGTACATTGATATTGCATTTACTATTAAAAAGCAATTATACCTGAGCTATTTTTCACTTGATGATGATCTCCCATAGGTCGGTCTAATGACCCTGTAGACGCAACAAGCACAGTCTGAAGCAATAAACCAAATATCATCTTTCCATTTCACACCAATTTCTTGTTGCTTTTATCATCTGATTTCACATCATGGGCCAAACATACAGCCGTTTTCAATAAAAGTAGCCTTCTTCTTTGTTCCATCGAGCTCTTTCGTTGTTTGGCGAGGATCTGAAGTAAGAGAGAAGTCTAATATAGCAGTCTCATCTTCGTGATAAGTGGTGTTGTAATGGACCCTTGATGATAAACGAGAGCATAATGGACCTCGATGGTGGGATTGGATATGCTAGTAGAAAGACTACCCCGGCATTGAAATATAAGGTTACTGCAAAAAAGACAATTCTGTCAAAGTCTAAAGCTCTGAAGGAAATCTATGTAGGGGAACTCCTCTAAAATCAATATGGAGGGATGGTATGATATCTGGAGAGTATATATTTGTCAATATCTCTTCAAGGAAGAAGTATGAAGAATTTTCATGCTAAACAAGTATGTGACAAATTTCAATGGAATACTCTTATTGTCTTCATTTATGTACAATTCTATGTAAAAATCTATATTCATTTTATTCATTCTTTCACAAAAACCTAGTGAAAGTGCATTCTATTTTTTTGGTAGGCCTGTGTTCGAATCTCGTTCGCAAGACATATTAAACGGTTGATATTAGCTCAATTAAGAACCCCAAATTCTCAATGGCCTTGTACACCGATTAAAGTTTTTATATGAATGACAATTCTTGAATGGAACGTAATACAAAAATACAATTAATCATTGTATTCATTCTCAAACATACACAAAATAAAATTGGTGATGAAATTTATTTTGGAATATAACTTGACAATGTTACATGTCTCGTTGTAAAACTCAATATTATAACAGTTTTAATCAATATCTATATTTTTATTAAAATTAATTTTTCGGGAATGGCACAGAATGGTTGCAATTTTGGCAAGATATAACGTACAATTAACATTAAATCAAAAAAGAAAAATTGTTTAGCAACCTGCTTTTTCCAAAACGCTGTGCTAAAAAGAAATATTGTTCAAGACACTACTGGATTGACTCCTTTGCTGTAATAACAAAACATTGGCATGTCTTCCTTCATAATTTTCTGTGCCTAAAGGGCAACGAATCCGGTTATTTTACCCTTAAGATTTGTAAATTATATTTTTATTGATGAAACATATACCATCACTATAGAATAATCCTAATAAGATATTCTTCCCATTTTTTAAGAAGAGACACTGCAAAAGAGGAAAGACCAATAATTGTATTAAAGTCCTAATTATCGTATAATTGCAGTAATTTTTCCACTGAGGATTCTTTCATGGCCGTATCTTATTTCATATTGTCACGCAATTGCACACAGCAGGCTTAATTTCCATTCTTAGAATCAGTTAACGGAGACAAGATAAAAAACGTGAGCACATTTCTCAAGAATCAGACATATTTATTATAAATTATTAAGTTGAAATAGTTGTGAAAGAGAAAGAAAATACTGTTTTTGCATGTACATAAATGTATAAGGGTAATATGCAAGGCAATAATTTTCACGTTTGCATTTAATTGGAGGCGATAAAAGAGTTAGAAAGTCTATATGAGCTATATGTTTCATACTTTTAACATTTTTGTCAACCAGGTAGAGTTCGGTTTGATGTACCCTATCTATACAATGTACTGGATTCTTACACACCATATTGATCCTTTGAAAAATAAACTTAAGGTAGGTCGCGGGTTTACTGCATAAAATTTCTTACGAGAAAACATAACCTGAAATTTTGATATAATGTTTCTGAGAATGTACAGTGTATTATCTGCAATTTTTATTAAATTTGCCTACGTAGTTTTAATGCTATATTACTGTAACCGCGGTATTGTTGTTAGTATTACTTGCAATGTTCTTTCTATATTAGTCGCAAGCTAGAATATGGGCTTAACTCTTGAAAATTTCTGAATTTCGAATTTTCTAAATAAAATTTCCATACGCAAAATGTAAAATACTTGCATTTAGCTTTTACATTTAGAGCTTTTGTTTTGAATCTTTTTTAATATAGAAAAAAAGATACCTGTAAATTGTTTACTGTGTCATATAGGTCTTACAGTCTAGGTGTTTGTATAAATTTGGTTTTGAATGCATTTCACAATTTATTAGCCAGGAAAACAAGCCGACTAGACGAGATTTAAATACATTTAATTTAAATACATAATATAAACCAAAAAATAATGATGATGATGATGATGATGTCATGTTAAAAAGTAGGAAAATACATGTAATTATATTAATCCGTTTTTAATGTTGAGAATTGATTCCATCCTGAAAATGATATGCATATTTTCGCCCCGGCTTTGATTGGCAGTCATGATGCAATACGCATGTTTTCCTGACTTGCAGATAAAGGCCCTGTCACACCAAGCTGCGTTCACACGGAGTCATTACGGCGTTGTTAAATTTTTAAAATCGCCGTGGAATCGCAGGAAAATTGTACAAATTTCTGTAACACAATATGAAGATTCTACGGCGATCTAACGGCGTTCTACTGTGTTCCCATGGAGATCTCTCGGCGATTGACTGCGCTTCCGTGGAGTTTTCACGGCGCGTTAGGAGTTTTCACCTCGTGTTCACAGCGTTCTCACTGCGCTGGCTGCGTTCACAATACGTTCACAATGCGTTTTATACTCATTGATATATATTCAGAAGGAATGTAAAACATTTTTGTTTAAAGATTCAAGTTACACGATGAAAAGACTTCTAATCATGCCAAGAAATATTCTTATTAATAATAATTAAAAAAATGTTCTATTTAAATAATTTAGTACTAAATCATTAATAGTTTTATGATTAAACTCCTTTTTTTCAATTTTATCGGTTCAGATGTGTTGTTAGATTTTCTTTGATTTTACTGTGAATGTAAAAAAAAAAAATAAATAAACACATTGAAAAGTTTTCTACAAAATTTAATTGAAACAACAGAACAAGTTCTGGTGTAATTTTATCTTCCATTTTTTTCACTTAAATGCTCCTAGTGCAACAAATACGTTGGGATTATTGCTGATCAAATATGATCCCATTGTTCTTGTTTTGTGAGCTGGCTGACAACGCTCTAACAACGTTGTAAAATCACATTGTGATCGCCAACGGACGCTGTAGAAACGCCATGGGAGCGCAATGATCGCAGTGACAACTCCGTGCTTTCGCCGTGTAATTGCAGTCGAAAAAAATCACAAGACGATCAATCTCATTAGAAGCGCCGTAAAAACGCGATAGAAACGCAGTGACATCTCCAAGGACTCCGCGAAATCTCCGTGAGGTCTCCGTGGAAGCGCAGACTACTATCACTGCGTTCGTGCCGCGATCATGTGTGTCTTTACGGCGTTCGTACGTAGCTCCTACTACGTTGCTGGAGATCTCACTGCGCTGCAACGGCGATCATACTACGTTTCTACTGCGTTCTAATCAGACCGCCATCACACGGCGCGTACTTTGTGCATGCCCAAAGTGATCGCCGTTCCCTGGCGTTCTAGGAGACCCTACGCGACCCTACGGCGTTCAGTGGAGATCTCGCCGCGTTGTCACGGCGCTGTTGGAGACTCTACTTCAATCACCTCGGCGTTTTGCATTTTTTGAGGACGCCGTGCAGTCGCCGTGAGGACGCAGCCCCGGTGTGACAGGGGTTTAACGTGCGTTCATACAACCCCTCAAGTTTTCTGCTAAGTAATTTTATTATGATAGCTTTCTTTCTGTATAACATAACTTTTACTCTGACTTATTCGGATTAAATTTCAACAATTAAGTAACACTTACAATATAAATTATTCCTTTCATTTGGTATTGTATTTAATTTGTCCGAAGGCATTACATAATTTTAATCATCAGAATTCAGACTTAAATTTAATTATAAAACAAGTACGAGGTTTAGATACAGCATTCACTTTGTATTATTCTACTGTAAAGACTTTAAGTCATTTGCAGAGATTTAAACGGGAAACAACGCAACTGTCGTTGTCAAAAACTCCTAACTGCCGTTTTGACGTAACTGACGTCATAATCAAATGTGCACAAAACAACGCTCGAGTCGTCGAAATTGTGTACCAAAATTGATGACAAAAGCAAACCTGCGACCTACCTTAAGATACCTTACAAGTTGCAGCTTATGGTCTTCTAAGCTCCTCCTATCTTTACATACAAAATATTGTGTATTAATTGCACTTCAGGAGAACCTGTTTATTGTGCTACAACATTTAATGAAGTTGTGATATCATCTGATGTTGATCCTTAACAAATTCCAAAGACCTCTCAAAAAATTAAAACCATCAAACTTCTCGCCGATGTATATCCAGTGTATAACATTATTTAGATTGTGATACTTTTCTTCATTTTTGTCAAATAATCCTCAATTTTGAAAGAAAGTTTTAATATCAAAGACAACTGCTTCTTCAGTGAATATGGAACTCTAAACTCAGAAGTAAAACGTCCGCAGATTTTTGATATCTTACTTAAACAACAGATTTCTGCATATTATTACATAAAAACAGAAAGCACTAGTCTTACTTATGAATAGCATAAAAACTGTAATACAAATACATTCTGTACAGACAGACATTTTACAACGCTCTTAACAATTAAGATACATATTGAGATATCATTTACAGATATTAAGGAGATTAGGTACTCTGTACAAATATCATATAAACACTGATGCTCTGTGTAGATATCATACATACTGTACATATGATACTCTGTACATATATCGTACATACTCTGGTACTTTGTGCAAATATAATACATACTATGACACTTTTCTGAATGTAATAAACATTCTGATACTTTTTCTATTCATTTCTTTATAAATGTATTTTCTCTTGAATTCATTCAAAAGCTAGGTGTAGTGACATTTGATAGCTATATCAATAATAGAAATTGAATTCGGAATTTTATCATCTCTTAAGCTTTGTTGTATAACAGTAAAAAATAAAGTATAAATAAATCAATAAGTTATAATGTAAAAAAACTGGAGCATTAGCTGAAAATCCTCACTTCACTAATTATGCACTTAGGACACAAAATACAATCTTTCATGTATCTTTCTCTTTAAGCTCCAAGAGACTGTTTTAAAGGTTTCTATGTGGTTCGATGTAAAGCTGTGTTCCTATTCAGGATTTTAGATTTGTCTTTATGATCCCCTTTATAGTCATTAAGGCCCTAATTTCATTTCTTTTTGACCTTGAAATAAGCCAGTAAATCAGCAATAAATAAATGAACGAAACATGTCAGCCAAAATAAAGTTAAAACTATTAATGCTCACGCAACTAGGCATTCATGTAATTCTGATTTTCAATTTTAATACAACACTTTTAATATCATATTTTAGGCCATAATTACAAAATCTGACGCGTTACAAGTCTTCACTCACTTTACTGAATACCGTGACATAGGATCTACAGTATACCAAACACTTAATACAGGATGTTTTCTCTCAATCTATTTTTTATTATATTTTGAAGTTCAAAGTTTTTATTAATTATTTGACTCTGCAGTTTAAAGTTTAAAGCAGAAACGCTTTATAATTTACATACTTATGAGGAAAAGTGACTTCGTGACCCATAGGAAAAATAAAAAAAAAAAAAACAACAACCAAAAATTCCTTGTTAAAATAACCCTCTTATACCTCTATAAAGTAAACTAAAAAGAAATAGATGTCCATTTTTTCATATACATGAAAACATTATATATTTTATCAAATATACATATTATATATATTATACATGTGTAAAAAAAAAAAAACAAATTAAAAAGATACAAAAAACGTTGTTATTGGAATTACATGTTCAAGTATTGATAGTGAAGGTTATAAAATATTTATTTCAAGAACAGAATCTTAAGAATTTCAGTTCTATTACTAGTACTTAATTTAAAATTACATTCTTTTAATTCTTCCTAGTCAATTAAATATTCCTGAAGTACACTTGTACAGAAAAGAATTTTAAACTGATTAAACTTACTTACGTATGGATTCAAACTGCAATCTTTTTCATTCCTTGAGATATTTTTTAAACAGCTTACACAATGGGATCTATATATCCTCTTCTATTCACTGATCATAGAAATCGATTTCCCTCTGAAATAAATAGAATTACGACATGTGACGGAATTTCTATCATAAGCAACTGAAATTTTTATAGTAGTTCTTTATTTCAAGCCTAGACCCACTGTCCTATTTATGTCAAAGTATCGATTCGTCTTCAAACACACAATAGAAGAAGAAAATAATGCATTATTTCAATAATAAAGGGAAAATTATTATTGCATGTCGCGTATTATATGAATGCAGGAATACAACATAGGGTTATTTTTTCCTAATATAAAACAAAGAATAACCACAGAAATCAATAAAAATACATAAATATTTATTGGTTTCTGATTTTTCTTTATCAACTCAAATATATTTCAATAAACGAAAAAGATGTTTCCTTCGAAATATTACCTGTGTCAGTTTTAGAGGAAATGTTTTCTATGGACATTTTTTCCATTACATGAAATGTACTTATATACTCCTCTTCTCTCTATATCTCTATTTTTACTTCTCACTTGACAAAGAACAATATCAATATAATGATACCAATAAAAGTGAAAATTTCACCAGCTGCTTCCTACCAGAACGGCTACAGACAATAGAAGAACGTTATTTCAAACATAATGAATACGAAGAACGAATACAAAAACCTTTAACATTTCATTACAATGGCATTTTAGATTTGGATTTTATGTTCACTTTTATTCGTAACTTTTAAAAAAAACTTAAGAGTCAGTTAATGCTTATCCTGAAAATACTTTTGCTAAATCGGGCTAAATCAGAAATTGATACCTTGTTTCTCAAAATACTAGTAACTGTCAAAAAATATTGAAGGCGACAAAAATCTATTCAATAGACGATCATTGCTCAAACATTCCCCATAATTAATTTAGTAAAGTAAAACATTGAGAAAAGGTTTGACTGCAAGTTTACATATATCGTAAAAGCCTTGAGCGTACTGGTCTACCAGAATATGATCAATATTCTCTTTCAGGAAGAAAAATAAAAAGAAAGAAAATTAGCGTAGCTTTTAAATTCTCATTACAGACAATTTACGCATTTAGAATGACAAGTACGTAATATAAACTCAATATTTGAAAAGACATTGTTTTGAATAATGCTGTCTGCCATTTTATACAAATCGTTAGGCAACGATTTACAGTTGTTTAAGGATTTTTCTTTGCCTGATTATAATATGAAACACACGGAGAGTGGAAGCGGTTGATGGAGATGCTTTTCCCTCCATGACACCTGATCCCCTACTGTAAGCTTAAAAGGTCCAGGTTTATTCTGCTGTTGATATGTGTTGTGTTGCTTTGTGCTAAGTGTAATCAATATTCGCTCTTTCCATATTTCGTATAAAAAATGTTTCCATTCTGAATACTCAACCAACGTTACATATGTTTGAGAAATTTTCTTTCTTTTCTTTTTTTTTTAATTCTTTAGAATTTACTTAGCATGTTCTTCAACTCTGTCTTTGCAATTACTAATCACATAGTTCTTAAACATGGAGCACATTCTGTTTTAATCGTTCAAATTCCCTGTCTAATTTTGTACGAATGAAAAATATGGAGTAAACGAACAGTATTCTTTGAAATATGTGGAGACAGCGTACAGTTTTCAAGCTCAAAAATTAGAAATTAGAAATTAGAGAAGCAGAGCAAGTAAGGACCTCAAAAACATCAGAGGTGTGGATCAGGTGCTACAGAGCATCCCCTGTCGACCTGTCCGACGCGAAGTGAGCTCGTTGTCATGATCGAGAATTAACGGAAAAAAATCATCAACAATTCAGTGTTTTAAAGGTACTTGGACACAGATTTGAAGTTACTATTTTCTCTATAATATTACGACTTATATATTTTAATAGCATTTCACACAAAAATTAATTAAAAATCTTATTTCGTTTAAAAGATATTGAAATTTCAAATTTTTCGGCGGGTTTGATTGACATATCCTTGCACTCTCACGAATTAATTTTATTCTTAATCCTTAAGAAAAGTGGCAATCTCGTTTTGTATAAATGAAAAATATTAATACTATAATCCAGAAAATTCAGAGTAGACACGTTCGAAAGCAAAACAAACACACAATATATTGTCAGTCCGTGCAGTTGTGGTAAACAGACTGTGATTAAACGCCGGTGAATTCTAAATATAAACAATAACAGAACTCGAGCCCTGTTTACAAAAACTGTGTACATAACACGAGTGTGCTCGATTTGCTAAACTCTGTACGCATCTCTTAGTGAAATGCTATTAAAATATATAATTCGTGATATTATACAGAAAAAATGAGAAAATATTAACTTCAAATCTGTGTCCAAGTACCTTTAATACTGGCCTACACTGTAACAAATAAAATGCAAACATCGAGTTATCAGCATAAGAAAAAACACGGTCATCCAGTTAACTGAGAGTTCACTGAAAGGTTACTGAATGGCGAAGCTCTGTCATTTAACCAGCTTTCCAAGTCTTTCTGTCGACTATGTGTAGTTTTATCTTGTGCATATTACTGTCGTTTTTGTTACCGATGATGATCATAATTCATTGCAGTTTTGCAAATGAGTAACATGGCTAATACAAAAAAGAGTAAATATTAGAAAATCCATAGAATATATGCAAAACTGTTTCCTACCTTTTAGATTAGAAATGTTCTGAATACAATTATCTTTTAAGACTTATTTATACTCCACGCATCACCATTTTAAGCAAATATATGAGTATAGTCTAGACGAGACACACTTAAAAATCCAGCATCCAATCTAATAAGCTTAAACCATGAACAATATTATCTCTGGTAGTAACAGCTGATTTAGAGTACATCCAAATCAATGTTTCTACAGGCCGGATGTTGATTTCACGCTATCGTGCAAATTGTCTCTTGAATTCGATCTGTTAGATACGAAGACATGGTGACCAAGATATATGTGTTTCGTATCGAATTTAAATGTAAATACTTTCCCGTATAAGTATGGATAATACTCGCATGAGTGTTCTCGTTTATATACTTCAATTCCTTATCAAAAATATCTTATATAAGAAAACAATTACATTACTAATTTAAAATATTGTTAAATTTTGTTAGATATGAAATTGGGGTATTGAAGTGTGACAAAATAAATTTTACTAACTTGTTTTAATATTACAAATTATATTCATGGAATATTTTGAGAATGAATTATATTCCTCTAACCAATTTGCATGTATGTATCTATAAATGTAGGTAAGAAATTTACACTGCTGATACTTCAAATTGTTTACTAATACGTAGGTGGTAAAAAATAGGTAAAAGCACATACTATATAAATGTATAATAATATTTCTTTCAAAACATGCAAATTGAAATTGTAAAAGAATTGAGAAAGGATTTGTAAAGTCACATAATTAATATCTTAATTTAACTTATCAAATATCTTTCAAGGAAAATGCACTCATATTTTTTAGATATTGCACATCCCGTACATCTGTCAGTCATTTCCAACTTACAGCCACAAATATACATCTGTATCAAATCCACAGCATTGTAAGCCTGTGCTTTATTTATTTAGATATTAACCTAATTGCTTTTAAGGGTTATTTTCTTAATTCCCAACACTGTACATGTAAACAGTTTTGTCAATGATTATATTAAGAATATCAAGATACTGGCATGCCAAGAATTCGAATTGTCAGTTATCTGGGTTTTATGAGACACGTTATTTTTACTAAAACATGCTAAAGATATAATAACACATCTATCAAACCAATGCAACAGGTAAAGAACATTATTCGATCTCAAAAACTTCGGCAAAAGTACAAATATATAAAAAAGCATAACAGACTTCTCCCTGAAAATTCCAGAGGTGGGTTTAGGTGCCTTGGAGTATAAAGTATAAAACACCCTCACAAAAGTAACCCATATGCATTGATTAAAAAAAACAAAACAGAATGTGCCAGCTGTAATCAAATTTAGTCTCAAGTGATTATTTCATTTTCTTTTGCAAGCAGTCAACCTAGATATATATGCAACTTATTTACTTTTTTAAAAATCATGTCATTAGACTAATAAACTGTTTTTAAATGAACTTTTTGTACTCCTGACAGCCTTAGTGTAAAGAGTTCAAGTGAATGATGCCTTATCTATTGATCGAAACCAACATCTAATGAAAAAAGGCTGTATGAAATTTACAAGAAAGTGTTGAACCTGTCTATATTACCTCATACAAAATACTTGAAAGATATAGCAACACATTTCAACGGAAAACAAATAGTAGATATCAATAAAGAAGACAAAGAATATACGAATGTAATTGTTATGCAAAATGAACACAATTGAAAGCTTCAGAATAATCGATTTTGTAAAATTCTTTCTCACAAAAAAATGCTCTAAGTATACCGTAACCGTACTAACTAAGAATTTCTATTCCGTGCAAAGTCCTTTATAGAATTTTTGAATCAAGTTAAAATTTAGTACTTTACCACAAAAACATTATGCATATGAATCGGAATCGCTGTTTTTTAAATATCTTGAGAGAAAACGGTATGATTAAAATGCGAAAGAATTACTCAATTAATTTCTAATGCATTTTTCATTATTTCATTTCTGTGGTGGTTTATATAGAAAGTGTTAATAAACAAATGTTGACAATCTCTGTCGATATCTCTGAAATATAAACAAACCCTCGATTAACAGCTTCTTGTAGAATGTCAACATGTATATATTTTTAAGACCCCTGAATAATTCCATTGGTCTTAGTATACACAGGTTAACGATCTGGAATAAAAAAAAAACAAAAAAAAAAAAAAAACAACAAGGGTATCACAAACGGTGCACCCCCTGCCATAGAGCTTAATCATAAATCGCAACTATTTCGATGCAAATTGTGTCACTTTGGTTTCGCTCAGGACATAACACACCCATAAACAAACAGAACCACCACTGCGTTACTATATCTCTATTGCAACGGGATAATAAACTAAAGATTGAAATATGTGGAGATAACGAACAGTATTAGAGCTAAATATATCCATTGAACATTACAAAACGAGCGATGCATACGG